ATTTCTAGATCGATTTTCCACCATTTTGCATCAAAATCCCAACACAAAATATTTTTCAGATTTTTTGTCCATTTTTCCTGATGGAAATCCTGATCCCTTGAAAAGGGAGTTTTCCCCTATAGGGCCCACATTCATGACTATATCTTTCCCAACTCTGATCCGAATATCAAGCGGAGTACCTTAAACGATTTCTAGATCGATTCTCCACCATTTTGCATCAAAATCCTAACACAAAATATTTTTCAGATTTTTGTCCATTTTTCCAGATGGGATCCCTTGAAAATGGGGTTTTCCCCTATAGGGCCCACAGTGATGACTATATCTTTCCCAATTCTAATCCGATTCTCAAGCGGTTTATCTTAAACGATTTCTAGATCGATTCTCCACCATTCTGCATGAAAATCCTAACTTTCAATATCTTTCAGATTTTTTGTCCATTTTTCCTGATGGGATCCCTTGAAAATGCGGTTTTCCCCTATAGGGCTCACAGTGATGACTATATCTTTCCCAATTCTAATCCGATTCTCAAGCGGTTTACCTTAAACGATTTCTAGATCGATTCTCCACCATTCTGCATGAAAATCCTAACTTTCAATATTTTTCAGATTTTTTGTCCATTTTTCCTGATGGGATCCCTTGAAAATGCAGTTTTCCCCTATAGGGCCCACAGTGATGGCTATATCTTCCCCAATTTTAATCCGATTCTTAAGCGGAATATCTTAAACGATTTCTAAGTCGCTTCTCCACTGATCTGCAGCAAAATCTGGAAACAAAATATATTTTTGAATTTTTGTCATTTTTCTGGGCAATACCCCTTTAATAGTGGAAAATGATGGGTTCTCCTAATGGGTGTCAGAACCATGTCTATATCTCTGCCGGTTTGCATCAGATTCTGGAGGGGCATGTCTTAAAATATTTTTAGATTGATTTTCACTCGATATATGTATATGAAAACCTGAAAATAAATCTTTTGAAATCTTTGCCTTATGGCAACCCCTTTCAAAACTCAAGGTATTCTTGCTTGTAAATTATGTTCATTGATGGACATCGACTTTTAAAGGGCAATATTTTAACAAATTTTTTATCCTTGCAGACTCCTTCTTCACGGAGCGGTACATACCCCTCAAAGGCGACTACCTAAGAGCCCTCCAGGAGGCGGACCTGACCATGAAGGCGGGCAACATCAAGGGCAGGAACCTGATGCTGATGCACGGAACGGCGGATACTTTGGTCCACCAGGAGCACACCCTGATGCTGGTGCGGGCGTTGGTGGAGCAGCAGGTGAAGTTCCGCCACCAGGTGTATCCCGACGAGGATCACGGCATCGGCAGGTCCTTGAGTCATGTGTACAAGACTATGGAGTGGTACTTCGATGAGTGCTTCGGCCCCGTCGACGACAACGAGTGGGACCCCACGGGTCTGTTTGTGTTCAAGCAATAATTAAGACCCCCCTACGATCCTTACGACGAGGATCCGCTGGCCAATCAGCTCAGCGACATCGACATAGCCCCCGCTCCGGACCCGAAGGATGGTGATCCTGATCGAAGTAGTTCCGGGGGCAGTAATCTCTCCACCCTTCTAACAGCCACCACTACGACTGCATCGCTATCGGCTCTGGATGAGCTGGATAACCGGTTGCAGGCCCTCGATCTGATCACCTCCTCCACGGCGACGACCTTAAGCAAGGTCGCTGGCAAACTGTGCAACTATAGCAGCAAGAGACGACTCCATCAGTCGGAGGCCACGCTGGCTCAGAAGTCACGCATCCTTCAGCACTAAGAGGTATCCTCAAGGAGTCCTAAGGGATTCTTTAAGGCGTCCACAAGGAATCCTACAGGCATCCTTAAGGATATATGTTTAACACTGTGTGTGTGTGTGTGATTATGTGTGTGATTGAGTCATTGAATGAATGATTGAGTAAGTGAGTGATTGATGAATGAATGTGCTTGGTTTTCGGTTCTTAAATGGTTGTTTATTTTAATTCTATTTTAGTTTATTTTTAAAATAAATATTCATTAAAATATTTTCCAATTTTTTTCCAATTCTAAAAATACAATTTTCGAAAGTCTCTATAACTTATAACTTATTCCATTGCTTACGAAAAAACATATTTTAGGAATCTTAAAGAATACTTCTTATTAATATGAAATATTTATTTAATTAAAACCAAAAAATTATTAAAAACAATATTTTTTTGAAAGAAAATACATAAAACTTCATGAATTTCTTGAAACAAAATAATTTTCTTTCATTTAAATAAATTAATTATTTAGTATTTAACCATAAAGAACCGAGTGTGAAAAGGAATCGAAATTAAGAAAGAGAGTAGATCGAAAATAAGATGCCAGAGGGGAAAAGGAAAATAAACCAAAGCAAGGTGATTCATTTATGCGACTGATTATTAAAATATGTGTATTAAATAATTAAAAAGAAAAACCAAAATGGCAACTCATACTGATGGGGGCAACCGTGCGAAGGGATGGCGATACGCGAAGAGACAACGTCGATGATGTCCTTACCGTAAGGATAACGAAAATGTAGGGGGAAACCAAAAACCTAAAGCTAAATGCTAAAAACAAATTGCAAACTAAAGCGTCAAACAAACTTTAACTATGTGTAAGTGTTTCATGTATTTAGTTTCGGGTATTATATTAACATATTGTTTTCAATTAATTTTTTATAAATTTTATTTAATGTCTCATTGTTGTTTTAAGTGTTTGATTGTATGTATGTGTGTACAAATATATAGTTATAATTGACTGAACATAATTTTTTTTGTATATATTAATGATTAAATTTTAAAACTAAAATCCAAACACCGATGTCCAAAGGAAGAACACGAAGAAGCGATCAAATAAAATTTAATTCTTAAATAGCCACAGTTTTTGCGAGTAGTTTCGAGATACAAAAAAAAAAATAATTAAAAAACTAAAAACACACAGCTTATCCCAATAAAAAAAAAAAGAGTACTTGGTGTACATGAATGTTTTTGTGATAGTCGAGAGTAGGCGACTATAAAATACCCTGTACTCCACTCGAATTGCTTTTCATAAAAAAAAAATAAATAATATAATTAAAAACATAGATAGAACCCTCTCTCTCTAGACTTTCGGTGTGCAAAAGCTTTAAACTTTCATATCCATTCGAGTAGCGCCAATATTAATGCAAGGATACAGGGTATTTCCAGGTGTCTAGCATAATACAAGCCAGACCTAATTTTTTTTTAAGTCTAAATATACAAATAAAAAAATATTTAGAGTGGGTAAAAAAAAAAAGAAGAGAAGATTGTGCCACAGGCTTGTTAGAAAAATACCCCATAAACTACATGTATTATTAGGGGACCGGGAAAGGATATTATTATTATGTGTGTGAGTGTGCTTAAGCGAGAACCAAGAAGAAAAAACATTTTTTTTTAGATTTTTTTACCATTTAACATTAAAACGAAAGAAAAATAAAAATGAAATATATATAAAAAACGATTGTCAACAAAAAAAAAAAAGAAAGCATAGGTGTTAAATGTTGCGTCAATAAGCGAAATTTTATTGTAGAGGGGCCGGGGGACGGGGGACACAATAACTCAACCCACTCCCTACCAAAAAAAAATAAAACATAAAAACGAGAAATACTAAAACAACTTCCAGAAACCCAAATAAAAACTATAAAATCCATTTAAATCAATATAGTCAAGCTTTAAATGTTGTAAACACAACTTGAAACTTAACTAAACCAAAACCTAGATCCAAGAATTAATGTTAAACTTAAATGGAAAGAAACCAAAAAACAAAAACCCAAAAAACACGCAGAAAAATGCATATTTATAAATGTTTAAAACAAAACAAAAATTCTATAAAATAAACTAAAATTATATATACATAAATACATACACATATACAAAACTAAATGTAAACGAAGATATATATATGTAATTGTGCTATGGCAGAATTTTATGTATTTCAAGCAAAAAAAAACAAATAAGAAATGAACAAAAAACGAGAGAAAATAACCATTAACTACGTGGAACCAAACCAATGTAAACGCAAAGCTAACAACTCATTTCCATAAAGTACAAACAAAAACCAAGAGAAAAATAATTGTAAAATTCAGTTACGCCGCATCGAACCCGACAAACAAACAAACAAACAAAAAAAAGACCAAACTGGACAGTTGTTTGGTCATTTCAGAAATGACCAACCCAACGAAGTGATTTGGTTTCAAGACAGCCCGAAAAAAGAACATTTCAAATTCGAACCAAAAACACTACGAATCGAAACGAAATAGAGATCGACATTCGAAATCGAAAACGAACCGAATTCAAATAGATTTAGCGAAAGTTTAACAGAAACAGCAGAACTATGTATTTCCAAAGAGCAGACACAAGTATACCAACCAATATAAGATCTAAAGCAACTAAAACCAAACAAGAAAAACCAAAAAAAATGAAACAATAAAGACATTTTTTGTGTGTATGCAAAATAAAATAAAATAATCGTGTTTGAACTGAAATAATGGGGAAAAAAGGCTTAATAGTTTGGCGGCAAGTTTGGAAAGTTCTAGAAATTGTTGAAGTTTCTTTCGTCCTGACAGTGTTGTAAAAAGTATAAAAACAAAACTATCGATAAGCTATAGAAAGTTCCAGCAAAATTAACCACACTGTATGATTATAATTTTATTTTGTGAGGAAGTAATTGAATACATCTTAACTACGTCTACGTCTACGACTAAACACGTTAGATTTGTATCCTTTAACCATTTCTTCAAATGGACTGAAAAACTCAACACAAGCAAACAAAATACCAAAAGTTTTGCGCTTGGGGCTAATTTTTCGTGAATCAAGACTGTTATTTTGTCAATCTTTTCCAGCAAGGATAGAATTTTCACATATAATTCTTAAAGAAAACAATATGGTTTGAAACAATCGATAACTCGGTATTTTCTAGAAGTGTGGCCGACTATCGTTACGAGCGACTTCACGTTGCCAGACTTCAATAAATAGCCAGAATTATAGCCAATAGCTTTAAACCAGCTAGATCTAGCAATAAACGGGAAAAGATAATCGCACGGCGGTAAAGCCCTGCGATCTGCTCAGGACACGCAAAATTGCAAAAATTAAACATTTTCGCAGTTAAAACCGTAATCGTTATAAGGCCATTGCCTGTATGAGCAAGAACGATAGTGAGTGCTCAGTGACCAGTGCCCAGTACGGGCGTGTTTGTGTGTGCTACGCTGCTACCTCGTTGCTGAGTGCGTCTGTGTATGTGCGAGAGTGTGCATAAAAGGCATAGCAACCCAGAAGCAGCGACGCCGACAACAACTGTAATTTTCCATTAATTTTTGGGCGGCTGTTTGCTGCGATCCCCCCCACTAAAAAGTAATTAATTGAAAACGCAATCTATATTTTATATTTTTTCCCGATTCGGCGTTGTGCACGTTTTGTGGGGACTGGCTGCATGTGTCTCTGTGTGTGTGTGTGTGTGACAGGCCGTAGAAGTCCATTGGTGTGTGTGTATATGTGCTAAACTTGAAATCCAACGCAATCGCACCGAGAACAAAACTCGTCAAGGTAAAATAGCAGCAGCACTAAGCAGCAGCAAAAAAAAAAAGGACGGAGAAGCGAAAAAAAAAATAGTGTGTGAATTCCAACGGAATTACGCGAGATTCACGCGGATAAGTGCGAGCGGGAGGGCAGGAGGGGCGCCACGCACGTGAGTGCGAGCGCGAGTGAGAGGGAAACCGAAAAGTGAAGTGTGTCTTTAATTGATTTTCGCTAGTTGCATAAATTAAATGTTTACATTCCGCCCAAGCGCGCCCTGACCGCAGTGCTGTAAAATGTCATTCGACCAGGCGGGGTGACAACCCTGCGCCCTAGCAAGGGCGCTAATTAAGCATCTTAATTAAAGCCAACATAATTCGCCGGTTGAAACAATCAGACACGCACACATGCTCCATACTGCTTTTACCCATACCCTCCAAGTCCCATCACCACCACAACCGCCCCCTCAAGCCCCAAACTCTCGCTCTCTTTCCACCTCTCTCTTTTGGCCGTTAACCAACACTGACCAGCATTAAGAAAATAATTTGCCTAAAATGTACAAGTACATATGCAGCAACGGCGTATATACATATATATATATACATATATACGTATATGTTTGTGTGTGTGTGTGTGTGTGTGAGTTGGAGTAAGTGCGAAAAAGTTTTTCCTTCGCAATGCAGCTTATTTTTTTTGCAATAAATGGTAAAAAATTGTCTAGTTACCAGTTCGCGGAAAAGTTCACTTTCTAGTGTGCGTGAGTGATTAGCGGGTTTTATTCACTCTTGATTTTCTTTTTTTTTTTTGTCTATATTTTCTATTTTCCTTTCTTATTTTTTTTTTTGTTTTTTTTGCATAATCGAAGAGCCGCCTTTCGGTACATGTGCATGTGTGCCATCCCGCTCCCACTCCCTCCCCCATACTACGGCCACCTGTACGCCCTTGCACACTCGCTGACTGGCTCACACACACACACACATCCAAACGAGCGCGTGCACACCAACAAAAAAAAACTAGAGTAATTTTGATTGTATTGGTGCTCCTATTACACTTGAAAACAAAAATGTGATCACATTGCCAGCCCCTGATGATCTCTATGCCTGATTTGAATGTTTAGCACATATGAGTGTGAAAAAATATTACTAATCGGGCGATCACTAGTTAGATAGACTTGTTTTCTTATATATCATTTTTTTTTTTAATTATTCTGATGTTTTTTTTTTTCTCAGTGCATTTGGGTGCGATATAGTATCATTTTGGAAGTCGTTTATTTGCAGGCCTCGGAGTCTCGTGAGCAGTTTTTAAAAATCAAATGTTATCGCCTCCGGGTCTTAATTTTTTTTGTTGTTTTTTTTATGGCCCATTTGAGGTTTTTTTTTTATTTTTGTAATAATTTTTCATTATTTTTTTTTCATTGTCTGATTTTTTTTGTTGCCGCTCTGAAAAACAATTTTCGCCTGGCGCCTTTAAACGCTTCAGCTGCAATTCTCTACAAATGAAAAGAAGAAGACGAAACTGAGGGGTGGGGGTGAGTGGTGGTGATGGTGGTTGTCTGTGGGGGAGGTGGGTGGTATTTCTATTTGTAGAAAAGAGCGCATAATTTGCAATAGTTTGCCATTTACGCTTTCCATTCGAACGAAATGCATGCAAACGCCTTTTTGGAGTGCCAGACGAAACTATTTATTATTATTTGTGTGTTGGTGTTTTTTTTTTATTTTTTTTTCTTCCTTTGTTTATTCATCATCGTCATCATCATGCCCAGTTAACCTAAATATCTCGCCGATATACATAGTTTTACAGTTGGATTTATTTATTTACATTGATCTTGAAGGTCTTGGAAGGCTTGAAGTCTGGGCTTTCTTAAAAAAAAAGTCTGATGGAAAATAATAAAAGAGTATATATTTTAGTTTATTATTAAATATAAAAACTCTTAGTTTTTGATGTAAATTGTGTAAATATTCATATATTTGTTGTGAAGACCTGTAGACCTGTATTATATGATTTGTAAGTTTTTTTGTGGTTCACCTTTTGTTCTCAAAAACATCCCAAAGAATCTTTTCAAACTGGATCTTTAATTTATACTATTGCAGATCCTTTAATTTTTTAGAGGAAATATCCACATCCTAGCTGGAAAAAAAAGGATAAAAGATATTAAAAAAAAATAAAATAAATAAAAGAAAAAAATAAGAAAGAAAGCAAACACGGAAGGGACACCTGAAGAGAGAGTCAAAGGACGAAGCGAAGGAGAGACGCGCCCCCTCGTTTCCCGCCCGTTTCCAGCCAACAGGAGTGCGTAACCGTCTTGAATGGATCCATTTGTTGGCTGGTTTCAGAAGGAACAGGAGGGCCCATCGCTGCGCACATGGTTAAAGATTTGGGAGACGAACGCCCAGGAGATGGGCGCATTGCTTGATCAGCAGTTACAGCAGGCGACGACTAACGGTAATAGCAGCGGCAGCGGCATCGGCATCGGCGGCGGCAACAACATCAATACCAACAATAACAACAACAACAACAATTCAAACAATCACACCACCAACAATAATAGCGGTAATGCCCCAGGATAACAAAATCCTAAAAAAACAAAATACTATTATTTGCGGCTAAAAAGGGTATTTTTTAATATTAGTATTGTAATTGGCAACAACAACAAAAAAAAAAATTGTAAATTGTTATTTTAGAATAAGACGAAATATATAGCCTGGATTTAGTTGTCACACGTAGTGCCTATATAGTATATCGTATTGGATTGGATAGTAGAACTTGGAACTTCAAAGTGTGGAACAAAAAAAAAGAGAAAACGTAAAAATATAATAAAAATGTTGTAGTTATTCGATTGGTGATTTATTTTTTAAAATTTATATAAGAAACGAAACAAAACAAAAAACATCCAATAATTGTTACTGTATTTTTCGTCTATTTTAGGCAAGCCCTACTTATCGCGACCGACTAGTTCTCTCAGTCGGGCTCTCCACTTCCGGGCAGACTCCTTGGAGATTCTGCAGCAACTCAACGGAATCTCTCAACGCAACAACAACAACAATAGCAACAATAATAATAATAATAATAGTACCAGCAGTAGTAGCAGCACCACTAATAGCTCATCAACAGCTACAACAACAGCTGATTCAACCGTTAATTCAATCGCCACCAGCAGTACCAGTAGTACTATCTCCTCCACTGCTAACGGACCGCTGACTGGATCAAGCAACGCAACAACAACAACAACTGCTGCAACAACAACGGCAGCATCTGGGCCCTCAGGAGGAGTTGGTGTTGGTGAAGTGTTGGGTGCAACATCAACAACAACCACAGGCACCACCACAACCACCAGCAGCAGTAGTAGTAGTAGTAACCCCAATAGCAGTAGCGCCGCCAGCAACAACAGCGGCACCAGCAGCAGTAACATGAACACCGAATCAAGCAACAACCCGCCACAAATGACAGCGACTACTGCCAGTCGCAACAACATCTATTACAATCCGTCTAGAAAGAAACGTCCGGAGAACAAGTCTGGCGGTGCTCACTTCTATATGAACAACCATCGAGAGATGATAGCCAAGTACAAGGGTGAACCGTGGCGAAAGCCCGACTATCCCTATGGCGAGGGTGTAATCGGGTTGCATGAGGAGATAGAGCATTTCTACCAGTATGTCCTGCCCACACCCTGCGAGCACGCCATCCGCAATGAGGTCGTTAAACGCATCGAGGCCGTCGTCCATTCCATTTGGCCGCAGGCAGTGGTCGAGATATTCGGCTCCTTTCGCACCGGACTCTTTTTGCCCACCTCTGACATTGATCTCGTTGTGCTAGGTAAGGTTTTCATCCAAAAACGCTCGAGTTCTATGATCTCTAATGATACTTTCTTGCAGGTTTATGGGAGAAACTACCGTTGCGTACCCTGGAATTCGAGTTGGTGAGTCGCGGTATTGCCGAGGCCTGCACCGTGCGTGTACTGGACAAAGCCTCAGTGCCCATTATCAAGCTGACCGATCGGGAGACCCATGTTAAGGTCGACATCTCGTTCAACATGCAGAGCGGCGTCCAGTCCGCCGAACTGATCAAGAAATTCAAGCGCGACTATCCGGTGCTGGGCAAACTGGTGCTGGTTCTCAAGCAGTTCCTGCTGCTCCGCGATCTCAATGAGGTGTTCACCGGCGGCATCTCATCCTATTCGCTGATCCTCATGTGCATCAGCTTCCTGCAGCTGCATCCGCGTGGCATCTACCAGGAGACGGCCAACTTGGGTGTATTGTTGCTGGAATTTTTCGAGTTGTATGGCCGCCGATTCAACTACATGAAGATCGGTATTTCGATCAAGAACGGTGGACGTTATATGCCAAAGGAGGATCTGCAACGTGATATGGTGGACGGACATCGTCCGTCACTTTTGTGCATTGAGGATCCGCTGACGCCCGGCAACGATATTGGGCGCAGCAGTTACGGGGTCTTCCATGTGCAGCAGGCCTTCAAGTGCGCCTACCGCGTCCTCGCCCTCGCCGTCAGCCCGCTCAATCTCCTAGGCATCGATCCGCGAGTGAACTCAATACTGGGTGAGTGTCATGTGGAATTCTCAATCATCTATAATCTATAATCCTTTTTGTTTGGTGTTAGGACGCATTATTCACATCACTGACGATGTCATAGACTATCGCGATTGGATACGCGTGAATTTCGAACACCTGGTAGTTGTGGATCGCATCTCCCCGCTGCCAGCCACCGCCTACGCCAACGGAGCGCCCAAATATGTGATCATGCCCTCGGGCGCCGTCGTCCAGCAGCTCTACCACCATCATCCGGCGGCGGCTGTTCAAGTGGCATCCGCCCACAATAGTCACACCCATCCCGGTGCCGCCGGCACGCATCTGGGTCAAGCGTTTGTCACCAGTGGCACCAATGCCATGACGACCATGACCACGGCCGTGTCGGTGGTGGGCGGCGGTGGTCCTGGCGGTGTGGGCATCCCGATAGTCACCCACCAGCAGCAGCAGCAGCAACAACAGATGGCCGTGCAACAGACGCAGAACAAGAATCGTCACAGAAGAGGCAGCACCTCGTCGGGCGATGATTCCGAAGATAGCAAGGACTGTGACGTGGTTGAGGTATCCTCGGGTGGCCCAGATATTATCGACATCACTATCTCGCCCACGAACGGCGGCTGGGGTGGCGGCAACAGAAATGGCAGCGGCAACAGCAGCTCAACAGGATCTTCGGTAAACAGGCGGAGAAGTCGGAGGAAGAGGATGAGGATGAGAAACCCTTATTGGAGGGATTTTTGAAATTTTCAAGTTCTTGTTTCTGGAATTTAGGATATATTATTGATAGAAAAGGGTAGAGGGATAGAACCGATCTCTCGCATAGAGAGAGCAAACTTTCATAGGGACCGGGGCTCCCATTTGAATAATTTGAATAGACTCTATAGAGTTTCTAAAATATAGAAAGAAAAGAGTTCTCCCGAACTCCAAAAAAAATATCCTCTTACAAAGGCATACAGGTGGCATTTTGTTCATTGGCTGAGGAAAGGTTTATACATGGAGTCTGACTAACAAATCGGTTTAATTCTTAGCCGGTTCTAGAGGTTCTATTTGGAAAGATGTTTCCAGACTTGTGCTTTCTTGTTTTATTTTGTATGATGTGCTTCCATGAGAGATCTCTAATCTCTTAATTACAATATTCCGAATTTTGAATTACCCTTCTAGAACAGAGGTCTATACTATAGAATCTAGAACCTTATACTATCTAGAATCTAGAACCTTAAGGTAGAAGGGCATCTCTCCGAGCCGAAAATAGTATTCTTTTTATACCCTTGCAGAGGGTACCTCCGATCCTATAAAATATATATATTCTTGATCAGGATCACCTCCTGAGTTGATTTGCTTTGCACGCAGTATATAAGTCAGAACGGCCGGAATCGGCCGACTATATCCTATAGCTGCCATATAACTGATTGATCGGAAATAGTATATCTTTGTTGTTTCTAGAGTTTGTGAGTTCAAATTTAACATGAGAGCTATTTTTGGCAAAACATTACGACATGCCAAATTTTAAAGGGATCGGCCAACTATATCCTATAGCTTCCACATAACTGAACGATCCGAAGTGACCCAACTTTCGTGTTTTTGAAGATAAAAATCCTAAACATCGTACAAATACTACTTTTGGTCAGATAATCAGACCTACCAAATCGGATAAGGATCGGCCGACTATATCCTATAGCCATATAACTGAACGATCGGAAATGGTTTTTGGTAGAAATACCAACTTTGGTATTTTCGAAGATGGAAGTTTGGGACGTTTTTTTAGATTTTATATTATAATAAATTGGGTTATATTATCATATTCTCATAAGGATCGATATATATCCGGTTTTAACTGCAAGGGTATATCAACTTCGGCTCCGCCCGAAGTAAGCTTTCCTTTCTTGTTTTTTTATTTTATTACAAAGTTTAAATTTTATTACAAAGTAACCCCTTTCTCGTCCACTTAAAAGTAGGCATTGTCAAAAGTGTCTTTTTGTAGGGAGCATATTATTAAAAGTGTCCTGCTCATGATACAATTATAATTGTATCATGGTCCTGCTAAGGTGTTACAGAGGGACCGATTTATCTCAAGTTTTAAAGTATCTCATGTACTGAATCCATTGAAAAAATAGGAAATGCTTGCTCTGATAGGAACTTGAAAAAAAACTAGCCTTTAAAAAAATTTCAAAAACCCCTTGATAAGTAAACTGCTTTTAAAATTATTGTATGAAACATTCCACTAACGTTTTATTTTTTTTAAACCAAAACACAGCCGGAAAACACCAATGAACAGGAACTGGAAGATCCAGTGGGCAGCAACGGCGCAGGAGGATCTGTGGGCGGATCTGGTGCCGGCTCGGGAAGCGGTACAGGCGGTGGCGGGAGTAGTAGCGGCGGCGGTGGCAACAGCAGCGGACGCAACTACAACCAGAGAGGCAGCCACAATTCCACCGGCTACTACCACCAGCAGTACTACGTGCCACCGCCGATGCAACAGCAACAGCAGCTGAGCAAAAGCAACTCATCCTCCTCCTCGAACTACCATCACCACCACAGACAGCAGCAGCAACAGCATCACAGCCAGCAGCAGCATCATCACCAGCAGCGGCCGCAACACCTGCGCCTCGGAGGCGGCGGTGGCGGTGGCGGCGGCGGCAACAATCGGTATCAGAAATCTGTGGGAGGATCGCCGATTAGTAATAGCAACAGCAGCAACAATAGCAACAGCAGCCACAGCAGCAGTAGCCACAGCAGCAGCAGTCACAGTCACAGCCATAGCCACAGTCATAGTCACAGTCACGGGAGCAACAATCATCGATTGCCGCCGCTAAGAGGGACGCTGGTGAACTCATCATCGGCGATATCCATCATATCGATATCCTCCGAATCCTCAATTGCCAGCAGCAGTTCGAGTTCCTCCCGATCGGGTCAGGACCAGCAGCAGAATGAGAGGGACGAGCGATAGGATTAGCGATAGCGATAGCGATAAGGTAGGGATAATAATCAGGGATCTGCTTAAATGAGATCAAGATACAAGATACACTGAGAAACAAACTGAGAGATTGAAAATGATAGAGAGATAAAACACACACATAGAACGAAGGAACAGAAACAGAAACAGAACAGAGAGAGAGAGAGAAAGAGATAGATTAAAACGAGTTAGCAATATTTATGAATTATATTTCTTTCTCAGGTTTACACTGCAAACTATGCTGCATTTTTCTAATTAATATCCCAAAATACCACAAACCTCCAAAAAAAAGCATCCTAATCCCAAAACAAACAAAAAAATCTTTAAAAATCAACAAAATACTAAAAAAAAGATATATATATATTTAAAATAGTTAGATTTTCTTTTTTTTTTTTTTTTACATTGCTGTCTCGCTAGCAAACAAAAAAAAAATTATAAATATACATTTAAGAAAACAAAACCTACTAAGCTTAAATATTGCAAAATTTGCCTCTGATTGCGCTAAATGTCATTTCATTTTGTTTCTAAAATAATAATGAAAGCCACAACACAACACAACAAAAAAAAGAAAACAAAAAGCAAAAATTATGTGTATATATAAAGTAAAAAAAAAGAAAGAAAAATTATTTAGAGCTATTTAGGATGTAATTTGTAAAACTCATGATTAGATCGTAATGGTTGGAAAGTGCGATAAACTGAAGTATGAAATTAGCCGCTACGTATTTAAGAACTGCGCCTACACTATATTATATATATATGTTTCACAATCTCTCTTATATGTATATATATATATGTATATGTATTTATATATCTGCGTATATATATATATATGTATGTATGTATGTGTATATGTATGAATGGAACAGTGTAACAAAAAAAAAAAGCAACCGTTAAACAGTTTTTTCACTAGATTTTTTTTTATAAATATATATATACTACATATACCTAATAAATTAGATTGTAGTTGTTAGAGTTCCATCCCACCCCCTCTCACTCCCTCCTTTTCCCCAAAAAAAAAACACAAACACACACACAATCAGTCACGCGCATTAAAAAATCTTGTAAAGTAATTTTAAGTGCAACCTTTATTTTGTAAACCAAAAAAAAAAAAAAAACAAACTGAAAAAAAAATTTAACAAAAAACCGAAATCCTGCTCGCAGGGATCACGCTAATATTACTAAGTGTCCTTGCGAGCGAATGTAAAAAAAAAAAATTATGATACACATCCGGAATCAAGAAATCGAAAATCCAATTAAGCTCCCATATGTAACTAATTTTTATTGCATTGTTTAACTTCCAGTTATAATCCTTAATTTTTATGCCTGAAATGTAATTGTTTATACTATGAGTTCCATTAGTTGCGTTTATGATGCTTATAATTAGTTTTTTTTACACCACTATTCTATAGATTTTAAAAAACCCACATAATTGTACTGCAAACACATTTGCGCTCCCAAGAATCCAAGAAACAGTCGTAAAAAGCAAATTGTGTTTTTAAACTAAAAGCAAACAAAACAAAAAAAAAAAAAAAAAACAAAAAAGAAAAACTAAAACAAAAAAAAAACGATAAAAAAAATAAGAAAACCAACAAAAAGCAAAAAAACACTACTTTTTATTTACAAATTATTTATGTTCTTTTTTAAGCAATTTTGTGCATTATGCATAGATTCCTGCCATTTTGTTTTCTTTAACTGTATAGCCCCGTTATGCTCTGTAAATACTATGTTACGCCACATAGACTTCCCCTGCGACACGCCCACAACCCACCAACACCAACCCCTACACAACACTATCCACTCCTCCTTCTAAACGCACTGCCATTTTGAGAAAGGTTTTAAAAAAACATGTCAAAAATGGAGCATAAACCAGAAAATTGATGATGTAGTTAAAAAAGTAAAGAAAACATTTAGACTTTGTACATGTATAACATTTTAGGCTGTTCTTCTTTCCATTTGTAAGAGAAAAACAAAAAAAAAAAAAAAACAAAAACCGATCTAATTGTAAATGAACTCAAATAGTTTATGATTATGTTTTTAGTCGATTTTGAAAACTGATTGTACGCGAGTTTTGAACCGAGATCGAGAACGGAGATCGTGATTTCTGACGCTAGGCAACAAACAATTTTAATGCTTTTTAAATAGTTTCCACAAAATTTTCTAAAGTTTTTATTTCTTGAAAGAAAAGATGTGCTTCAACAGATATTTGTTGCCAGTGTATTGTCGCGATGTCCAGTGTTGGCAAAGGCCGAAAGTGCTCTCTCCCTTTGGCACGATGACTCCTACAAGCTTGCAGCTGAGAGCTTTGAAGCCCACCTACACACTCTTAATCACACAGACGCGCATTAGCACCCACACACACACATACTAATACACATGATACAAGAGAGAGAGAGAAACGGACACTTATTAACGGTAATTTAGCATAGAATGTTAAATAAAAAATGAATAAGAGAGAAAAATTCAAAAGGAGCAAATAGAAAGATCGTAAAAAGTGAGCGAAAGAGAGAGAGAGAGAGTAATAATAAGGATTATTAAATTTATGCACTCGTCTGTTGAATATTTATATGAATTATATGTACGTAGTTACTAATATTAACTAATTGATAAATATACAATATTTATATATGCATACCTTGTGGATTACTGTGTGGACAAACAAAAAACAAAACAAAAAACCCAACAACAAATGTTTAGAATTAGCGATCCTAGACAAGTAAGACTCGTAAATCGTAATTCGTAAATCGACAACTACTTAGAGCCTATGTAAGCACACCCACAAAAACACACCCACACACACTCATAATCGCTATGAATGTTGAGGTTATGTCGTAGATTTTTCAATATCCGATCACTGTTCGCCTAGTAAGGACATAAGAAAAAAATGAAAAAAACTGTACTGTAACTGTAATAACTGTAAAACTAACTCATTTCTCTACTGGATTCCATGCGTCTTGAGTCGAGTCTCTCGTTCGTTCTCGTTTCGGTTTTCGATTTTTCCTCCGATTTACAATCTACACACAATATTAGCATTATATTTATTATTATTATTATGTATCTCCTTCCATATGTTGTTGTTACATACTCTTTATATATTTTTTTTTTTATTTTTGTCGTCGCGATGTTATAATGTATCACTAAATTCAAATTGAATTACAATTAAATTACATTTAAAGTGAATCAAGTGAATCGACGAATCGCAACATGATGTATATGATTAGAGTTCAATAGTTGTGTAAGGAATCTAACGAATCGGAATCGTAATAATTTAGTAATGCATAAATCGTAAATCTAACTGATTGTATAATTAGCAAAGAAACAGTAAAAAAAAAAAAACAGTAAAATTACTAAAAGAATCGACGAGGAAAACCGATGAGGAATGCGATAAGCAAAAAAAAAAAAGATGCGACAAATAAAAGCCGGCAAAAACTAACATTTTCTATGTGTATTGATTTTTAAATTAATGCTTTGAGGGGGCTAAATATATTTATAGATATTTTTTATTTAATTTAAACATGAAACTTTTTTTATAGTGTACTTTCTTGCAACAGCGTCGCTTGCTCTCACGATCGGGAGAGCATTTTAATCCTTAACTCTCTTCTTCCTTCCTTTTTGCTTATTATTCATTTTGCTTCATTTCAAGATGGTGTTGTTTGAAGGCGATTGTTTTTGGTTTTAAAATATTATTTTCCGGCTTTATAGAAAGGTAATGTACTTTGAAAATATAAATCCTGCATCTTTTGTTTAAATATCTAATTATAACATTTTAATCCTTTGCTCTCTTTTTCGGTATCCAACGTTTTGGGTTGTGTATTGTAACTTCTGGGATTAAAATCAAAATGGTATCGAAATACGTGTTTTTCTTTCGTTTTTATTTCACTTTAAATACGTGATTTTTTGTTCATTTTTCGTGGTGGATCCCTTGAAAATCAGGTTTTCCCTATAGGGCCCACAGTGATGGCTATATCTTCCCCAATTCGCATCCGATTCTCAAGCAGAGTACCTTAAACGATTTCTAGACCGATTCTCCACCATTCTGCATCAAAATCCTGAGACGAAATATTTTTTAGATTTATTGTCCTTTTTTCCTGATGGGTCCCCTTGGATTTGAGGTTTTCCCCTATAGGGCCCACAGTGATGGCTATATCTTTCCCAATTCTCATCCGATTCTCAAGCGGAGTACCTTAAACGATTTCTAGACCGATTCTCCACCATTCTGCATCAAAATCCTGAGACGAAATATTTTTTAGATTTATTGTCCTTTTTTCCTGATGGGTCCCCTTGGATGTGAGGTTTTCCCCTATAGGGCCCACAGTGATGGCTATATCTTTCCCAATTCTCATCCGATTCTCAAGCGGAGTACCTTAAACGATTTCTAGACCGATTCTCCACCATTCTGCATCAAAATCCTGAGACGAAATATTTTTTAGATTTATTGTCCTTTTTCCTGATGGGTCCCCTTGGATGTGAGGTTTTCCCCTATAGGGCCCACAGTGATGGCTATATCTTTCCCAATTCTCATCCGATTCTCAAGCGGAGTAACTTAAACGATTTCTAGACCGATTCTCCACCATTCTGCATCAAAATCCTGAGACGAAATATTTTTTAAATTTATTGTCCTTTTTTCCTGATGGGTCCCCTTGGATGTAAGGTTTTCCCCTATAGGGCCCACAGTGATGGCTATATCTTTCCCAATTCTCATCCGATTCTCAAGCGGAGTACCTTAAACGATTTCTAGACCGATTCTCCACCATTCTGCATCAAAATCCTGAGACGAAATATTTTTTAGATTTATTGTCCTTTTTCCTGATGGGTCCCCTTGGATGTGAGGTTTTCCCCTATAGGGCCCACAGTGATGGCTATATCTTTCCCAATTCTCATCCGATTCTCAAGCGGAGTAACTTAAACGATTTCTAGACCGATTCTCCACCATTCTGCATCAAAATCCTGAGACGAAATATTTTTTAGATTTATTGTCCTTTTTTCCTGATGGGTCCCCTTGGATTTGAGGTTTTCCCCTATAGGGCCCACAGTGATGGCTATATCTTTCCCAATTCTCATCCGATTCTCAAGCGGAGTAACTTAAACGATTTCTAGACCGATTCTCCACCATTCTGCATCAAAATCCTGAGACGAAATATTTTTTAAATTTATTGTCCTTTTTTCCTGATGGGTCCCCTTGGATGTAAGGTTTTCCCCTATAGGGCCCACAGTGATGGCTATATCTTTCCCAATTCTCATCCGATTCTCAAGCGGAGTACCTTAAACGATTTCTAGACCGATTTCTTACCATTCTGAGACGAAATATTTTTTAGATTTTTTTTCCATTTTTCGTGGTGGATCCCTTGAAAATGGGGTTTTCCCCTAAAGGGTAAATATTCTGTTATAGGGAAAATATTTCCTGTAAAGTACACCAGTGCCCATGTAATAAGTTCAAGTTATGAAAGTAATATGGAAATTATGTTTTTATTAGTTTTTAGTAGTATAATATTATTAATTCTTAATTAATATTTCGACGCTGGCTTATTGTTGTATTTGTGTTTAATGTAAATTATGTTAACTGTTAACTGTGTCTTTTTATAATTATAAATATAGACTACTGAAGCTGAACTAGCTTTTCCCTTTTAAGTGTATATAAATGTACGTAATCTAAAGTTTGGATTATATATAAATGTAATTTTTTTTTTAAATTTTTTATAACTTATATTTTGTTTTAAATAATATAATTATTTTAAGTTAGAATTCAACAGAGCAAAATTTAATTTAAAATGATTTATTATACAAGTTTACATTTTTATATTATATTTACAATATTTTATACAACTTTATATTTTTTTTTTTTGAATTTTTTGTTTATAAAAGTTTTTTTTTTTAATTTTACGTAGCTAGTTAGTAAGTTTTTGTAGTTTTTTGATTTTATAAAAAATTTGGATTATTGGTTTCACTAAAATATAAAATTGGATTATTGCTCTTTTTTACAAAAATAGTACTTTTACAAATTTTATATTTACAGGATTTTTTTTTGAATTTTCACTTGGTTTTTTTTTTAAGTTTTGATATTTTTTTTTCTTTTATACAAAAATATAACTATTTTAATTTGAATATTTATGTACAAAATGTATGCTAAATTTTTTTTTGATTTTGTTTTCACTTGATTTTTTTTTTTGAGTGTAATTACCATTACCATTTTATGTAGGTGAACTTGAAGGTCTTGGGCTCCGACGCCTCGCAGACGTACAGCATCTGGATCTTGCAGTTGGCATCGTTTATCATTTCCCGGGTGGAGAACATGTGAACACAGTTCTCATTTCCGCCGTAATTGTCCGGCATTTGCTTGGGCCCGTTCCACGGAGCATAGGTCATTGGCCGTCCATTCGATAACCAATAGAATGCCCCCTCAGTTCCCAGATCATTACCCGAGATCCAGAAGTAATCATTGTTCTTGAAGCCCTTCGCTTTCATATACTTGATGAGGGCCTCCATTTCGGCTTTGTCCTCGACGGAGGCCAGGTGGGCGTTCATCATCCTGCAGGCGCCCGCCGCCTGGAACCAGTTCACCTTATTTACAGGCTCTATATAGTAATAATTATCTCCTATCCGGACAAAAGGTGTGGTATCGATCTCCGATGGAATGCCTACCAAAACAAGGATTTTATTTTATGGAATTCTAATGCTAACAGGACTCACCATTATAGACTTCAGTGCGGTAGTTGGTAAATATATTCACATCGGGCAAATATCCTCTGGCCAGTCCTAAAACGGTGGCCAGGACTACACCTTGGATTATTATTTTCTTACAAGTCTGCTCTAGAGACATTATTGTTTCTTCGTTGTCCGGAACTCAACTACCCGATTTGTTACCGGTTTCGGGGACTCTTATATACCACCCGAGAACCCATACAGCCGCCAGTTGGTGTCTGGAACCTGGAATATCACACAGCTGCATACGCATTATAGTTCCGATAATGATATTCGATCTGTAACAGCCCCAGATGGGCGTCGTATACTTGGAGTCTTTCGTGGAATAAACAAAGAATTGAACACGTAGGGACTTTGAGCCCAAATCGTACTTTTCTATAGGGTTCATATTTAAGAAAAAAATTAAACTAAATTCTCAAAAAAATTAATAAGATATAAAACCTCTTTATTTTAGATTAAATATGTATTTTATTTACTGCCATATCTTGTTATATCTTAGAATTTATTTCTTTAAATATTTATTTAATAAATTGATTTTAATATTTAATTTTTTTAGATTTAGGGACCTCAGATCATAACCCTCAAATCAAACTGCGGAGAGGTCGATGGCGCCTTCGATGCGCCTTCAAGATTTTGCTTTTGTGGCTCCTGCCTTTGAACTCCCTGCGGCCACACATGCCCCTCGATCCAGTCCAGGAAGCTGGACACTCTAGTGTAGACCGTGGGCGGACCACTGGCGCATCCCTGTCCGTGGGAAGTGATGCCCACCACGTAACTCAAGAGACCTTGCCGCATGATCAGAGGTCCCCCGGAGTCGCCCTGGCACGTGTCCCTCTCTCCGGAGTCATCGCCGGCGCACATCTGACTGTCCAGCAGGCCACGGCTGAGCTGCTCCGAGGAATAATGAAACCGGCAGATGTCATTGGAGACCAGCTGGAGCCGTACCTTCAGAAGCTGAGCGGAGGAGAGGCCGGCGAACTTTGTCTGGCCGTAACCGATGGCTGTAACCAGGGTGTTGGTCAACTCTGGCTGTTGCCAAAGGCATGCGGGCTTCAGTTCCGACTTGGCCGGCGTTTCCAACTCCAGCAGGGCGATGTCGTTGTAGTCAGTACTGGAGTCGTACTCGGGATGGAGAATAACCCGGCGGACACGCAGATCCTCGCCCTCTGTCAGGGTCAAGTTGTCGCCGCCCAAGCGCACCTGATTGGGGGGATCGCTGGAAGGTAAGAAATTCTATTTAAATCAAATAAAATATAATGTAATAAAATTTAAGATGTATCTTTTGGTACTTTTCACCTTTGACTAGCCACCTCATAATTCCCCAAGTAATCCCCATTAAATAAGTTCCCCAATTCCCAACTTAAATGTGAATCACAATTTTTAGTAACTTTTTTCTATTACGACAATTCTCTACGAATTAGGTCACAGCATAACTAACTAGTTTCTCTTCCAATAACTACTAAGTGAAAAAAAAATCCAAACAACTATCTAAAAAAATGAGTAACCTCGAACAATTAACTATTAAGATATATTCTAATAAACATACCCGCCAAAGTCGATACAGTGAGCTGCCGTTAAGACGAATCTCTCCGAGATAAGGGCTCCGCCACACCGATAGTATATGATCTTGTCATCAAAATTGGATCGCCATCCGAGGGCTGCCATAAAGGGGAATTCTCTGTATCGGGTAGCCGTTCCGCCGACCACCTGAATCACAAGGGCTATGTCGTTCTCATTGAGAGGGTCCACTCGGTTGTAAATTTCGCAAGCTGAGTTGATTAGATGGGGAAACTCTCTTAGTCACTGGGTATGCACTGAGAAAAATGGCTAATAGTTACCCTCCTGACTTCTTCGTTTTATCAGAGGCGCCGCCGTATAGGGGTTCGCTGTGGGTGGTAGTGTCTCTGGGGGTACTGTGGTGGATATTTCCGGTAAAGGTGTTTCCGGTTCACAGCACACAAAGTGATCGAATTTAACAAAGTAACAGGTCTTTGGGGATTCCCGCTTTTCGATCCATTTCTTCATAGCCGAAGGACACTCCTCCATTCGACGACAATTTCCTTTAGTCCTCTGGGAATCATCAGTGAAGCATTCATCGAAGCATTCCTTCGGGAATATAATCCCACGCTGCGATAGGGGATTTATGGCTGGAGTGGCTTTAACTAAGATATAAAATAAATATTAAAATATTAAAAATCATAAATATATAAAATATAAAAATATTAAATATTATTAAAATCAACTCTCACCTGATAGAAGCAAAAATTGTATTAAAACCACAAAAAGCAGATACATATTCACGAATATGGAGTTCATGTTTCCGATAGAATGAATTTGGAGAAGATCGGCTGGGGATCTCCTTTGTTGGTCAGCTCCAATTGCAGACTGCAGTGGTTCAGATCGCAGATCTCCAAACGCCGGTTTGATATTCTCCGATTGGAACGCAGAAACCCGCCAGGCAACTTCCAACTACCAAGTGCCACTTAAAAGCACAGAAAACAATACCGATACCTAAATTCAATAAAATCAATTGCCAAAAATACAAAACATATTATTAAAATAGTAATTACATTTGAAAAGAAATATTTTATTAAAGAAATATTATTTTAATATTTCCTATATAGACTATTTCCACAAGAGCCTTTAATTTACTCAAACTTTTCTTATCGATTTTTAAAATGACTACAAAAATAATTAATCAAATATTAATAAAAAAGGCTCAGTCCTTTATATTTTTTCCTGTGTAATCTCACGCATCTTGGCTCTTCCTCTCAAGAATTAATACGAAGAGAAAAAAAAAACCCAAAACAAAAACTTTACACTGTGTTCGCAAATTGGAATTCCTGACTTTAGAGTGGGGAAATTATTTTGGCAGATGATGGTTCTTGACACTTGATGATACACCCCTTTTTGGGTTTTTTTTGTTCATCTGATAGTTGTGGCTTCTCCAAAAGTTAAAAAAAAAGGAAAATCTATTAAAAGACAACCGGTTCCTAAAATGATAATACACTTTGCTTTATTTAGCTCACTGCACTTCGCTATTTAATGTCTTTTTTGACATTTAATTTTCCTGATTAATGATCCCATTTAACTACCTATTTAAATTAGCTACTTGCCGTTGGTTTAGTGTTTTTATTTGCGATTTCTTTATAATGTGACCGCACCAAACCGCCAAAAGAGGGAAAAAGCTTTGAAAAACTCTCAGATCTGGTCTCATTGACAAAAACGATCCTATTTCGCGCCATTTTATGAATGGGATTGGACTTTTTATTAAAAAATATTTATTTTCAAAATTCTAAATCATAAAAACAGATACTTAGAAACTGGATCTCAGATCGAATTCCGGACTAGTCTCTCTTTTGAATTGCGATTGGAGGTGTAATGACGGCCGCCGACTTGGAACTTGAAATCCTTGAGGCCACACATGACCCTCAATCCAGTCCAGGAAGCTGGACACCCTTGTGTAGACCGTGGGCGGGCCACTTGCACATCCCTGTCCGTGAGAGGTGATCCCCGCCACGTAGGTCAGGAAGCCGCGCGTCATTAGCAGAGGTCCGCCGGAGTCGCCCTGGCACGTGTCTCGCTGCCCGGAGTCGTCTCCGGCGCACAGCTGACTGTCCAGCAGGCCACGGGTGAGCTGATCGGCGGAGTAGTGAAACCGGCAGATGTCGTTGGACACTCGCTGGAGCGGCACCTTCAGTAGCTGGGCGGAGGAGAGGCCGGCGAAGCTTGTCTGGCCGTAACCAATGGCCGTGACAGCGGAGTTGGCCAATTCCGGCTCATACCAGAGACACGAGGGCTTTAGTTCAGGCGCCGCAGGTTCCTCCAGTTCAAGAAGGGCGATGTCGTTGTAATCGGTACTGGAGTCGTACTCGGGATGGACGATGATCCGTAGGATGCCTAGATCCTCTCCCTCCGTCAGGGTCAGATTGTCGCCGCCCAAACGAACCTGGCTGGGGCGATCACTGCAAGGGAAGTTAAAAATATTTAAAATGAATATTCAAATACATACATATCTCCTCAAAAAATCATATAATTGAGGAATAAACAATGAAAATATTTAGTGTTATTACCCGCCAAAGTCGACGCAGTGAGCTGCCGTCAAAACAAATTTCTCTGAGATTAGGGCTCCACCGCAACGATAGTAGATGGTCTTCTTGTCAAAGTTCGATCGCCAGCCGAGGGCCGCCATGAAGGGGTATTCCCTGTAGCGGGTGGGCATTCCGCCGACAACAGAGAACACGAAGGTCAGCTCGTTCCCACTAACCTTCTGCAGGTTGTTGTAGAAATAACAAGCTGTTGAAAGCGAGAAGGGGAAACCCTAGTTAGTCATGAATTACATCACTGCCTGAAGGTGATGCACTGAAAAAAAATTAATTAGAATTGAATGTATCTTACATTCCTGACTGCTACGGTTGACGTAAGGAACCCTATTGGGATCACTTGGTGTGGGTAGAGGTATAGGTGGTGGCATTACGGTGCTTATTTCCGGTATGCGTGTATCCGTTTCCGGTTCACAGCACACAAAGTGATCGAACTTGACAAAGTAACAGGTCTTGGGGGATTCCCGCTTCTCGATCCATTTCTTCATCGCCGTAGGACACTCCTCCATGCGACAACATGTTCCTTTAATCGTTTTGGCATCATCGATGAAACATTCATCAAAGGATTCCTTGGGGAAAGTAATATCACCTTTTAAAAGGGGGTTTTTAGCTGGAATAGCTTGAACTGAAAAATAAAATATAGTTTATAGTTAATTTCAAACATATACACCAATTCTAAGATGTTATTCTCACCGGAAAGTATAGAAAATAGTAGCAGAGCTACAAAATTGAGGATTAGGAAGTTCATTTTGGAGAAGATTGGATAGGATCTCCTTTCCTGATCAGCACCAGATGCAGACTGCAGTGGGGACTGATCTTAGATCACAAATGGAGGGCTTCAATTCATATGTGATCGTATCACAGAAACCCGCCTGGCAACTTCCAAAGTGCCAATCAACCGAAAGTAAACAATCGTCAGTCAGTCACACAGAGAACAATACGATAATCTGATAAGGTCTACAAAAATGTACGAAAAAAGATTCGAAAATATTTACTTTAAGAAAGCACCAAAAAGATCAAACTTTTCAAAAAATAGAAGCATTCTTTGAATATAAGTTCTTAAAATTGATAAACAAAACAGATTAATTTTTTACTGTGCAGACACGCGCAACCCGCCTTCCCTCTTGATTTAAAAAAAAAAAAACAAATTAAAAACAAATAATTTTTGGTGTCGAATTCGAAGTCCCTGCCCCTGGTCTGCCGTATTATCTCTCCAGATGATTCTTGACACTCGTTGACACACATCGTTTTCGGCTTTTTTCCTGATAGTAGCTTCTTTCAAAAATGTATATATATTAAAATATAAAAAGAACAAAAAGAATGACCGGTTTTCGAACTTAAATAACATTTTTTTTTTACTTATTTACTTGGTCTTGGCTCATTGAACTTGGCGCATTTATGGAGTTTATTTTGGTATAATTTTGGCACGTGATGATTTAATTATTTTACATACGTATTGTTGTTATTTATTCATTAAACTAGTGGTTTGGATTAAGTGAAAAGTAAAACTGATTTATGGACAGTGTGGCCGGTGTAGGGCGCCAAAATAAATGACAATTATAAGCTTTTTAAGAAAATATTGCTTTCAGAATGTAGACCTTCAAAAAACCCCTCTAGACCTTAGACCCCTTTTTTTAAATTATAGTAATAAAAAAGTTTTTGTTTTATTTTAAATTTAGTTACTTTTTATTAGTTTTCCATATTTATATCTGTGTATTACTACAACATTTTAGTACAAACTTTCTTTCTTAAAATGCTTGCAATTCTGCTATGAATCTTTAAGTAATATTTTTAAAATTAAAATAAAATTGTAATGAAAATGTTAATTGTTTTCTTGTTTCGTTTTAAGCCAAACTTGATTATGTTAAATGTTTTTCCTACATTTAAAAATGCTTCTTTACTTCCCTCTAAAGAAAAGCTTTTTTCTAAACCATAAACATATTTTGTTTGCATTTTGGGATTTTCTTTTCCCTTGCATTTGGTCATACTATTAAAAAGCTTTCGGTATTTTTGGCCGCGCAACCGAATGCCGAATCTGGTCAGACGGAAAGCGAAGTTTGAACGAAACGGACGCGCAGCTGACGCATTAAAATTAAAGAAAACTATCCCCCGTTTTTGTTTTTTGCCGGCATTTTGGCGTAAGTGTACGCGCGCTCCTTTCGCACCCTTTCTCTCCCCTTTCTCTTGCCCTCTGAGAAATATCTCATACCCTTTCTCCGGGTGCTGCTGGTGCTGTTGTTTTCTATTTTTGTTGTTGTTTTTGTGTAAGCGACGCGCGCATTTACGGTAAAAATATATATATTCGTGAATCAAGCGAATGTGCAATTTATTAATAAAAATCGTCCATAGGAGTGTGTCGCAAAGGCGTAATTTAATACACACACCTAGACCGAATCATTATTACGTGTTGTTCTTATATATTTTTTTTTTGTTTTTTTATCATTCGGCTATTGTTTGTTCTATTTGTTGTTGTTGTGTAGTGTAGAACAAAATTGTTTGAAATTTGAATGGAACGAGCGAGGGAGATGCATGATGATCAGTGATCAGCTGAAGGTGAACCAGTTGTTGTTGTTGTTTGTTGTTCTTAATGTTTGTTGTTGTTTCATCTACTGTTTCAAGTTCAAACCCTTTTGTTTTGCCATCTCTTTTGCTCTAAATTAAATTTAAAATAAAAACAAAGTAATTAAAACACAAAACAAACACTTGAAAAGTAATTAAAAAAACTGGTTTTATTCATTAGAGTTTTTACATTTTTAAGTTAATTTTTTATACAAAAATATACAGTTTATAATTTTGGAATAAGTATTAATGTCTTCTTAATAAACCTCTATATTTTTTTTCTATCCCTTTTTTCTAAAATATTTTGTACTTTTTTAAAAGTTACAATACTATTTGTTTTATAATTTTTTTGTAATACCTTAATATTGTTTAATTTTGTATACCCCAACTCAAAGCCATCCTCTCAAGGTTGCCTTTTGTATCCAATTCAAATAGAGTATCCAATTAAACTTGAGAAGTAACCATAGTTTTTTCCCTTTTGTGCATTTGAATAGTATTAGAGGTCATGACGTCACTGAGCGTGCTTTCTGAGCCGCGATCGTTGTGAGTCACAATAGAAGCAGCATGGAAGCCTGATCGCGTTTCTTCTTTATTTTTTTTCCTGGTTGGTTTAAGCCCTGACGTCACCTGGGCCAAAATTAGCAATGGCCTAAGGCGGCCAATAGCAGAATCGTAACGATCGATGACTAAAGTTTACAGGAAAACGAGAGCAAACAACAAACAGAACACAGAACACGGCTTATCGATAACCTTGCTATCAGTTAGTTGATAGTGGAACAGCCACCCACCCTGCCCCCTCCACCCTACCCCACAACGTTGATAAGATAAGATAAATATTTCGCATTCTTTGTTTCCACATACATTTTTTTGCGCCGTGTATCCAATCGGTATATTCTGTGAAAAAGTTCTTAACAAAAAAACGTGGTTTTATTGTTGATTTTTTGTTTTATTTTTATAGAGCAGTGTGGAATAAACCAAATAGCAAAGTAAATAAAAAAATAACAACAAATTAAGCAAATAAAATAAACCCAAAAGAAAAACCGGTTAAATCAAGTGACTAAATAAAACACGTCATTTTCCCAACAATATCTCTAGACAGCAACAGGTGAGTCTGATGTCTAATATTTTCTGTAATTTTTTGGCCTTTTTTTTGTCGAGCTTGTGGGTGGCATGGGGCCATCATCCGCATTTGTTGTACTTTCACCATTTCGTCGGCGTAATGAGGGTCTATTTATAAATTCCACTCAAGACTTTAAGACGCGGCTTTTGTATTTTATTTTTTGTCTTATTTTGGTCTTTTTTTTTGCCAGAAAATTTGTATCTCTATTGTCTGCTCTTTTTGAAAGATAAGATATTGGTATCAGGTTGATTTATTTAGTAAATTATTAAAATATATATACATTATAAAAATCTGTTAATGATCATACTAAATAATAGTCAAATTTAGTTAGTATTGTTATACACTTAAGTACCGGGTATCTATAATGTTAGAGTCTTAAAAAGAGGATCAATGAATAAAAGACCAATAACTTCAATACGAATGTGCAATAAAAAAAATAAATATATATTTTTTGAGGAACACAAATGGCTTTGAATGTTAAGAAAAGTTAGGAGCTATCAGCAGCTAGTAGCGACTTACTACTGGTCAATAAAAAAAGCAATTACAATTAATTAAAAGATATTGCTACTGGTATTTGCTACTTAAAACTCTCTCTTAACATTGAAATAAAAAATTAATTACAAAAATCAGAGATCGTCTCGAAGGTGGATTTTTTGCGTCTATAACCACCACAAGGAAATAAGAGTGGGCATAGAATGCCTAGACATGCCTAGATCGAAGACTATATACATATATAGGTGAACCAGACTGCATTAAAGAGGAGGAATTCTTCTATTTATTTTGTACAAAAATATGGATATTTAATATTAAATTAAGCTCCGGACCGGATAAGTACCGGATATCTATAGATGGGCTTCTGTTGTATAGAAATTTAGAAACCAAAAATATTTATATTGGATTTCGAATTCATTTAGGGTTTGATGGAATAATACTCTAAGCTTTATAGTTTCATATCTGTGGAAATACAGCAAGTCCCCGGCATCTATGGATAGTTTTTCCTTATACTTGTTTTTAAAAAATAGATCTAGAATATAAATTCGTTCATAGCCATCGCTGCAGGGTACCAAAAATGTATCATAAACAATTTGTGCTGCTGCATTTGAATTTCAATTTGAATTCGAGACAAGGCCAAGTCACGATAACGATATTGACCTCGGTGGAGTTAACCGAACGATTACCCTTGTGTGGATTAGCAATTTCGTTTGTTTTTAAGTACTCTGTACAATGCATATATTTTCTACGTTCTTTTTTTTTTTATTTTGATAACTTTTGTGCTGGTCGGGGTTTATCTAAAGTCCATTTCCGTTTCCACTTCCACACTGACGAGCTGTTGGTCTGGTCGCAAATTCCCACAATGCTTTTTTTTATATCATTCGTCTGACCTGCATTATTTTTTCCCCTAAACTATTTTCTTGTTTTATTTTCGGCGTTTGGTTCCAGTCGGTGGAAATTTCAACAAATTTTACGATCCTAAAAACATTCGGTTAACAAAATGTATACAAAAGAGCAAAAAAAAAAAAGATTTGAAGAGAGAAGTCTAGAATGATCTCATTCTCGGTGGCTGTGCAGAAAATTGTGTTGATGCTTATTTGGCATAGTTTCGATATCCAGTTTTTGCAGCTCGACGCTATTTTCTTGCACATTTTGGCATTTTTGAAGAAATATTGGAAGTTTCGGGGGAAATATCCATCAATAAAACAAAACGATTCTTCTTAAATTTCCTCATTATATATACGTATATCTAGAATTTCAATTTTCGCATAATCCCACACAGAACAATTCCACAATAATAAGAAATACGATGATCTCGAATATTTTTTCTTAAATTTTTTGTTGTTTTCCGGCAGAATATTAATTTACATTTACGCGTTGAGTGTCTGGCTAGACACCTTATTTTGGGATATAAGTATATTCTTGTATATGCATATGGATATAGTATATGTATATCGGCGAGCACCATCTGCCCATATTATCTGTTCGATCGTGTGGTTCATTCAACTTGGAATGCCTGGTTGGGCCAACCCCCCATCCTTCCTTCTCGGTCAATCGTCCGGCTCTGCATTTAAAAATAATTTCTCACTTTTTTTTTTAGTTCTTCTGGTTCTTCTACTATAGTTTGGCCCGACTTTTGCATCAAATGGGGCATTCCCAGTTGCCAGTTGGCTGTTTGTAGAGGCAATTGTGGTAAATGGATACCAAGTTGTTGGAGTTTTAACCTCATTTCCGATTGACGATAAGCCGATGCAATTCGAGATGAGCTGAGCCAATTTCTCCAGTTAAACAAACAACATTACTTATCGCCCTTCGGTTGGCACACATATATTAATCAGAAAGTTGTTTTGCAATTCAAGAATGATGATATGGGAGCTCAAAACTAATAGTGGGCTTGGGAACAATGCAAGCTTGGTCACACCTAGTTATGCAGAGTATACTTTAAACTTGTGCCCTGGCTTTACTTTAAAACTTGTGCCCCAAACCTCCAAACTTTATGGCTTTAAAGAATTTCTTCAAGTTTGAAGAATGCACGTCCCCAATTTCCACCCACCATCTATATGTAGGTCGCTTAATGACCCCTTAATCAGCCGCTAATAGGCGGCACTCCTGCCACCAGAAAAAGAAAAACCACCCACCACTGACACACTGACTGGTTGCCCCAAAGAAAACCCCTTTGTTGCCAATATATGGGGTTGATTTTCCACTCACCCCACACCCTTCCTTGAGTTCTGAATTTGTGAACTGCATTTGTGTGTTCCGTGGCCATAAAACTGTCCAACTGTATTGCCCATATTGCCAAGTCGCTGTAATTTATGGGGCAACCACCCACCCAAGTCCCCACCAGAAACACCACCCAACCACACAAGCCCATGGTCTTAGAAGAGTGAGGAGGCAAAGGGGGAGTTGAACTTTGGCTCGCTAATTCCAAGAATATTGTCGAGAAAGCCGACTTTTCAAGAGTCCATTGGGGGATTACCCATTAAATGCACTTTGGGGTATATTAGTTAAGGAGATTTTTACGATTTAATTTATTTACAGGGTAGTGCCTTTAAGTGCCTTTACAGGGCATTCAAAATTCGTATACTCCCCTTCTTAAAAATATAGAAAACATTATCGTTGCGTGCACAAAGTAGATAAAAAGAATGCGACTTGAAATGGAGGGTACTGGTGGGGGTTGCCCTGCAATTGGTCATTCTCGAGGGATAAAATAGAGACCCCCGAGCCCACGCAATGCATCGGCGTATTGATCGGCGGGCTAATTGATCAAATGAGCCAATCATAAAGAAAAATACCAAATGACGCATGCCACTTGTGATGAAACTATTGCCTCAACCGGCAAGTTTCTAGAGTTCTTCTCTCACACCGCCCACCCAAATAAAAACAGATCTGACGAAAGATTCTGTCTGCTTTGGAGGGGAGACACTAGATAAATCTTGATATCTCGAATAAATATTTTTACAATTTGCGCAAGAATTACCAGACAATCAGGCGACATTTCTAGGATGCCTAAACTAAAAAATAACCAGATAATAGTTTCTATTCAAGTCTATAATACATTTATCACTGGAAGTGTTCTTTTTTCTCGAATTTCTCAAGCTCAGATTGTTTTGTTTTGAAGGTCAGATCTCGAGTTCTCGGCTACTCGACTTGCCGATTTAAATATTTATCAAAAAAGTGCCTCAAACATTGCGTCAGAAATATATATATATCGAATGACGTCATGGTTTGGAAATAATTTTTGGTTCGGGGGGTCCTCTTAAGATCCCTGATACGAACTCAATTAACCGAATGTCGTTCAGTTATGCAAATTGTGATTGAATTTATATTCAAATTCGATTGGCAGTTAAAGTTCAGGGAAAGAATAAATCAGTTGATTTGTAAAGACGTAGAATCAGAATCGAAAAAATTATACAAGAGAAGAAGCAATATTTAGAATTTATAATCTTAAAAGTTCATCCTAAATATATTTTTTGTTTATTGATTTTCTTAAATACAAGTATCGCTTAATATATTGCCCAATTTTTCAGTACCCTCTATAGAGTTCGAGGAACCGGCCAAACAGCCATAATATTTCTACAAGAATTTTGAAAATTGTTTCATAAACATGCCGGCAATTGAGGCACATTATCTATATTAAGGCTGAGTGAGAAATAATTTCCGAAACAACCTTGACATGAAGATGAAAATCTATGGCTATGAAAATGTCCAGAAACATATATTTAGAACTTGCGAAAGATGTATATGGAAATGTATATCTTAATTTTGAGTTTCTCAATCATGAAAAATAACAGATGTGATGCTACAGATAAGACTATATATCTTTGTAACTATCTAATTAATGAGGTTACTTGGGCAAAAAAAATATAAAAAAAAGAGAGAAAAACAAACAAACAAAGTTCGTTTGTTGATTGTCAATTAACCATTAAATCAAGAAGGCACGTTCGTCGCCCTTTCCTTCCTGAATGACTCACTATATATGGTGTACAATATATGGGGTTTGTCTCTGACAAATCGGTTAAATAACTTTGACTTTGAGGCACAACGTTTGCAGCTAATTAACTTAAATTATGCGGTAATTAGCTGTTTTTATTTCTTTTGTAGATAAACCAAATAGATAATATTTTACTTTTTGCATATGCAATTAGGTTTTAAAATAAACTAAACATTTACATATATTTTTTAGGTTTTATTTTTTTTGGCACTTCCTTTGGTGCACATTTTGTGGGAACCCCCACGCAGTAAGTGAAAAACAGGAAACTCCTAACATAAAGGTGTCTCTCTATATGTTTCAAGTTTTCCTGTTTGTGTGTGGGCAGGTTTTGCTTCATTTCAGTCCACGCCTCACTAAAAACCATGCACTGAGAAAAATATTAGCTTATAGGGAATATTTTTTCATGAATCCATTACCAAGATACCAGGATTTTTATTAAAAATAAGGTGGTCTTTATAGAGAGACCTCCTTTTTGAGGGTTGAGAATTTTAAGAAATTGAAAAAAATACTATCCTTTAATAGGAGTATGGCCCTATAGCCCTAAAATATCAATCCCCTCACTTAAAGGGTATCCGAAAAAAAAAGGAAAAACCGCCAACGGAAATTGCCGGCAATTTTCCTGCTTCTAATTGGTATTTTTCTTCTTTTCCAACCAAATATGAAATTTGATTTTGTTTTCAAGACACGTGACTCTGGGGCTCTGTCAACCGTAAAGAGAGAAGAGTTTTCACTGACGGGGACCCTTAGCCCTCTGAAAGCCAGACCCCCCGGGTGTTACGCATCGTCAGCCACTTGCCATAGGAATTTTTCACTCCAGACAACGGCGCCCCAAAAGATCGGCGAACTATAAAAAAAAAAATGAGGGGAAAAAATAACAACACACATACTGCCCAAACGGAAGTGAAGAAATGCATTTTTCTGAGGGAGTGGTCCTCTGCCATCCATATTGGGTGCAATTTTTTTTTTTTTGTATCTTTCATTTTTTTTTGGTTTTAGTTGTCAGACGTTTTTTTGTTTTAATTGAAATGGCAGACGGCAAATAATTTCCGGCCATGAAATTCGAGTGCACCCTTCCGAAAATTGACAAGGGAATAAAGTGGGTAGTAGTAGGCTGTTCTTTAATCTAATTAGTTAAATGGTAAAAATGATGAGCGGAATATGTCTCTTTTTCGCCAGGGGATGTACTCGTACTCTTCGATAATCGCTGTCAAGTGGGTATGTCTCAAACCAGTGGGGAGTCGTACTTATAATAATTACAAACAAAAAATCGGGGGGGTTTATATTGTGAGCACTTATAGGATATTTGTCCCCCACAATTTTCAGACGATTTTGAAGTGGAATAAATTGAAAGATTTGTGAAACTCTTCGCTATTTTAATATAAAATAATAGAGAATGGTTTATATTAAATATTAAAATCTAAAATCTAAATAAGTTTATATTAAAATCTAGAAATAATGTTTTTTATTGATATATTTTTCAATTTTTAATAAAACTATTTAAAATATCTGTATCTATGCCAATTTTGATTCGCTTCTTAAGCTGCATTCCTTGAAACATTCTCTATGAAATCTCCATTCCCTTCTCTATGGAATGGAATATTAAAATCGAAATGTAACATTTTGTATCAATATTCTTTCACATTTTCTGATGGAACCTGATGATTGTGATAAAATAACTTGGATATGACCAACTATGACCACTTACGATGTTTATACATATCATTGGTTATTTTTATGCGATTCTCAAGTAGAATACCTTTAAAGATTTGTGGGACCATTATTACTTTATATAAAAATATAGAAATACATATTTTTTATTGATATATAATGTTAATTTTTCTTCGGAACCCCTTGTAAAAACCTTTACTTCCAACTATGACCCTTTTTAATGTCTTTATCTTTGCCAATTTTTATAAAATTCTCAAGCTGAATAAAATGATGACAATATATTTTATATTTTCACATTTTCTGATAAAAGTCCTGGTAAAAAACTTAGCACGCATATAAGACCCCCTTCAATGTCCATATTTATGCCAATGGATATTTCTTAAAATTATGAATAAGAGTAGCTCGAACTATAGATAGAATATCCACAAGATTAAAAGCTTAATAGCTTAATCCTTAATCATATCTTGTCTTAAAATTCTTACAGAACTTGCAAATATACAAGTTTTATTTTCGTAATCCCTGAAAATTAATTTAAATTAGCTTGGCTAAAGCAACTGTAACTAGCGGAAATATTTACCATCCAATGCCACATTCACAACCCCCTTTTCCTTAAAAATGCCCCATAACCCTGCCCTGTGTGTCCTAGAATTCCAGGAAGTGGCATTTGAAAAATGTAAATTTTCATTTAGCCTGCATTTTGTGCGCTCCTTGTGCGTTTCTTTTGTCCATTCGGTTCATTCGCCTCTGTGGCCTTTTCCTTTGGGGGGAAAGGCCCACCTCTTCCTCAGGGCCCACCTCTCTGTTTGTCCTATGCAAATTTAGAAACCGCCCTCCCTTTTCCAACCCCCTCGGTGTCCTTTCGAGTTCAAAAACCTTTTTGGCGGCTGTTTCGGTTTGGTGACACTTGGCCGGAAGTTGACTTGTGCCTTTAATTGCTCCACGGGGGTAGGCAGGTTACAGCCCCTCTCCCTTTGCCCCCGTTCTGGACTACGCCCATGGTTGTCATGCACTTGCCGTAACCAAGTTTTAGCCTATTGATTTTCCTCTTCTTGCGTTTTGTTTTGGTTTCAGTTTGGTTTGGTTCTTTTTTTTTTTATTGTTATTATTTTGTTGACCGAAAAACCGAGTCACTGGGTCGCAGTAAGCCGCCTGAACACAGGGGGGTTGCAGTGGGTTGGATTTATGACACCAATTATTTATGAATTCTAAATTTGTTTGGCCCATTGCCAGCGAGACAGACACACAGACAGACAGGCAGTCGGAGAGTTGCAAAAGAAGTCCCCATCCCCACCCAACAGGCAGGGTCGTCTTTGGAGAGGGAGGGCCTGGGCCCAGGTAACATTTGATACGACCTCAGGGGGGGAGGGAGCGACGAAAAAAATGCAAAATACTACCAGTGACTAGCCTAAAAATATAGATACGGTGGAAGGATTCCAAAAAAAAAGGGAGAGTGAAAAAAGTTATGGAAAATAAATAGTTTCTTTTATAAGACATATTTTTGTCATAAAATTATTATTACTATTTAAAAAATTAATATTTATTATTTAAACAAGGTTTTTTAAGAAAACATTTCTTACAAATGGGAAATTTTCTTTTCTTTAACTAATTTGATAAATTTCCTTTATTAATTAAGTTCTAGTTCTTGAAGTTCTAGTTCAAGTGTCTAAATGGAAAGGTTAAAGATTTTGAAAGAAGATAATTGAAAGATTTTTCAAGTTGTTATTTTAGTTTTGACTTTGAATATGAAAATGGAAAATAGAATTTTCCGTTTTTGATTTAAAACTTTTGATAAATTGAGATAGTAAATATATCTAAACCTTTTGATAGATATGGGAAAATGTATTTACGAAATATTTCTCGATTGTTTTTATTCAAGAACTATTATTTTTTAAATGATAATAGAATATGGTATTATCTTGAAACACAACGTTTACAAGGAAATATATTTCTCTTAAAACAGGAAATTCAATTATCTAGAAATTATGTAGATTTTTTCATGCCTTTTAAAAGTTGTATATCTTTTGAATTATTCTCTAAAATATTTATAATTTTTTTGTGACTTGGGGAATCCCTAAAGAGAACCACTGTATAGCCCCTGCTCCACTATTCCAGAGACCCTAATGACAGTCAACTTTTGCTTTTCTTTCGACAGCAAGTTTTGGGCTCAAGGACGTCACCGGTGGAGTAGCGGTGGTATCGGTATCGGATTGAAGGAGCAGCAGAGAGGAGCAGAAGGTGCAGGACAGAAAGAGGAGCATGTCGGAGCGCAGGAGTCACATACAGATGGCGCCACCGCCGCCGCCCCCCAAGCCAAACAAATCGCAATCGCAGACGACAGCCAATGGAAACGGTAATGCCAATGGAAACGGAATCCTGCCGAACGGCAATAACAATGGCTACAATGGTAGTAAAAGTGTCGCAGTCCCCGGACCCGGACTAGTAGATAGACAGCAACAGCAACAGCTACAGAAACAGGATACCCCGAATCCGAATCAGAAGTCTAGCGCCGTTCCAAGGAGCCAGACGCCACCACGGACAGAGCAGGTAGTGATGACTCCGCGTGGCAAGACCGCTAACAGTACGGTTATACTCATCGAGCGTAAGCTGGTCGATGAGATCAATGATCGGGTGCATGTGGCCGGCGGTGATCACACCGGTATCATCATCAACAAGGACACCGTTGCCGGTCAGAAGAGTGCCAGCAAAGCGGCGGCCCTGTCCTTGGAGTTTCGTGTCTTTTTGGTTAGCGCCAATACGGGCAAGCATTCCCAGGAGTCGAGGACATTGCGTTTCTGGTTCCGTGACTGGCTGACCAATGACGAGAAACAGGCTCACATTGCCCAGGACTTTTTCAAGGAGCTAGTGAGTCCACAGGACTTTCCCAGAGGTGGGTGTTAAGGTCTTGGGAGGAAAGTGTCTTTAATATTATACCTGATCCTGTTTCTTTCCAGATTATGTTGGTTTCATTAAGAAGATAATGAAACTACTGCAGCATGGCTATTCCGAAATCCAATCCATTGAAATAGAGCTGAGAATTTTGGAAGAAACTTCGGCACCTCCTTCGCGACCACGTGAGTATTAACTGTTAGATACCCGGTACTTCTTAAGAGTACTATTCCTTTTAAAATAATGATCAAGACCTAAAAAAAAAAGTCTTAAAACATTAATTAAAATATATATATGATATATGTATGATTCTCCTCTGGGTTCGGTGCGTTTGGTTATCTGGTTCGGAGTTCAGCCCGGGATGGTTACATCATTTATTGTTATGGCGATTGCAACCGGAAGTACGAGGAGGCGCTGATCGCGCAGCGGAAGACAGGTGACGGCGACCACTTGATGAAGGCCATTTGGCTGGACATGTACACCGAACAGCTGAGCGCCAGGCGGAAGTGATAAGCCCGACACACCCACCACTTCCTCCTACCACCTAGCCAGCTTCCGCTCTTCCGCTCTCTCCTCAACAAAGATCCTCTAAAAAACAAAACAACTAATCATCTAATCCGCTCAACGAATTCCACATTTTCCACTTACGCCTCCTTTTTGTTTCGGTTTTTTGTTCTTTGTTGTTTTTATCTTCGATTTCGTACTAATGCACGCACTATAATTCACAAAAAATTCCAAATCAATAATAAAAAACATTGCGCACCTCTCAGAAATTAAATAATTGTAAAAAAAAAACAAATAAAATAAAGGTTTGAAAAGTGCTTAGGTTCATAAATGGCTTACAAACTGTATAGGTTCTTGGTGTGCTTCTAAAACCTGCAGGTTCTTAGGGGGCTTGCAAACTGTTCAGCCCTTTCGGTTATTCAAAGGCTTCAAAACTGTATAAGTTCTATGAGGGATTATAAAACTTATTAGGGTCTTACAAGGCTTACAAGCTGTACAACCCTTTTGGTTCTTAAAAGGTCTGAAAGCTGTATAGGATCTATGTATGGGTCTAACTTATTAGGGTCTTAGAAGGCTTGCAAACTGTACAACCCTTTAGGTTCCTCAATGGCTTGCCAAATGTATACGTACTCAGTACGATTGTAAAACTTACAACGTTCTTAGATGGCTTGCAAACTGTAAAAGCATTCAGGTTCCAAAATTACTTGAAATTAATTAAGTTAATGGTGTTTCTTTGTTAGTTATAACGTGATTTTTAAACTATTACGACCTTAGATCTTACCATAGTTCTTCAACTATTAAGGGTTATTGTTTCCTGGAACTGGAAATGTACAGTTTCCAGTTTTTGGATTAATAAGGAGAATATATATTTAAATAGATTTCAATTATATATTTTTTTTATTTACTTCAAATTCCATTAACAATATTTTAGCTATTAGTTACTGAAAAATATTAGGGCTAGTTTTGAGCGACTGAGGTAGATTCCCGCGGCTTTTAAAACTGTAGATCAAACTGTAGCTAGCTAAGACTAAACTGTTAAATGCTTTTCAAACCTTGAAACCCAAATTATTTGATTAAGTTAAATAAAAATTCTAGAAAAATGAGCTATAAAAATGTATATATGGGCTTTTTGGAATTTAAAAAATTAAATAAACCTAAAACCTCTAATTTTGGGTTTTGACTCTTAATTTTTTATTTTTGTGAATGTAGAGCAAAAATTTTTAAAAATTTAAAGAAATTATATTTTGTGTTTTGTGTTAATAAAATGACCTCAAAAATCTCGAAACCTCTTTAAATAATTCACCAAAACTATAAATGAAATGACTTTAAGGACGAGTTGTCGAATGTCGAGTTCATTGCCTTGCCGTTGCAATTACCGCCCCTGTTGCGCCCCGAATGCCACGCCCACTGCAATGACACCTTAAGTGTCCAATTTGTCTGCTGTCTGCCATTAAAATATGCTGCTTGAGCATTTAATTGACTGCCACGCCCCCCTCGTTGTTGAAGAGTTCGTTTTGCAAATGTGTGAGTGTACTAACAGACACTGCCTAACCAGCCACGCCCACCGCTCAGAGTAGATGTGATTGCCTTGCTAACCAAAAAAGACATCCTGACAGAAAAATATTTAATTTGAATTTCTAAACGTCTGGCTTTAATTTGTTGGATTTTTTTATTTCTATAGTATCCCTGGAGGAATCCCAGTTTGAATCTCCACCTTTGACCCAGGAAAAAGTGCTGGAATTAATCGAGCAGGCCTATCCCAATCCAGTATCGCCCGAAGATCTGGCCAAGTATGTTTATTTATTTAAAAAATAATAACCATTTTTCAAAAATTGAATAATTCTTGATTTTTAGGGACTATGGTTGGACTGAGCAGGATGTCCTGCTGGTGATTCAGTCCCTACAGGAACGTGGCCTCATCAAACTGATGGAGTACAATGCCTATACCCGCATCCACCACGAGGACAAGGAGATCAAGGTGGTCAAGCAAATGCCCACAATCGCCTCCAACAAGCAGCCCACCATCGCCATCATTACGGCTCAGTATTGCGAAAAGCTGGCCGTTGATGCCATGTTGGAAAATAAGGAGACATTCGTCCGATACACCACAGTCGGTAGGTTGAAATCGATCAAAAATCGATTAATCGAATTATCGATAAAAATGTCCCACAAAAAAAAACCAAAATTGAAACTTTAACTAATCTACCTAACTCTCTTTTTCTCTCTGTTTCTCTTTCCTCCCCAAAAAAAACCAAAACATATTTTTTCTGTTCCCTAACCTATCTACACCGATGGCCAAAAAAAAATATATATATGAATATATACCCACACCTCACCATGAAAAATCCGAATGAATTACCGAATGAATTTGCATAAAATTTTGTTGATTGTTCGCTTGCCTGCAAAAATCATACTTCTCAAAAAAACCAAAACAAAACCACCTGAATGCTATCATCCGATTCCTACCCCCCCTGATAACAGATTCCGATCCCAATCTAACGAACTCACTCAGAAAGTCCAAAAAGAAACGAAGATTTGGTAAGCCAATGTCCAGAAAGCACAATCTAAAAACGTTCGCACCCATAAATAATCACTAACAAGTTCATAACTGCGAGTTTTCTAACTGCAGCAAGGTCACACTATCTTGTAAATAAACCAGTGTGCCCTTGCTGGTTAACCAAATAATCAAAAACTATCTATTGAGTGAAGACTGTACCATAATGACTTGTCATAAACTTGCTTAGAAAAAGTTATGAACTTGGCCTAGAATAATTTGATTTCGTGTCTTTTATTTTTGTGTATTGTGTGTGTGAGTGTATGTCTTTGTTTGTGTTTAGTTTGGTCATCAGTTTGTTTTATTTGTTTGTTGTTATGGTAAAAGGATTCGTTAAGGTCCAAGAGCGGGGGGCAACATGACCTTTATTATTTGTACAGACATGTAACTATCACTGTGAGATGGATGGATTACATTCGTCACGCACCGGGCTCATCAAATGGTTAAACATTAACTAATATTTATAAATATAAACATTTATTTATATAAATAGATGGATGTAACTGAGATGGTTCATAAAAGTAGACTTTTGCGAAAGTTATTATTTTTATGAAACCATATTCTTTGTAAATTGATGTCTTAAATATAAACACCAATATTTGTACTTAATTTAATTTTTTAACCTTTTATTTTTATTATAAATCTTAGGCGAATCGAATGTGTATACCCTGGGAAATATCGGGGCACACAGGATCGTGAGCACCAAGCTACCATCGGTGGGCAGCACCAGGGAGGCGATGACGGCGACGGGTAATACCACCACCCGGCTATTGGGCACATTCCAGAAGGTGGACTTTGTCTTTATTGTGGGCGTGGCCGGAGGCGTGCCCCACTATACGGACTACAAGAAGCACGTACGATTGGGCGATGTTGTCATCTCGTATGTGGACAAGCAAAGGGCATTGATTAGCAACAGGTAAGGAATAATATTAATATAATAGCTTAATATTTATTAACTAATATTTTATATTTTTTAGCAAAGAAAAGCCTTACGTTTATCTGTACAAGAGCGGTGAGGATGTGAAGACCTATTTCCCGATCAACGACTCCCTGCAGCAGATCGCCGAGAGCCTGCAGGCCAATATGCAGGTGAAGCGGCCCTGGGAGAACTATCTCAGCCAGGCTCAGAAGACCCTCGCCCAGAAGACCGAAAGCGACTTCAATCGGCCGGACAGCAAAACGGACAAGCTCTTCATGAACATTGGCAACAACGAGGTGATCGAGGTGGCCCATCCCATTGCCGCCGATGAAGTGGACGGTGTGCCGCGGCTGCGCCTCCATCTGGGACCCATCGGCTCTGGCCGGGATCTGGTGAGGAGCGATGATCTGCGCACCCAATTCGCCAGGAAGTACGGACTGCTGGCCACCGATGTGGAGATGAGCTCCGTGCTGGACAGCATCATTGGCAATTGCCGGGAGAGCTTTATCCTGGTGAAGGGCATTGCCGATTACAAGGACGGTACCTCGACGAGGAAGTGGCAGAACTTTGCCGCCCTTTCGGCGGCGTCGGTCGTCAAGTCGGTGATCTGCGGCATGGATGCGCCGACGAACGTTTAGGGGGGGCCAGCATTTGGATATCATATCCACCGATTCCCTCATTCCTCAGCCCGTAATCCTCTAGCATTTTATTTGATTTTAACAAAGTCTAATTTTTTATCAATTCTTTTTTTTTCGGTATTCCTCTAAGAATCGGGCATGGAAGGGAAACTGGTGGGGGATTGTTTAAGTAAAAAACCAAAATGTGCATAGATTGCATTATATATTGTATGTTTGCGTAATATTGTATTAAATAATTTCTTGTTATTTATTTTGTTATAACTTTTGTACTACAAACAATCTAATTTACACACACACACACACAACAACAACAACACACAACGTATATAAAACACATATATACAACAGTAAATAAATAAATAAATCAAGCAACTAAGTTTGCAAATATAAATAAATGGAGTTTAAATATTTAAAATACAAACATTATTCAAATTTAAATTCAAATAACAGATGGCGCGCCAAAGGTCTCATTTTCCCGAACGCGTTATCACATTTTCTCTCTTTGAAGTTATGGGCAGCACTTTTCTTGTTAAGAAAAAAGCTAAAGCCAAAAGGCTGCGGCTGAAAATCAGAATTTATTAATTATAGCGCATTAGCGCATACATATTAAAAAATCCTACGTTTTTTTTTTATAAATATCTAAAAAAATGCAAATTTATTAAAATTTTAATATAAAATGCCTAAAGTAGTAATATGTTTTTTACAAAAAACTTTACAAAACAAAATCTAGTCTTTAATAATCAGCTATTAAAAAAAAGTAAATAAATTTATTTAAATTTTAAAGTCGTTAAATCTATTAACAGAATAATTTAAAAGTCTAGCTAGAAAACAGCCAAACCGCCAAAGATCCAAGCTCAGAACGGATAAGAAGAAGAGTGTGAGTGAGGCGGCGAATTTGGTTGTCGGCTGCGCCACACGTTTTTCAATTCATTTGCGCGGTAAGTGATATAAATCGACAAGAAAACAAGGGAGCTTGATTGTTTTTGTAGCAGCGAGCGTGATAACATCACAATTTGATCAAATTCTGCTAAAAGCAATCAAAATAAAATCAACCGCGTCTTATTTAAAAAAAGTAAAAAAATAAAGGAACGAAAACGTGCTCACCCACAACCCAAAGTGCAAGTGCATCAGAGTGGGAACACCATAGTGGACAGTTAATGTGAGTGTTAGAAAGGATAACGGAACTTCATGTAAAGGAATCTTTTTTTTCATGTCATTTTTTATTGTACAATTAATGAATTTGTTTTTAATTTAAAATGAAAACCCCATTGTGTCCTTGTTATCTTGATTAAGCTTTTGTTATTGTTTCAAAAATAAAAACTGGTTCCCACAATTGGGAAGTCTGGGATTCTTACACACGTGTTTGTACGCACACACACACGCACACCAATCGGCCGACTTCATTAATTTTTTGTCTATGATTTCCTTTTATCTCTGGCCCGATTGCCGTCGCGGTTGTCGTGGTCGCTTGTCGCTGTCGCCAAGTAAACAAACCTCAAACTGGGCTGAATAACAAAAAACAAGAACAACCACAACGAGATAAGCCCTGTCCATTCCCAATTAAAATCGTGTTGCTCCGTCGGCTTTTTGGTTTATGTATAGTTTTTCCCTTTTGCTTTAAGCTCTTCTTGTTGTTGTTGTTGATGTTCTTTTTAAGAGTCAGGTGAGAAAGAAAGAGAGAGGATGTATATGCCGGCTTTGGGGCAGCTTCACTCTCTGCTGGGGGTTGTCGTATTGTGGGAGGGAGTGGAAAAGAGAGGGAGAGATAAAAACACATGTTGCTTTTGCTTTTGCGTCGCATTTTTTGTTGGTACCGTAGAATATCTTAAAGCTCCGAGGGTATATAGGTTAGGGGGGTTCACATGTAACCTTTATTTATTTTTTTTTTTTTAATTATTTTCCATGCAGTACAGAAATCCAAGATGCCAAACGAAAACAAGGAATGTTATTTGGTTCTGGAGGATGGCACTGTCATGGCCGGCAATGCCTTCGGCTACGTGCCATCGAACCGACCCGGTGGAGATGCCGTAGCTGGTGTCGGCGGCGAAGTGGTCTTCCAAACGGGCATGGTCGGATACACAGAAGCCCTCACCGATCGCTCCTACAGTGGCCAGATCCTGGTGCTGACCTATCCACTAATTGGCAACTATGGTGTCCCGGCGCCCGACGAGGATGAGCACGGTCTGCCGCTGCACTTTGAGTGGATGAAGGGCGCCGTTCAGGCCACGGCCCTGGTGGTGGGCGAAGTGGCCGTCAGTGCCTGGCACTGGCGACTCTGGAAGACGCTGCCCCAATGGCTGGAGATGCACAAAGTACCCGGAATCAGTGGCATAGATACCAGAGCACTGACCAAAAAGCTCCGCGAACAGGGCAGTATGCTGGGCAAGATTGTTTACGAGAAGCCACCGATCCAGGGTCTGGAGAAGAGCAGTTTTGTGGATCCCAATCTCAGGAATCTGGCCAGAGAATGCAGTGTCCAGGAGCGCAAGGTGTTCGGAGATCCGAATGGATCCGGTCCGCGCATTGCCATCCTTGATTGTGGCCTTAAGCTGAATCAACTGCGATGCCTGCTGCAGCGAGGTGCTTCGGTTACTCTGCTGCCGTGGAGTGCCAACCTGGAGGAGGAACAGTTCGACGCCCTCTTCCTGTCCAACGGTCCGGGTAATCCCGAGAGCTGTGATGAGATCATCCAGCAGGTGAACTGCCTCCACTATTATTAGAAACTCTACTAATATCCTCCTCTGTAGATTCGAAAAGTCCTGAAAAACGGAACGAAACCCATTTTTGGCATCTGTCTGGGCCACCAGCTCCTGGCGAAGGCCATCGGCTGCTCCACCTACAAGATGAAGTACGGCAACCGAGGTCACAATCTACCCTGCCTGCACCGGGCCACTGGCCGGTGTCTGATGACGTCGCAGAATCACGGTTATGCCGTGGATCTGGAACAACTGCCCGTGGATTGGTCCGAACTGTTTGTAAATGCCAACGATGGCACCAACGAGGGCATTGTCCATGCCACAAAGCCCTATTTTTCGGTGCAGTTCCACCCGGAGCACCACGCCGGACCGCAGGATACCGAGTTCCTGTTCGACGTCTTCTTGGAGAGCATCAAACGCAAGGATGTGACCATTGCCCAGTTGATTGAGCCGCATTTGAAGCCGGCAAGGATTGCCGACCAGCCGGCGGTGGTGAAGCCGCGCAAGGTGCTGATCCTGGGCTCGGGCGGTCTGTCCATTGGCCAGGCCGGCGAGTTCGACTATTCCGGATCGCAGGCCATCAAGGCTATGCGGGAATCAAATATCCAGACGGTGCTCATCAACCCGAACATAGCCACCGTCCAGACCTCGAAGGGCATGGCGGACAAGTGTTACTTCCTGCCCCTGACGCCGCACTACGTGGAGCAGGTGATCAAATCGGAGAGGCCCAACGGAGTGCTTCTTACGTTCGGCGGTCAGACCGCCTTGAACTGCGGCGTGGAACTGGAGAGAGCCGGTGTCTTTGCCAAATACAATGTGAGGATTCTGGGCACACCCATCCAGTCCATTATAGAGACGGAGGATAGGAAACTGTTTGCCGACCGCGTGAACGAGATTGGCGAGCAGGTGGCGCCCTCAGAGGCGGTCTATTCCGTGGCGGAGGCCCTGGAGGCGGCTAGCCGTCTGGGCTACCCTGTAATGGCCAGAGCTGCCTTCTCCCTGGGTGGCTTGGGTTCCGGCTTTGCCAACAACGAGCAGGAGCTCCAGAGCCTGGCCCAGCAGGCGCTGGCCCATTCCAGCCAACTGATCGTGGACAAGTCGCTCAAGGGCTGGAAGGAGGTGGAGTACGAGGTGGTGCGCGATGCCTACGACAATTGCATCACCGTCTGCAACATGGAGAACTTTGATCCGTTGGGCATACACACCGGCGAGAGTATAGTGGTGGCTCCGTCGCAGACCCTCTCGGATCGGGAGTACCAGATGCTGCGGAGCACCGCCCTCAAGGTGATCCGCCACTTTGGGGTCGTCGGCGAGTGTAATATCCAGTATGCGCTGTGCCCCCACTCCGAGCAGTACTACATCATCGAGGTGAACGCCCGTCTGTCGAGGAGTTCCGCACTGGCCAGCAAAGCTACCGGATATCCGCTGGCGTATGTGGCCGCCAAGCTGGCATTGGGATTGCCGCTGCCGGAGATCCGCAACTCGGTGACGGGCAATACGACGGCCTGCTTCGAGCCATCGCTGGATTACTGTGTGGTGAAGATACCGCGCTGGGATTTGGCCAAGTTCGTGCGGGTCAGCAAGCACATCGGCAGCTCCATGAAGAGTGTGGGCGAGGTGATGTCGATCGGGCGGACCTTTGAGGAGGCGTTCCAGAAGGCGCTGCGCATGGTGGACAGCGATGTGCTCGGCTTTGATGCCGGCGTCCTGTCGGTGGACGAGGACCAGTTGGCCGATCAGCTGTCGGAGCCCACAGATCGCCGACCCTTCGTCCTGGCCGCTGCTCTGGAAAAGGGTTTGTGCATCCAGGAGCTTCATGACCTGACGAAGATTGATAACTGGTTTCTGGACAAGTTGGATAGGATCATCAAAATGAATAGCGAGCTCAAGCTTGGCAGCAACGAACAGAGGGCTGACCTCCTGCTGGAGGCCAAGCGTTTGGGTTTCTCCGACAAGCAGATAGCGAAGGCCTTCAACAGCACGGAACTGGCCGTTCGGCACCTGAGGCAGGAGCTCGGCATCCGGCCGCACGTTAAACAGATCGACACCGTGGCCGGTGAGTGGCCGGCTAGCACCAACTACCTGTACAACACGTACTCCGGGTCCGAGCACGATGTGGACTTCCCCGGCGGACACACTATCGTTGTGGGCTCGGGTGTCTACAGAATCGGCTCGTCGGTGGAGTTCGATTGGTGCGCCGTTGGGTGCCTGAAGGAGCTGAGGAAACTGCAGCGACCCACCATCATGATCAACTACAATCCGGAAACCGTGTCCACCGACTACGACATGTGCGATCGGCTGTACTTCGAGGAGATCAGCTTCGAGGTGGTCATGGACATCTACGAGATGGAGTCCAGCGACGGCATCATCCTCTCGATGGGCGGCCAGTTGCCGAACAACATTGCCATGGACTTGCATCGCCAGCAGGCCAAGGTTCTGGGCACTTCGCCGGAGTCCATTGACACGGCCGAGAACCGATTCAAGTTCTCCCGCATGCTTGACCGCAAGGGCATCCTGCAGCCGCGCTGGAAGGAGCTGACCAACCTCCAGTCGGCCATCGAGTTCTGCGAGGAGGTCGGCTATCCCTGTTTGGTGAGGCCGTCGTATGTCCTGTCCGGCGCCGCCATGAACGTGGCCTATTCGAATCAGGATCTGGAAACGTATCTGAACGCCGCCTCCGAGGTGAGTCGGGAGCATCCGGTGGTCATCTCCAAGTTCCTCACCGAGGCCAAGGAAATCGATGTCGATGCGGTGGCGGCCGATGGACAGATCCTCTGCATGGCCGTCTCTGAGCACGTGGAGAACGCCGGCGTTCATTCCGGTGATGCCACTCTGGTGACGCCGCCCCAGGATCTCAATCCGGAGACCCTGGAGGCCATTAAGCGGATCACCTGCGATCTGGCCAGTGTCCTGGATGTGACAGGACCCTTCAACATGCAACTCATCGCCAAGAACAACGAACTGAAGGTCATCGAGTGCAATGTCCGTGTCTCCAGATCCTTCCCCTTCGTCTCCAAGACTCTCGATCATGATTTTGTTGCCACGGCGACCCGGGCCATTGTCGGCCTGGATGTGGAGCCCACGGATGTCCTGCACGGCGTGGGCAAGGTGGGCGTGAAGGTGCCCCAGTTCAGCTTCTCTCGGCTGGCCGGCGCGGACGTTCAGCTGGGCGTGGAGATGGCCTCCACCGGCGAGGTGGCCTGCTTCGGCGACAACCGCTACGAGGCCTACCTCAAGGCCATGATGTCCACCGGCTTCCAGATACCCAAGAACGCCGTGCTCCTTTCGATTGGCAGTTTCAAGGTAGGCTTATACCTTAATTTTTCATATTTTTTATTTAAAGTTTTTAATTTAATTTTTTAACTCTCTGGTAGCACAAAATGGAGCTATTACCTTCCATTCGGGATCTGGCCAAGATGGGCTACAAGCTCTATGCTTCCATGGGCACTGGAGACTTTTATGCGGAACATGGTGTGGATGTGAGTACCGAGATGTATATTTTTTAAATATTGTTTAAATTAATTATTAAATTTCTGAATTAAAATCATAATATTAACAACTATCAAATTATTTATTAATTATTTAAAATTAAATACTTGCCTATTTAATTGTAAAAAAAAGTCAAAACACTAGGAATTTTTAGATTATCATTTTTTTAATAGAAGGTATAGTATGGTAGTAGTGTAGTACAATAGTGTAGGTATATTACAATAATATTATATTTTAGTATAGTATAATAGTATAATATATATAGAATGGACAGATATACTATACAGATATTAGAAAGATACAGATATCGACTGATATAATATATATAGTATGGTATAATTTTATGCATTGCAATGGTATGTTCATATATTTTCTTTTTATATTTTTTCTATTTCAAAATAATACTTATAGTAGTACTAGCGATAAAAGAATAATATTATGGTATATTAGTATGATATATTAGTGAAGTAAAGTATTTGTGAAGTATAGTATAGTACATAGTATAATTTTAAACATTAAAATGGTTTATTCCTATCATTTCCTTTTAATTTTTCAAATAATACTTTTTACATAGAGTTCTTGTCCAGACATTTCCCTATGATATATTGCCGAATATACTATCCCAACTATCCCTAGTACCTCTGTCGATAACGTTATATGAACATATATGTGTTGATTGATGTAATCTGATAGCAATGTACTTATATATATAGATAGGCTTATTTATAGATCTTTTTCGTGGAATGGCCTACAATTTATAGGTTAATTCCTTAATTACTCTACTGACGCAATTCTTGTCAGTTGTATCTTATCGCAACCGACTTTTCTTGATTATTTATTATATGGAATATTATTATATGGTTATATGGAACTCCTTCCGCCTGCGGAACAACCTAGTTTAGGAAGTCCTTCAACTTCTCCGTCTTGGGTAGAACAATTTTTTTAAATTTATTCCGTAAATTGGAATCACCATCGAATCGATTCAGGAAAGCGTTTAGGGGATTCTTTGAGCTATCGTTGAGGACAGTTTCCTGAGTCTCCTCGATCTTGGGTCTCTCCTGATTCTCCTCATTCACATCAGTCTCTATGGGATCATGGTCCTCAACGATTACGTCTATTTTGTCCAAATCTTCTTCGGGGTTTTGGCGAATACTTTCGCGATTCGGATTTGGCGAACGATGGATCTTCGCCGGTGAGTTGGGCGAGTGAATCTGAACTGTGTCTTCGAAGGTGACTCTTTTCTCCACGGGAACTCCTCGGGGCAGGACCGGCGTCTCGCTCATGGCCTCAATTTTGGCAGCTCCTTGCTGGAGTTCTTGGACAAAGTGCTGGGACTTTTGGGAGCAGCCGAGATTCTGGTACAACCGACAGAGTAGCTGACCCTGCTCCAGATACAACTGGGCATGATCACGATTGCCAAAGTGCACGGCTTTCGCCAGCATGGCCAGGGCGTGGTCCAGTAGGAGCTCGAGAATATTGGTGCGTCGCAGGATCTCCAGGCCGTCGTTCAATTGGGGCTTGCCCAAGGACTCCTGGTAGCCGGAAGAGGCAACGGAAGATATCGAGGCGGAGCTGTAGGAATAATCGGAATAATCGCCCGCCAACTTCAGAAGATCGTCGAGGTCATCTAGATCTTGTGGCTTATTTTGTTTCGGTCTTGGCTGCCTTTGTTGGATTCTTCGCCGTTGCTTAGTTTTGGGTCGCTCCTGGTGCTCCGGCAGGCCGAGAAAACCCTTCGCATCGGTAACTTGTCTCGGCGTGCTGGACGGCGCCTCCTGCTCCAGCTCCTGGCTATTTTCCAGTTCAGCGAGGAGACGAGAACTCGTGAACTTACCCCAACCTTGCAGGTCCAGGTAGTCGTTGCTACACAGATTCTCCAGCAATCGTTTGTAGTCCAAGGGGGGATAGAAGTCCGGCGAATGTTGGAGATTCCTCAGAGCGTGCACAACGTGGAGTAATGGCTGCTCTGCTATTCCAGACATTATCCTTTTCAGCTCCATCAGCGTATACTCTGGGATGTGCTCGAAGAGATTCCTCTCCTCGATGAAGTAGTCCCTCAAGTGTTTGCGGGCCAGACAGTCGGCAAAGGTGCGAATGAACCGCACCAGACTCTCGCCCAGAAACTCCCCCGGCCAGTCGTTGCTATAGAGCTCGCACTGCCAGAACAGGTGCGCCCGTAACTGCTCCAGCAGATCGCCGGGGGATTGGTCGCACGACCCCTCCACAAAGGTCTTCATCAGTAGCTTCATAAGCTGGAACACCTTCAGTTGCATGGGCGTGAGACAGTGCCGTTCCAGGTACAGTTCCGCCTGGGGAAATCGAATCTTCCACTCGAGATCCCTGAAGGGATTCAATGTGTGCTTGGGCGAATAGCCCACCGGAACCAAGTGGAAGCCCATGGAGCGAATCTTATCTCGCATCTGCTTGGTGGGCCACTGGAATTGCTCGCCCGTGTGGATATTTGTGACCTGAGATCGGTCTCGCAGGCCGAAAGCAAAGGCACATTCCGGCACAAAGGGCACATGGATGGCGGGCACAAGCTCCTCTCGACTGGTATAGACACTGCATCCGCGATACTTTCCAGTCCTCAGTTGAGAGTCGGTGATGCCCAGTTCTGGTCCCATTTTCTGGCGTAGAAGTTCTCCGAAATAGAGCATGAAATGTGGTGAACCAAGGTAGCACTGTTGCAGTTGCTCCGCATGACATTGTCGGTGAATTTGTACTTTCTCATAGCCAGCAGGAGAATCCTCGGCGTCCTCATCCAGCTGCTCCGCTGACTGATCCTCTTCCTGCTCGTCCTCCTGATCACTAGACACATCTTCGTTATCGCTCTGCTCCGGCCAAGATGGCACATAATCGGCTAACCGACGCACACATGCCGGTGGCAACTGATTACTCGTCACAGGATCAATCCCCGTCAGCTTCAGGTCATCAAATGGACGAAGTTTGCTCAATTTGTCCAAGTATACATGATCGTAGACATCGGATGAATAACCAGAACTGGCCGAGGTCAGGGAGTAGGTGGATGAGCCACCCTTCGAATAGATCTCACCCTCGTCGAGGCTGTCAGTTGGTGACTCCACGCGAGGATATCCGGCCTGATCTCGTAGCTTCAGTCGCACATAGCCCTTCCACCAGGTCTGCTCCATGAGCGAAGAATACTTGGAGAAGCACGGCATTGTCCGGTAGTAGTCCGTTTCGAGGATCACCTTGCACAAGGCGGAAATGGAGTCATAGTTGGCATCTTGAGGTCCAGAAACGTCCACATTCTCAAAGATCACATAGGTGAGGGGTTTTTGAAGTGGCTGGAGAGATGACTTTGAGGTCCTACAAAAAAACAGGGGGTATATAAGTTTTAGATAGAGATTTTAACTCAAAAGTGTAACAGATTTAAGGTTTAAAAAGTCACGTTCGCCACAATTTAATATACACCGAGTCGTTTGACACCTTCTCAAAAAATAAGCAAGTTTTCTTCTTTAAAAAGTATAATTTTGCTGAACTTTTGATTTAATTTAGTGGAGGTTTTACGGCAGAGATTTAACTATTTTTCTAATACACTTCCATAAATATAAATTGGAATTAATCGAGAGGCATTTTGTTTTAAGAAAGCATTCTAAAAATTTCTTTATAAATATATAATTTTGTTCAACCTTTGATTTTTTTTCAGAGACTCTAACCTCTATGGTGAAGGCTTAGAGGTTTTAGGTTTAAAAATTCACGGTCGCCACAATTTTGTTTTCAATACACTTCCTTCAAAACCAACTTGAATTAATTCGTTCATAACTTTTTTAAAATAATCATTATTTTCTTTTTTTAAATTATAAGGTGGTGCCACTTTTGATTTATTTTGATAGGTGATTGGAGAGGATTTAGGTTTAAAAAGTCACGGTCGCCACAATTTTGTTTTCAACAAACTTCTACAAAAAATGTCCTACCCAGACTTGTAGAGCACATTTCGGGCCACAGCCAAGTCAATGGCACTGCTCTGGATCAGGCTATGATCACTGGAGTTGTACTTCTTTGCGTTCGCATCCACCTGGGCCAGTTCTGGTTCGAAATGGGCAAAGAACTGAAGGCCCAGTAGGAGCTGGTTGAGCAGAAACATGTGCAGTCGGCCATCCAATTGCTGGAGAGTCTTCTCCTCGACTGTACGCTGGAATTCCTCGCGTTGCTGTTCCAATGTCCGGGCATACAGAGCACTGACACATTCGGTGGCACTACTACCATTGCTGCCACCCATTAGACGCAGCTGGGGCGCCAGATTTTTCCCATAACTTTGCAACTCCAGAGGCTTTTCATGGCGCGTTTTTCGATTATGTTTGTTTTTTATTTTCTGGATCGAGTGCTGCTCTTTTATTCGATCCTTGTTCCGATCACGAAGCTGTGGAATTCCGGCTTGGAGAGCATTCGGTGTGGAGGAATTATATGCCTCCGATTTCGACCAATTACAACCCATTTTGGACGTATCAGAGATCTGACATCAGTGATCTTTGATCGGCAATACACGACTGATGTGTTACCATAGTTTGTTCTACTCTTGCTGCCATTGAAAGCAACTCAATTCTGATAAGATAAGATGAACAATCAGACACCATAATCAGGTATTGAAGAGCTCCGACTTCCCCTGACACTGTTTGCTTCCGGCACCCGGAGGGGTATTAGACGCGTTCCGTAACACGAATTACATATCGTCCAAAAATGATCCAACTTGTGTTTTTGTGCGTTTTAAAATAAAGTAGATTGAACAATTTCCAGGAGAGTAGTACGGGGTATCTCATAGTTGCTTTACCATACATACAGTTTCTAATTTATAATTGAGTATCAATAAAGACATGAAAAGTGCATCAATAACGATATATCTACATTGGGCGACAAGTTGGTACTGTCCTTGGGCTGTCAAGTACATCTGTTTATTCATTAATATTTGCTTTTACATTTTATACAATCTCTGTTTGGCTTGCAGGTGGAATCTGTGCAGTGGACGTTCGATAAGACGACTCCGGATGATATTAACGGGGAGCTGCGTCACCTGGCCGAGTTCCTGGCCAACAAGCAGTTCGACTTGGTCATCAACCTGCCCATGAGCGGAGGAGGTGCCAGACGGTGAGTTGAACGGTAGTTGAAATGGTAGTACGGGAAAGGTAACTAGTAGCCCTGGAGCCCTCTTATTGTTATTAGTATTGGCCTAGGCTTATAAGAACCTATCGCTATCGCTAGTTATGAACTTGTCCCATTATTTGTGCATTGCTTCTTTTTTCTTCATTGTATGTTATCAAGACACACATTAGCATGAGACCTTATAAGCTCTGAGCTTTAATAATTGTATTAATAGTAACCAGTCCAATAAAGTCATATTACCTCAAGGTTAATTACACACGAGTTCAAAATAGAATCAACAAAATGTTTCAAAGACCCACTGCCCTCATTCGAATAGGACACAACAATTATAATCTGATACACAGAAAATGGAACTACGTTTTAACAAACCTCAAAATTTACCATCAGATCTGCTCCAGTATTTAATTTCAAGTTATCTGGTTCCATTATCTAATATATACTTCTCTCGATACGGAACTAAAATGAAATATCTTTAAACACTCCTGACACAATGTCTAGAAATGTAAGAACCTCAAACGCTTATATAGTTGTTTGTGTAACGACTGACTGTCTGAGGAAACAATTAGAAATTATGATTCACTTGTCAAACAGTATGACTTTAAAACGGGAACTCCTCCTTTATGGCCTACGAGATAGTGTGGTGTTTGTTTAATAATCAATTTCCGTAACTATATGGCTTATATCCCACTTGGGTTGTTTGTTTAACAAATTAATATGATTTCGAGTCTAAAATATACTTAATCATGGGTATTTGTAAGATATTAACAATATTTTACACCGCGGCTATAAATCATTATTGATATTCAAGAAATTGAAGCTATAATGCAAGTTCTTACGTTTCGGAAATTTAAATACCTTCAGTATTTGAAATAGTTAAAGTCCTACAGATTAGTGCTATAATAGATTTCTTTTCTATGTCCAGTATGGAAGAAAGAACGACTGTTTAGGTAGGTGACCAACTATCTACCTAAAGAGTAAACCTTTTCTATTATTTATACCTTTTAAAATTTAAATACTTTTATTAAAATTCTTGTTATATATTACAGTGTCTCCTCGTTTATGACCCACGGCTATCGCACTCGTCGACTGGCGGTCGACTATTCGATTCCCCTGGTGACGGATGTCAAGTGCACCAAGTTGCTGGTGGAATCGATGCGAATGACGGGCGGCAAGCCCGCCATGAAAACGCACACAGACTGCATGACCTCGCGGCGAATTATCAAGCTGCCCGGATTCATCGATGTCCATGTCCATTTGAGGGAACCGGGAGCCACGCACAAGGAGGACTTCGCCAGCGGAACGGCCGCTGCTTTGGCCGGAGGTGTGACAATGGTCTGTGCCATGCCCAATACCAATCCATCGATTGTGGATCGCGAAACATTCACCCAGTTCCAGGAGCTGGCGAAGAATGGTGCGCGCTGCGATTATGCGCTGTATGTGGGTGCCACTGACACCAATTGGGGGCAGGTCCAGGAGCTGGCCAGTCAGGCGTGTGGCCTGAAAATGTATCTGAACAATACCTTTGGCACGCTGAAGCTGACGGACATGAACTCCTGGCAGAGACATCTCACCCACTGGCCGAAACGGGCGCCCATTGTCTGTCACGCGGAGAAACAAAGCACAGCGGCTGTGATCCTGATGGCCCATCTGCTGGATCGGCCCGTTCACATCTGTCATGTGGCCAGGAAAGAGGAGATCCAACTGATACGGGGGGCCAAGGAGAAGGGCATGCGCGTGACGTGCGAAGTGTGTCCGCATCACTTGTTCCTGAGCACCAAGGACGTGGATCGATTGGGCTTCGGCATGGCGGAGGTCAGGCCTCTCCTGTGCTCCCTCGAGGATCAGGAGGCGTTGTGGGAGAACCTGGAGTATATTGATGTATTTGCCACCGATCATGCTCCACACACGTTGGCCGAGAAGCGATCGGAGAAGCCGCCACCTGGTTTCCCAGGACTGGAGACCATACTGCCCCTGCTTTTGCAGGCGGTCCAAGAAGGTCGCCTCACCCTGGAGGACATCAAGCGAAAGTTCCATCGCAATCCCAGGAATATATTCAATCTGCCGGAGCAACCGCACACTTATGTTGAAGTGGATTTGGACGAGGAGTGGACCATTGCAGGAGGCGAGCAAAAGACCAAGGCCGGCTGGACGCCATTCGAGGGCCAAAAGATCAAGGGACGTGTCCATCGCGTTGTGCTACGCGGCGAGGTGGCCTTCATCGATGGCCAGGTGCTGGTGAAGCCGGGCTTTGGTCAAAACGTGCGAGCCAAGCAGTCCGCCCTGCTACAAGCGGATCAGTCCGCCCAAGACCTTCTGCCCAGTGACAGTGATGCGAATGACACCTTTGCCCGACTCCTGACCACCGTTGACGGTGTCCCCGCTTCCGGTACGAAGGTTCACTTTGTGGACGAAACTAAAGAGTTCCTGCGCCCAGTTTCGCCATCACCACGCCTGCGTTTGGACTCCTCCAGCAACGCCACGTTACGGGAATACTTGCAACGCACCTCCATGCCCGGTTCGAGTCCGAATCCCGTTGCCCATTCACTGATCGGCAAGCACATCCTTGCCGTGGACATGTTCAACAAGGAGCACTTGAACGACATCTTCAATCTGGCGCAGCTGCTCAAGTCGCGGGTGACTAAAGATCGGCCGGTGGACGAGCTGTTGCGCGGAAAGATCATGGCCAGTGTCTTCTACGAGGTTAGCACCCGGACGCAGTGCAGCTTCGCTGCAGCCATGTTGCGTCTGGGCGGCCGGGTGATCAGTATGGATGAGGTCAGCTCATCGGTGAAGAAGGGCGAGTCCCTGGAGGACAGCATCAAAGTGATGGCCAACTATGCGGATGTCATTGTCCTGCGTCATCCCACCCCGGGAGCTGTTGCGGTCTGTTGATTGTTTCTTACCTTCATTTTCTGTTTAAAAATTAAAATATTTGTTATTTTCAGCGTGCTGCTGCCTTCAGCCGGAAACCTTTAATCAATGCCGGTGATGGGGTTGGAGAACATCCCACCCAGGCTCTTCTGGACATCTTTACCATTCGCGAGGAGATCGGTACGGTCAATGGCCTGACCATCACCATGGTTGGTGATCTGAAAAACGGACGCACTGTTCACTCACTGGCCCGCCTGCTCACCCTCTACAATGTAACGCTGCAGTACGTGGCACCGGAGAATCTCCAGATGCCTGACGAGATTACCAAGTTCGTCAGCTCGCGTGGAATCAAGCAGAACTTTGCCTATGACATCCAATCTGTGCTGCCCAGCACGGATGTGCTCTACATGACCCGAATCCAACGGGAGCGATTCACCAGCCAAGCGGAATACGAAAAGGTGAGCTTTGCAATTTTTGCGGCCACAAACGAAACCTATTTTGAATCTAAAATTCTGTTTCAGTGCTGTGGCCAACTGATTATTACGCCTAAGCTGATGACCCTGGCCAAGAAGCGATCAATCGTCCTGCATCCGCTGCCACGACTGGACGAAATAAGCCGTGACTTCGATTCCGATCCGAGGGCCGCATATTTCCGACAGGCGGAATACGGCATGTACATCCGGATGGCTTTGCTGGCCATGGTTGTTGGATGTCGCAACACAGCCATTTAGATTCGAAGCTTCAAAGCATAAAGTTCTGCCTTCTCTTGACACATTTTACGGATTTTCTCCTTTTTTTTATACCTTTTTTTATACAATCCAATTTTTTTTATTCACTTTTTGAAAATATAATTCAATAAGTTGTTTAAATTATATAACAAATTGTTATTTTCGTTATTTTTTTTTAATTTGAAAATAGTAAAAAGTTTTTAAAAATTTTTTTTCGCCTTCAAAGTCACGATTTTTTCGATTTTGGCCGAAAAACTTTTTGTCCGATTTCGGCAAAATTGGTGTGCAGTTCTATAGACTTTGGGGCGCTGATTTCGAAAATGCCGAGCGTTGCCAGATCGGAGCTTCAATGGCCGAGATATGGGCTCTAGAATCTCTGTTTCTGGCCCGATCTGGCAACCCTGCACATTTTCGGAATCAGCGTTCGAATGTCCACCGAACTGCATACCACGTTTTTCGATATCGAACAACTCATTTTCGACCGTTTTTTCGCAAAAATGGAAAGGCTAACCATCACGATTTTTTCCGATTTTCGCCAAAAATTTTTTTGTCCGATTTCGACGAAATTGGTATGCAATTCGAGAGACTTTGGGGCGCTGATTTCGAAAATGCCGAGCGTTGCCAGATCGGAGCTTCAATGGCCGAGATATGGGCTCTAGAATCTCTGTTTCTGGCCCGATCTGGCAACCCTGCACATTTTCGGAATCAGCGTTCGAATGTCCACCGAACTGCATACCACGTTTTTCGATATCGAACAACTCATTTTCGACCGTTTTTTCGCAAAAATGGAAAGGCTAACCATCACGATTTTTTCCGATTTTCGCCGAAAATTTTTTTGTCCGATTTCGACGAAATTGGTATGCAATTCGAGAGACTTTGGGGCGCTGATTCCGAAAATGCCAAGCGTTGCCGGATCGGGCCACAAACGGCCGAGATATGGGATCTAGAAAGCCCATTTCTGGTCCGATCTGGCAACGCCTCACACTTTCGGAATCAGCGCTCGAATGTCCACCGAACTGCGTACCACGATTTTTGATACCGAACAATTCATTTTCGACCGTTTTTTCGCAAAAATGGAAAGGCTAACCATCACGATTTTTTCCGATTTTCGCCGAAAATTTTTTTGTCCGATTTCGACGAAATTGGTATGCAATTCGAGAGACTTTGGGGCGCTGATTTCGAAAATGCCGAGCGTTGCCAGATCGGAGCTTAAATGGCCGAGATATGGGCTCTAGAATCTCTGTTTCTGGCCCGATCTGGCAACCCTGCACATTTTCGGAATCAGCGCTCGAATGTCCACCGAACTGCGTACCACGATTTTTGATACCGAACAATTCATTTTTGACCGTTTTTTCGCAAAAATGGAAAGGCTAACCATCACGATTTTTTCCGATTTTCGCCGAAAATTTTTTTGTCCGATTTCGACGAAATTGGTATGCAATTCGAGAGACTTTGGGGCGCTGATTTCGAAAATGCCAAGCGTTGCCAGATCGGACCACAAATGGCCGAGATATGGGCTGTAGAAAGTCCAATTTTGGTCCGATCCGGCAGCCTTGCACATTTTTGGAATCAGCGGTCAAATGTCCATCGAACTGCATACCACGTTTTTCGATATCGAACAACTCATTTTCGACCGTTTTTCGACTCGATATTATTACAACGCAATATCGATAGTCAATCCGATTCTATTTTGCGCACTATAGCACAGCTAATGTGCTGCAAAGCGCACTATCGCCCAATTGATGTGCTGCAAAGCGCACTATCGCCCACTTGATGTGCTGCAAAGCGCACTATCGCACGTTTATGTGCTGTAAGCGCACTATCGATAGTAAGTTACAACAGAGGCGCTTTATAGCGATTGTGCTTGCGATTGCGCACTTTTTAAATTACCCATAACTAATATAATTTTGTATTTTTACATTTCATTTGAATTTTCTGATAAGTTTTATAAATACAGTTCAAATATAAATATGTTTTCTCTATGAATTTTAACAGTACAAAAAAATATTAGGTAAATATACATATATATCATAAAAGATAATTCTGGAAGTCCTTAGGCTAAGTCTCAGTCTCAAAGGTTTACTAAACAAAATAAAAAAAAACCACACGCGTCCCAGTAGGTGCCATAATTAATACCGCTCCACCACAACCACTGATGTCGGCTGCCACTGCGTCTCCTGGTCTTGAGCCTTTACCTTGTCCAGGGTCAAGGTGCTCTCGGCGAAAGCAGCATTCAAATTTCCAGCCAATTGCGGTTGATCTGACTGGACACTGGTCATGGCCACGTTAGTGGAACTGCGGCTCTTACGTTTTAAGGGACTGTAAAGTATATACATATTATTAAAGTTTATAGAAATTAAAAATTTGTCTAAGCCATTAAAATTACCTTCGCTGCTTGCGACAGGCCACCATGGAGGCCAAAACGGCTAGAATTATAATGGCTGCCAGTAGTCCAGATAATCCAGCCACCATTGTCATCATTCCATGCGGTTCCCCGTCAGAAGTGACCTTGGTAACTGCCAGGAGGTCGGGCGCGAACGGAGGGAGGTGCGGTAAGAAAGGAGAAAGCAACAGGTGAGTGATTGGTTCAAATCGTCGGGTGTGTGAAATGTAAATTGGAGCCAAGGTCAAAGCCGTGTAAAGGTAAACGAATCACGACGTTAAAGCCGAGAGCTTTAAAAAATGCGTAACTTTGGGGAATTTCAGCATTGGAAAAACGACCTCAAATTATGCATTTTAGAAAGTTGCATTCGTTTTAAAATTTTAAAAGTTGTATTAAATTAATTTTAAACCTATATCAATTAAAACATTTGTAATTTTTTGGTTTGTGAATTTTTTGAAACAGAATGTCTTTAAAAGTGTCTCTTTGTTATTATTGAAAAAAAATGTTGTAATTGAAACTTTAGTAAGCTTAAGTACTTTAACTTTAGTCTTAATCTTGAAAATGAAAGGCACTTTTTCACATTCTTATCATTTCCTAAGAAGTGCATATAAAAATTTTAAAAAATTTTATTTGTTTTGTGTAAAATACGCCCAAGAAACTTTAGCTTTTCAGGGACAGGTGTCTGGCGTTGAACTTCAACTTGATCTGAACCGTTTCCATCATCCGATTCCATTCAAACCGATCCGATTTGTTTCAAACCGATCGGATATACCGAAAGCCATATATTCAGGTTTATTTAACGACAACGCCGACGGCGTCAACGCACTTCCGGACTTTCTAAGCCGGAAGAATGAAAGGCAAGGAACCCATTTGGCAACTACATTTAATTAATTATATTAATTAATTAATTTCACTTACTCGAATCCTCGACCACGAATCGTTTGGCATTGGGTGATGATTGCATATAACCGCCCAGCTCCATTTTCAGGTCCATACTATCTGGGAAATGGGAAAAACAAGAAAACGAAAACCCACAAGAGGGCCGTTAACCAATTGTTCAAATACAAATTATAAATTAATGAAGTTACAGTGAAGATTGCTTAAAATATACTCAAGTTATATAAAATAAGAATTATATAAAGAATTATATAAATATGTATTTTTTTATATAAATGGTTTAAAATTAGTTTGATTTATTTGAATCCTTGAAGGGTATAGTTAAGAGAAATTATTATCCAACACTTAGATACATAATTATACATATGTACATAAAGGTCTCCTTTTTTGAGATATTTTTTATAAAATATAAAAATTAAATATATCTTTTTTTATTTCTATCCTTAATAATTAAAATAATTTTATTGTTGATTTATAGTTTTCCAAACTTTGATCTTGGGAAGTCGGACGGACTGTATTGGCCCAGTTGCAGCAGACAAAAAAAAAGCCCGAAAGCACGCTCGACTTAACTTTATTAATTTTTTTTTTTTGGTTATTTGATTAGGCAATTCCCCTCTGCCGCAGCCTCTGCTTCGGTTTCTGCCTCAGTCGCAGTCGCTGTCGCCGTCGCTGTAGCAGTAGCTAATTAATTGGTCGGAGAAGCTAAGCTGATGTCGCTTATCAGCTGAGGGCAATAATTTTTGCCCAAGTTGAGATGTCAGTGATTTATTTGGCCATAATTACTTTGATTTTATTGCTTACAGGCCATTTTCGGCATCTGGCTGCAGACGCGGCATTAAGAGACACTTTTCAGATAATATTTGTCACTAAACTAGTCAACAGGTGGAACTCCTTAAGTGGTTTCTTAAGAGACTTTGGAGTGAGACTTTAAAGATGCAAGATGCAAAATTTCTTATTAAAAAATGGTAATAACAGGCTGCAAGTTATATTTTTACTCAAAAAAAGTATTCCTAATTTTTTGGACAACAAGAAATTACTTATGTATCCCTTAGTCACTAAATTTTAAGCATTAATAACACTAATTTTTAAACTAACATTTATTTTCAACCCTAAAGAAGTATCCCTGTATTATTTTTGGTATCTTTAAACTTTTAACAAGAATTTTATCTGACATTTTTAGCAATTAGTCGCAGGTCTATCTTTACCTTTTTTAAGAAACAAAAACAAAAACTTTAAAAAGAACCTTAAACAAAAACGTGAGGAAGTAAAATTGGTTTAGAATAAATTTCCATTTAAGTTAATTTAGGAGATTTGGAACAAATTGCGGAATATCGCCACTTGTCACCACCACCACCTTGTTCATTTCGAAAGGGGGATTTCTATTTGAACGAAGTCCAAAAAAGGGAGTTTAATGGGCTGCCATGATTGGAATTTAAAGGCAATCCATTTGCCTGATTAGCACAGAATTTGTTTGTTTTTTTATTAGGTCTACACATGTTTTGCATGCGGATCGAATAACTATCAAAATAAAAAAAAAAACTACAGAAAATACAACGAAAGCTGGATTATAGATGAATACACTGTAAGAAAATAAAGAGAATGAAACTAGGGCCTTCTTTATAAAGATACGATTTTTTCAAAGATTATAGTCATGAAAATGGCTATTATATATAATATTATTTAAGGGAAATGGTTTATAGAATTCGAATGTTTTCTAGAAAAATAAAGAAGATTTCTTAGCTAAACTTCAGTTTCTTAACTCTTTTTCCCAAATGGAATATAAAATATAGTACTTATAGCTAAGTTATTAAAATATATATTCAAAATGAATATATTTATGAATAATTTTTGTAGACATGTTCATTTGTTTAGATAATGATTTAATGGTATCTTTTCAAACAGGAAGGAAAGCGCGAGACTAAGGAAATCGCCAGCCAAGTTTCTAGAGAAAGGCGACAACAAAGTTGGTTTTGTTTTTTTTTTGTTTATAAAACTATAAAAATATAAACTAAAATATAATATATATTTATAAAAATCGCATCTTCTTTTTTATTGCCATTATTATTATTTTGTCATCACCGCCGCCGCCATTAATAATTTAATTAATTTAATCATTTGTCGTGGCAACAATTTACAATTTAATTGCACGAATTACGGACTTTATAAATAACTCTCAGTGGTGAAATGGTTCGTTGTTGTTTTTGTTAATCTGATTTAAATAAATTAAATTTGGTGTTTTGGTGTTTTGCACTGTCATTAAATTTATACTAATCAATTGATTACCCATGATATAATGTGCGAAATAAAAACTTGAATTTCGAGAGCACTTTAAAATTAGGTAACTTTTTTTGTTGTTTTTTTTTGCTTCCAAGAACAGAATTGGACTTACAAGTTTATTATCAAGCTTATATATGGTATTGCGAATTTCGATTTTTGTTGTTCTTTAGTTTAGTTTAAAATATATATTTTTTTTATATTTTAATTTAATTTTTTTTTTGGCTTTATAACTGTGAACTAACGCCGCCGACACTCAGCGTCCGACTAATGCGATCTACGTAAAGTCGAAACGTAAACTTTCGATTGCGCCAAAAGCGGTAACGCCGACTGAGACGCCGGCAGCGCAGTCGACGTCGACTTTTCAAGCAGCTCTTTTCGGAATCAGACTTAACCCTCCAATAGCTTAAGATCCTCTAAGGTTTTGAGGAAATTTTAAGGTTTGTTTTCAAAATTTAAAAAGAGAAAAAATCAAGAAAAGTCTAAGATTTTGGAAAAGAGCTTCAAACACTTCTCACTCATACGCAGTTTGGGTTTTTTTGAAAATATGTACTAATGTTTCTTATATTTTATGAGTATTTAAAGAGTATTTTATTTTATAAAATATTTAAAGCAGTAAAAGTACTCATTGTTTTTAACCCAAATGTGTTTAAAATAAATTTTTTCTTACTTTATCTTCCCAATTATTTTGTAATTATTATAAAAACAATATCCTATTAATCCCAGACAAATAAAATTAAGGAAAACTTAAATATAAACTTAAGGAACCTTCAAAATATGTCGCTTAGTTGGGGAATATCCTTAAAATCATCCTTTGAAACCTCTGAAATATTAGTCTTTTTGAATAAATATTTCAAAAGTATAGGAAATAGGAAAATGATATAAATGTATTCTAGAAAAAAATCTAAGAAATATTTTTTAATTGAAATATAATTTACTTTAAGAATTTAAAGAATTCTAAACATTTCTTTTGCACTTTCGATACCTCAATGGGTTAAAAAGGAGGCGATCGGATGGAAAGGGGCTGTCAAGGCGGGATTTCTCAAGTCAAGTTGAGCTGCTTACGAAAATGATCTTAAATCTAATTAAAATGTAACGAACGCAATGGAATTGAAATTGAAATAGTAGCCAAATGAAAGCGATGCCAGCCCCTCAATGCCATCAAAGCAAGTAGCAACAAAAAAAACTAAATAGTGACAGCAGTAGATCAAGGCAAATACCTTTACCAATAGTGATAGATACTACATATATGTATATGTTGTATATATGATCCGATTTTTCATCTCGGTTCCATTAACCGACATGATTTTCCGATAAGTGATAAGTCCCGGACGGAGCGAGCATAGAAATAAACTTAGAACGCGACATGAGAAAAGAATTTGCGGTACATGGAGGCGGGCGCCTCTTCTCAGATGCTTGAATTTAAATCGATTGTAGAAATTTCTACAGTCTTGGTTAGAATAATAGGTATTTACTTGAGAACATTTTAAAGACAATACACGATTTTTAAGTTTTAAACAACTATTTTAGTCACGGGATTACGTTAAGATTTAAAGTTAGATATTTAAAACATTTTCTAGAAATATTTTTTGTCAAAATTTTAGCTCATTCATTATCTGTCCAAAGCAAAAATTGAAAGCTAGTTTCTATGTCATTTTACGTAAGCTATATTACTTACACCGTAGTTCGCTTTTTATGTAGTTTTTAGCTTTTTTATTGTTTCAAACAGTTAAACTTCTTAACAGTTTAATTAGGTTTTTTACAGTTATAAAATATATTGCTATATATTTATTATTATTTTAATGTTTTTTGAGAGATTTTATTATTTTGCTTCATAAACCTTGTAATACTAAAGCAATTTTCTGATTTTATCGATAATTTTTGATAAATTCTTTGCATTTTCCCTTTAATATCTTTCATTTAAATATCTTTCATTTAATGGAATAAAGTGTTTAAATAAGTGTACAAATAATTCATATTTTAGACACAAACATAATCCTGTCTTAGCTTTCTACCTATTTCTATCGATAGTTTTTGATTAATTATTGTAACTACCTCTTAAAATTTATAATTTCCTAAAAAGATCTTAAAAAAGATTATATTATTATTGTAGACACAAACATAATGCTAACTTAGCTTGATGAATTCTTCGCATACTTTTATAGAACCAAGTCCTCAATAAATAATATTAATTTTATAGACTTATAGGTCCTTATAGGTATTTATAGGTCTTAGACTTATAGGTCCCTTAAACTATTAGGTATTTAACGCCCTAATATTAGGTATATTAGGTCCCCAAAACTAATTGCAAGAAAATCTTGATTTATAAGCCGAGATAACCCATAGAAAATGGCTCAAAAAATAACCCTTCCTATATAGGTTATTTCTATTTATTCTAAAATTTCTGCCACAGTTGTAGATGCCAACGCCAGCCACGCCTACCTAACTCCCTTTCAGATGGAAGACAAGTGTTTTTTTTTTCGCAATGACGCAGATGGCTAATTGTTTTTTTTTCTCCGCTTTTTTCTCTCAACGTTTTTTAGACTTGAAGTTATTTTCTAAAAACCTGGTACTTTACGACCAGGGTTGGCAGTATTTGCTCCAACTCCAAAATGACTCATAGGTATTTTGGCGCTGGAGCTTATCAAAAGCAATCAGAGATTCTTCGAGTGGCCTCGTTTCATCAAAAAATAAATAAATTGTCTTATCTTTTGTGTACAGATTTTTTTTTAAATAGTCCACATATTTAATTTTATTTCTGATTTCTAATCAATGATGTTGATTAGGTTATGAGTTAAAGGATCTTCTTGAAAAAGTGCTTTGTCATTTTCGGACTAGAGGGGTTTTCCCAGTTTTCGAATATAGAAATGGAAATAAATATTGAGCGCAAGATTAGGACGCCCCCAACTACCAACCATGTGATTTTGAACTTTCTAATCAATGGACAATTTGCACAACTTGTTCACATTCTGTCCACTCATCTCCGGTGTGGGAATAGTACACTGAGAGTATTTTTCAACTGCATTTTATTCGAATTTTATTAGCGTTAACAAATCCTGCTTATTTATGTTTTAAAATATCAGAAAATAGCTTTATTATTACAAGCTTCATGAAACAAAACCTTATGGTACATAAAACACTTAAGTTTTGAACTATTACGTCATAAAATCTCTCAAAAAACCTTAAAATTATAACACATTCTATAACTGTACAGAACCTAATTAAATTATTGTGCATTTTGAAATTTTAACAAGCTAAAAGCTAATTAAAAAGCGAACTATGGTTTAAGTAATATATTTAGTTTACGTAAAATGACATAGAAACTAGCTTTCAATTTTTGTTTTGGACAGATAATGAATGAGCTTATTCAATTTATACTCTATATTTGATTAGAAATAAGCTAAAATTTAATTAAAAATAATTGTATGCATTATGAAACCAAAACAAGGGAAAACTTTCTTAACAAAACACATTTTTTTACCAACACATGGTTTAATAAACACGAAATTTAAAACGATTAAGCTTCAAAAAACTCAAAATCTAGGCATAATTTTATATAATTAAGAATTTAGAATATAATTTTGTATAATTTAGAATTTAATTTAGAATTTGATTTGAATTTTTTGCTTTAAATTACAAAACTGATCATATAACGCTAACTAAAACCAAGTCCCAAGTCTCAATCTTTGTTTGAAAAACTTCAAACACAGACTATTTACCTACTTTATTTACCCTATTTTTTGTTTTCTTTAACTTGAAAAAAATGATCAAGTGCTACACGCACTTATTTCTAAGAAGCCCCGTCTACAATATTATTTGGACTACCAAAAATCATGACACAGGCAAATGATAATGACGTAGCCAAAGTGGGCAAACAAATTGCCATAAATAAACCGCAATCTGCCTCCCAATTTTAGACAAGGATCTTTATGTGAGAGTATATATATGTATGCATGTATGTATATAATAATAGTCAATCAGTGATTGAGACAGACGGGCCCAGACCACTCGGCATTATCTTTATTTTTTTTTGGCACAAGTTTCTTAGCCCAGATAGCAAGGCAGCCCTCCGTCACTTTCGCCTCAAGAAATTGCTTTTGTTGTCACATGAATTTGCGTTTTAGAAAAAAAAAATAAAATAAACAAATAAAAAAAAATAGTAAATAATAAATAATAATGAACAATTGTCGTGTGGTCGTCGCTCGTCCACTTGTTGTTTATCAGCAAATTACAATTGTGGCCATAAAAATCAAACTGAATACTGAAATTATCGATTAACAACTGCAGCTTGCCAGAGTTTGCCTTTTTGTTTATTTGAAAATGCTTTTAATTTCCCCATTCCCCCCCATTCAGCAAACAACAGTTGGCGGATCTTAAAAGACACAATTACGTGGCACAGCAGGGACTCATGGAAATAACTACGTATTTCCCGATTTTCTTTGGGCTTTAACTTGTTGTGACTAAGATTTTTTTAATGCAGTTAGGGGAAAACTTATAGGAATCTTTAAAAAACTATATATAAGTAGTATGTTGGGAGTAGTATGTTTTTTTGTTCTTGAAGTATATTAGAAAATATATTAGACTAATATAAGTATATATTATTCGAATAAATTGCATAAGAAAATTATAAAAATTGATCAACTTTAAACAAAGTAAAATTAGCTTCTAGAAAGAGTGTAGCTTAACAAAATATGTCTTATACATTGGGTTTAAATAAATATATGGATGTATAAAATATAAGAAAAAAGTTAGAAGGAAATAAGTATTCAAAATATCTTCTAAATTTGACTTTAGCTTTGATTTAATTTTTAATATTTTTAAGAAAAGAAATGTTTGGAATGAAAAGCTTTTTTATGTTAAAAGGTTCTAAAATAAACTATGTTGAAATGTTTTTTAGATATATAATGTATCAAAATATTAGGAAGAACGAATTAAATCATTACTTTTAACTTAAAAATGTGTATATACATACATATGTATTTATTCTATTATAAATATTAAAAAATATTACCAGACTAACATTTCAAAATCCTCTATATAAAAAACTATATTTTGTCGGCTTTTCACCTAAAATATATACTCAGGCCCGACTATTTTCCGGCCGTCAAGCAACTAAATGGCTTTTAACTTCCTTACATTATAGATTTTCTCGTTTTCCTCATTATAGGAATTTCCGTCATAAATTCCGAATTTCTCAGCATTATTTTTCCTGTTTTTTTTCTGCCAGATGGTATCTCTGGAAATTGTTCCCTTCCCAGCTTTCCAATTGACGTTCGTAATTAAATTAAATAAAAACGTTTGTCTTAAATGCAATCGTAAATGTATCTTTTGTACACTTACATTGTTTTCTTGTTTTTGTATTTATTTGGTTGCTGGTTTATTTATTTACCTTTGTATGTTTTTTGCGCCAATTGTTGGCGACCAAAATAAAACGAAACAAAAATAAACAAAACTGAAAATTTGTAGCACTTAAAATTTGAGTCAACAATCAGTGCACTGTGTCTCGACTTATTGCACTTGTTTTTATGTTTCTTGTTTTTGTATTTTTGTACTTGTTTATTTTTTATACAAAGAGTATTGGTTTTTTGTTATTTATTTTACAGTTTTTGAGTCTTTTTTTTTTTTGTGCAATTAATGTTACAAAAAACGTTGCAATGCGAATTATTTACAAACGCATTTTTGCTGATATTGTTTCGTTAATTTATTTACACGTAATTTGTATATATATTATTCTTGATTTTTCTGGTACATTTTTGTACGTTTTTTGGTTTTTGGGGGGGAACTTGTAACGTCAGAGGCAGATGCCCCAATGAAAAAATCGACAAAAGATTTTCCTCGCCTTGCTTATAGATTCTATATACACTATATGTCTGTCGGATCGAATACATATATCTTCTTCAACCAAAAACGAAACACAGTCGAGCGAGCACATTATTCGTTTTTATTTTAAAAATAAAACTAGGGAATGTGTCTATAGAAAATCTCTGTCACAAAACAAAAGGCCTAACCAGGGTAAACAAAAAGAATGAAATATAAAAATTGTTAAAAAGTCTTTTATTTTTCCAAGTGCACGTGCAAAATTCGTGACGGAATTGGCAAATTCCTAATTGCAGATTACAAACCATGAGACAATTTATGCAAATTCTGAAAAGGTTTTCCGCTTGTTACAGCATTTCTGGAGTGTCATCGTTGACGAGGCACTGAGAGAAAAATTTAAGGCATTTAGAAATGAATTTTTAAGAATTCAAAATAATTTTTTCTCAGTTTTAAAGCCTTATTTAAGACATTAAATGACTAATATAATCCCTTGTAATCTTTTATCATATTTATATATTTTTTTGCAGTGCAGCCTGCTATTACGACTGACGCTTCCCATTGACGCAAGTGGCAACAATAGCGGTAACAAATGCCGGCAGCAACAATTACTTGTGATAACAGCCACATTAATTTTATTGTCAAAAAGCATCCGACTGCCCATTGCTCCCTGCTCCACCACCCACAACCCCCCCACCCCACTATATACGTATGCATATATACTATATAGATACATATATCTGTACCTCTGCCGATCGAGCTTAGCAATATAAATTGCCGTTGCGCCTGATAAATTACACTAATCGCCGTTGGCGTTGTCGGCGATCGAGCTTTGTTTGCCTCCCAAAACCGCCCACACCTGCCACTCCCCCACTCCCTGCCACGCCCCCCCGCTTGTCAAACACGACACGATCTTGTCTAGGAATAACTGACTGATGGCAGGTAATATTTGGTATGTATTTCAAATAATGGAAATGATTTAAATTAATTAAAATATATACTTATAACAAGAAAGGAAAGCTAACTTCGGGCGGAGCCGAAGTTTATATACCCTTGCAGTTAAAACCGGATATATATCGCAAACATCGGATATAGTTGGCCGATCCTTATGGGAATAGGAATATATAATCCAATTTATTACAATACAAAATCTAAAAAAAGTCCCAAACTTCTATCTTCAAAAATACGAAAGTTGATATTTCTACCAAATACCATTTCCGATCGTTCAGTTATATGGCAGCTACAGGATATAGTCGGCCGATCCTTATGAAATTTGGCATGACGTTATGTTTTGCCAAAAATAGCTCTCATGTCAAATTTGAACTCTCTAACTCTAAAAACACCAAAGTTATACCATTTCCGATCAATCAGTTATATGGCAGCTATAGGATATAGTCGGCCGATCCGGGCCGTTCCGACTTATATACTGCGTGCAAAGGAAAGAAGGGTGTGTGCAAAGTTTCAAGACGATAGCTTTAAAACTGAGACTAGTTCGCGTAGAAACAGACAGACGGACAGACAGACGGACAGACGGACAGACGGACATGCTCATATCAACTCAGGAGGTGATCCTTCACTGCGTTGCACACTTTTGGACAAAATTATAATACCCTCTGCAAGGGTATAAAAATTAAGAGAGAAAGTGTTGGTAGATTCATTCTAATTATTATTAATTATGAGGTACTAAAAATTCAATATAAATAAAATAAAGACGCAACAAATAGGTATTTAGTTTATCTGTGAAAACGCCACTCATAGGAAAACAAGAACTTTCTTATACATAAAACTGGAAATAATAATTTTTCAAAATACGAAAAGAAAAGTATAAAAATCTCCTAATAAACACCTTTTTTCAAAAAATTCACCAAATTAATTGGTTTAGGGGCTCCTTTCAAAATTGGTAGGATATTGGAGGATATTGGTATAGGGGTCCATCCAAAGACGATAGCTTCGCCAAAAATGATCGGATTCCCAAGCGGAGTACCTTAAACGATTTCTAGATGGATTCTCCACCGTTCTGCATCAAAATACCAACACAAAATATTTTTCAGATTTTTTGTCCATTTTTCCTGATGGGATCCCTTAAAAATGGGGTTGTTCCCTATAGGGCCCACAGTGATGGCCATATCTTCCCCAATTCTGATTCGATTCTCAAGCGGAGTACCTTAAACGATTTCAAGATCGATTCTCCATGGATCTGCATCAAAAGCTGAATACAAATTTTTAAATCAATTTTTTGTAAATTTTTCCTATGGTACTTTTTATAAAGATACTTGATGAAATACTTGAAAAATGTATTTAAACTAGCTCAAATTTTAATATTTTAGATGTTTGTTGGAAATAAAAGTTCTTTATCAGCTTAGATAGCAAAGATCTGTCTGATTTGAAAATTGGACAATTATTAGATGAGTTATAGTTATGAGAAGTGGTTTCAGAAGAATGGTTAAATTTTCTCCATTTATATTTTCCTTGCTTTCGTCTTAATAAGCTTATTGAGAACTTTTTCTTTAAGTGTAATTTTAAAAAGTAAAAGTGAAATGTGAAAATGAAAGGTTAAAGTTTCATTACTTACTTCATTACGTTTCTTGTGCCTTAAATATTACTTAATATTAGCGAGGTAGGTGACACCTATTCGAAGCTGGTCTGTTTACAGCTAAATAATGTATCAACAGGTGCAATTTTTATGACGACTTTTTTCATGTTGGTTACTATTTGAACTTAATATTGGCAAATATTTGCAGATATTTCAAAGTTTACAAAATGCAACATTTTAACAGTTTAAGTTGTAAACATTATTAATTTGATGATTAAATTAAAAATATGTAATTTATAAACTTATAAGTTTTAAAACGAAAAGTTGAAGTTTTTTTTGAATAAGTTTTTCTATGAAATTTGATCCATTTTCTATGAAAATTTATGTTATCACTTACCACTATCCTCCTTTTTTTAGATTTCGATTTAAATTTTGATAAAACTTTCCAAATATTTTTGATAACAAAAATGAATAAAAATTAAAAACTTATAAATGATGTGCTAAATAATGTGCTTATATTTTGGAATGCAATTTCTGCGCTAAATCAACCCAAATTGAAGGGTCCTTTTATCCTGGGGGCATCCTTCAGAGCACCATATGCTAGTATAACCTCCAATAATAATCGATCGAGAGAGTGAGAGATCGAATGGAGGTGATCGAGAATCCTTGAAGGATCTCCTAGAGCGACTCCTTGCTGGCCTTCTTGTTCCTATTTATGCCGAGGTATTCCCACCAGGATGTACGAGTTCCGGACCTTCCGCCGGCCGATGAGGAGGCTGCTTCTGCGCCTCCGGCTGATGCTCCTGCCGCCGCCGTAGCCGCCACCGCTGTCGCCGCAACATTCCTGGCTGTGGACGGTGTGGTGCCGCCAGCCTGCGCCTCCATGGTGACCGTCCGGTTATTTTCCGCCTCCCGCAACGCTGCCCGGGCGCTCTTCCGGCTGACAGCCGACTTGGCCGTGCGCATCGTGTCCACCGATACTTGGTTCATGTTGGCCAGGCTGGGACGTGGGGTTATGCCGCCATCCTGGGCACGACGGTGATGCCGATGGTTTCCGCCAAAGACTTTGCTCAAATAGGGCATACACATCCTGAAGCTGAAGCACCGAGCACCGGAGAAGCACAGAACCGGAAATCAGGAAGGGAAATCGCTTAACCGAAAGACAGCGGAAGTGGTGAGCGAATGTGGAACAGCGGTTGGCGTAAAACGGAAACGGAAATGGTAACAAGGGGCCGTTTAATTTTGGGGAATTGAAGTGAGCGAGTGCCGACAGAGTTGCACGTTTTAAAATTTTGCCTGTGACTGATTGGATAGGATCGAACGAACACACTGACATCGAATCCAAGGGATGCCACGTCAGCTTGTACAAAAAAAAATATTTCAAAATAGCAAGCCTTCTTTATGATTTTTTCTTGCTTTTTAATTTCATGAAAGAATTACTATTTTATGAAGAAAAACACCCACAAATTTTAGGTTTATTGGTTTATTTAATTTATACTATTAATTTAATTAGTTATTTAAAAAAAGGTGATAAAAAATAAAGCACTATTTCAAAGCCTGGTACTTAAGTGCTGGAAAAGGCAATATGTAATCTTGTTCTCATTATGCCATTTCCAACACCAGGCAACCCAAATAACACTCTTTAGCTATGATTATGAAAGGATCAGATGTACAAGATGATATATTATAAAACTAACCCCTGAGAACAGAATATAAGACTTTTAATTCTTAAATTCTTATTATTCTAAAAACAAAATCACTTTTAAATAAAAGACATGTTTAAAAACTTAAACTTAAATATTTTTAAAATTAATTTTAAAAATATATATCAAAATTTAACACTTAAATTACAAATAAAAATAAAAATTCAAATCATAATCAACACCCAGACTGAAACAGCTTACAAAAAATAAAAAACAAAATTGTACTTTCCTTTTAAAATATTTATTTAAAAAATGATCCTTAAATATTTTCCAACTTATTCACTAAAATGTCATGCCTTTGTGGCACAACAATGCAACCAACACAGCCCGAAAATAAAACCAACCGGACACGGGGGGCCCTCGAACATATGTGTAGCAGGATCTATTTATAGAGTCCATCCAAATCCTACCACAACACGCACCCTACTTGGGCATTAACTTCCTACAGACAAGGGAGAGAGATGTGCAAGAACTCTAAGCCGTTCAGTTGAAGACGAGACATTGCACAGAGATGGCCACATTTGGAGTCCGTGGAATGGGACAACCTCTGGGTATCCGGTTGTGTTGCTGCCGCGTCTGTACCTGCATCAACTTTGGTTTCGTTCTGTCGCGGATCGGTCTGCTGAAGCTGATGCAGCTGGGTCTGGCCATGTTGTGCGAGGGCCTGCTTATACGGTATGGTGTGCCCTATGCGGATTCAATTGGTCAGGCCCTGACCGGGTTTCTGGCCACCACGGGTCACTGTTTCACCACCACGGGCATCCTGCTCATCTGCTATGCCTTCTCGGACAAGTCCTACAACCTCATTCGGCAGTCTTTGTTTGTGAGTTTGGGTCTTAAAGTCTATGGTTCTTAAAATGAATTCTTATTTCTGTTCTTCACAGGAGACGCTCTTCAATGGTCTCGCCTGCTGCATGTACTTCAGCTCCGCCAGCTACATGGGATTTGCCTGCGTCGTGTGGTTGCATCCACAGTTCCTGGTGCGTCCCGGCTTCTGGGCCTATCCTGCCATGACGGCCTGCTATGTAAGTCCCTAAAAAAAACGAATCTAGAAACCCAATTAGAAGTCATTCTATATTTTAGTACATGGGCTATGCGGCGGGCATACTGCATGCTCTGGATGCCTATCTAGCCTTTCGGCATTTCCGAGGAGCACGCTGAGCTCCTCCAGGATATAGAATAACAATAAGTGTATGTAATTTTTTTCACAGATATTTATATTAGTTATAAGATAAATCAGTTTAAGGCACCCTTTCGGTGGAAAAAGCTCTTACAATACACACACAAAAATAATATCCTTTTGATAAAAATGGACTGGTTATGTTTTAGCACCAAAACAAAAAGGATGTGGGAGATCCTGTTAGCCTACGATCCTGTTGGAGACCTTCCTAGGCCTGCTTATTGGCCTCCGCCTTGAATTTCCTAAAAAAGAGACGTATTCCTTTGTAGTTTTTGGTTTAAATATTTTAAAATAAATATGTTTTAAGTTGAAGAGTTTACTTGAGTTGTTTGAGGGCCTGACTGGTTTCGTAGTCCGCCTTTAGAAGGCCAATCCGCACCCAGCGCGGACGCTCATGGATCACCTTATGGATGAGAAACTTCAGGCCCAGCAGCAGATGCTCAAAAATCACGAAAGAGAGTTCCGGCACCGAGGGCAACCAGTGGGTGAAGAAGTCCCTAAAATAGACACTATAAGACCAAAAAATAATGATATATCCTAGATCCTTACTTGACATTCGGTTGTAGGAATAACAGGCCGCAATTACTGAGCAAGGACATCACCGACAGGAGCTCAAAGGCCAGCTGCCAGGCTCCAATGTTCTTGGCCCGCCGGGCAAAGGGCCGCTTGAAAATGTTGCACAACTTGAACATATCGATGTGCACCGCAAAGACATTGTTCAGCAGCGCACCGATGGCGGCAAACGGTGCCACGGCGGCAAAGAGGACAACGTAGCCAAACTGGATGCACACCTGCAGATAATCCTCGTACGTGGAATGGTAGGCATCGAGGCCGGACTCGAAAAAGGACTGTTCGTAGCGCGCCACATCGCTGATCGATCGCAGCTTCTCTTCGGCGACTTCACGATGCCGGAATTCGGCGTACTTCTGGCGGAGGACCGCCAGCAACGGTATCCCAATCTCCTGGGCAATGCAAACGATTTGGAAGACGAGCAACTGCATCATAAGCTGGTATTTCAATTGTCGCAGATCCTGCAGGACGAAGGCTATGTAGAATTGCGAAAAGAAATTGTTGACGATCTCGAAGAGCATCAGCTTGTTGACGCGATGCCGGTCGTACTGCGACCTGGTGCGATGATTCTCCAGATTGGTCAGGAATGTGGCCAACTTCTCGTAGGCCCACGAGAATATGGCAATCAGTACGGACTGAACAATAACCGGAACGTACAACAGCCACGAATCGGCACCGAAATCGGCCAGAACCTCCGCCTCGATTTGGAATTGGTAGAGAGCGAACCATCCAGCAGCCACAACGCATCCGAAAACCACCGGATACGAGATGCAATACATTTGGAGGTACGTATACCGCATCGGATACTGCAGGGTCATGCGTCCGGTAATCGGATCTGGGCGTAGTTTACCCGTATATGCCGACCGTGGCTTGTCCAGGCTGCTCATTTCGATGGTGCCCCAGCGGTAGGAGTATCCAGCACACTTTCGTTTCCACAGCTCCAAAAATATCTGCAAGAAGAGGATACATAAGACAAGAATCTAACCAAAATAAGGAGATGTCCCCCCACCGTCGTCCAGATCACATAGAAGCTGCAGACCAGCGAGAGATTCAAGTCGAGAACGCATTGAAGTATTCCAAAAACAGCCGGAAATATGAGGGCTTTTGTGTAGAATTCAATGAAACCAAAGTACAGGCCGATGCTAGAACCGAAGTAGTTGCGAATATCCTCGATGGGCAGATGAGTACGCTTGAGATTCAGATTAAAACGGTCCAGATAGAGCTGTGAAATGAAAGAGTCATACATCAACTCTATAGATACAACATAGACCTGAGAGACACTCACAATATCGTGGAGGGGAAACATATCTTCAATGTAACCCTTTTGGACATACGACTTAATCCCATCCTGTATGGCATCCTTGATCAGTACCGGAATCTCGCAGTAGCGTAGTATCTGCTCCTTGTTCATGCCGGGCAGTAGAAAGTCGGAGATGCAACCGTTGTTGAACTTTTGCATACTGCCCGTGGTGGTCATCTTTTCCAGTTCGGCGGCATCGGCCAGACGAAGTAATGTATCAATGCTGGCCGAAAGATATAGATACTTTTCAGTAGTCCTGAAATGGTATTATTTTGTTAATAGGTTTCTTTGGGAGCTTAGGTTATTATGGTGTAGATTACCCAACAATTTCCAGAGTAGTTTGAATCCCAAACTCTTGGATTATCTTTTCCACATCCTGGCAGTGTCGCAGCTTGGCTTTCTCCGTAAAAATAATGACAATGTGGGTCTGGAAATGGTTTCAATACATGAGATTAGTATAGGACTTGGTATATACATAGATCTCCCTTAAATTCTTTAAAGATTTCGATGTAGAATCAGGTTTATAATAAAATTCTTTAAAGAATAATTAACTTTTTAACAAAGACACTCCTTAAATATTGAAGTAATTGTAGGATATTATAGTTTTAAATAAAAATAAAAGATCTTTATGTTATAAAAACTATTCCCTTGCCTTATTTTCAGTGTAGGTTCCATTACACACCCTAAATTCCATTACTATGACTACATCCAACGCTCCACTTGGCATGAATCTCTAGAGACTTTGTGGTTTGTGATAAAGTTTATAAAAAAAAACCTCCTCCTACGAAAGCCCATTGACATACCTTCTCAAAGGGCTGAGAATCAGGACCATCACCTTCACCGGAATCGCCCGAGTCCAAGGTCTTTTGGCGCTGCAGTGCCTCCAATTTCAGACTGCGCTGCCGCCGGAACAATTGGTTCTCAATGATGTTCCGTGTGCGTGGTCCAGGACCTGAAACATATTTGCAATTATTAATATTTTGTAAGATTATGTAGTCGGGCATGAATTATGCACTCACTCTTGGCATCTTCGGACATCGTTGCTGAACTAATAACAATGCCAGTGCGGCGCAAAAGAGCAGATCTTCCTTTCTTTTTTTTTTTTTTTGGCAAATGCTTTATTATTATTTTTATTTTTAATAATTGTTTTATTTTGTTTTTGTTCTGCCACTCTGGCACATGAGTAATTTTTTTCGCCGCCGCTGTCTCTCCTACTAGTATTCTTCGCTCTCTATTTTGTTGTTGTTGCTTTCGCTAGATGCTTCTGCTGCGAGTGCGTGTGGCTATGTTGTTGTAGCTTTAGCTACAACCAATGCCAGAGGAGAAAAATAAACACAGAATTTTTAATAATGCCAGAATATGTAGACGACGGACAACGGATTCACCGTTTTTTTGCGGTTCTTGCCGGTTCGAAGTGCTCTTGGCTCTTGTGCTCTTGCCGATTTGTTGTTGTTGTTGCTGCTGCAGCGCATGACGTCATCGCTGGCACTGCCATGGACTTGGCCTCAATAATGTCTATAGACATTGTCATATTTAATTACAATTTTAATTTGCGTTTAAATTAGGAACTAATCTCCCGCCCGTCCGGCCCACTTGCATTTAATCAATCGATCAATTATTGATAGAGATGTGCAAGGTGCACTTGTTAGAGATGAGCAGTTGTAACCGGTTAAAACCGGTTAAGATTAAATAATATTTAATAAATTTAATTAATTAACAAAAAAATGTAGCAGCTTAAATATTATAAATTTGTTACTTACCCAAAATTAATTTTTAGAGATGATTAATTATTTTTTTTTTTAACAAAGTAGCTCTTAAAAAAACATTTTAATAACATATAGTTTTCATGTCAGGCACACATTATTCCAAAATAGGTCACAATCCACACAATCCACAAAATTAAAAAAATTATTTCAGTTTTTCACACGCGCTTACACTAACAAACAAACACTAATTATATAAAAAAATTTTAAATATTTTTTAATACAAACGTTTTATAAGCAATTAAAGTTGCAAGGATCTGGCAACACTTTCCCGCGAACTTTTTTGGCCAATTAGACCGTCTGGCAACGCGCGAGCCTCCCTCCAAAAAAAAAAGGTAAAAGAAGAAAACAGCTGATCTTGCCGCTGGCGCCGCCGTGCTCTCCCTGAGACATTGTGATGCAATTTTTGTTGTGTTTTCAGGCCTAAAAGTGAAAGTTTCCACTGATAAGCAGATTCCAAAGCGCCAGAGTTGTTGAGCTTTCGTCGAGGGAGTCACCAGAGGCGAAGAAAAGCGACTGGAAAAACCCCAAAGAAAGTCTTGTTGGGAAAAGTCGAGGGAGGGCATAGTTCAAAGCAACAATCCAGAACGTGACGCACACATGAATGGTTTTGGATATAATTGATTCATCCCGTCGTGGCCTGAGTTAGCGCAGCCAATGCCTGGTGGGCTGGACACCAAACTGGGCACTCATTCGGGAGGCCTAACCTCAAACCGCAAGGCACAAATCCAATCCGGCACAAAGTGATATCAAACGCAACGTTCCCAATTCCACAACTCCATTCCCGCCTCCATCCACACGAAAGTGTTCCACGAGTGAGGTGACCAGAAGGATGCAGCGCATAATGCCCGCCACCTGGAGCAGTGGTGGTGGCGGCCTGCTGCCATTTCGCATCTCCACCACCACAAAGGTAAGGAGAACGAGTCATTTCCCAGTCATACCAACTATAAATTCACTTCTTCCAGGTTGTCTTCTTCTCGCTAACCGCTGGAGTGGCCCTTATGGGTGTACTCTCTCGCTTCCTGCGTCGTCGCAAGCCACCACGTCCTCCACGGCGCGCCAGGAAGTACACAGGACGACGCACACGCAACAGCATGCGCAGTCCCAACGATCTGATATCCATTGCCGGGTCCAAGGCCTCGGCCAGATCTGGCAGCCCCGTGGGCTCCACAATAGCCTTCTCCGATCGCCTTTCCATGGCTTCGGGGTCCATTGGAGCGGGAGCTCTGATGCAGAATGCTGGCGGCGCATCAGTAGTGACACAACTGACAGCCCAACAACTGGGCGTTATGGGCATGGAGGCGCTGGACACGGTGATTAACTTCTGGGAGGATGCCCTGGCGGCACACTATTCACCCGGCGGCTTGCCCGCCCTGCTGACCACTGCCGAGGACTCGGAGTTCTGTCGCGAAATCCAGAATCTCCTGGAGATGGCCTACACGCTGCAGGAACAGAGCGAGCTGCTGTTCCTGGACCAGCGTTCGGTGCTGTTCCGCGAGGAGCATTCCATTGACGAGGCCGAGGAGGACGGAGCTAACACGGACGATGATCGGCGCTCGAGAAAATCCGGCAGTGTTTTGAGCCGGGCCGGTTCCGATCCCAATTTCGATTCCGCCGAGAGCTTTGCCTCCGCCCTGGACCAGGTGGCCGATCTTCGGGAGTTCGAGGGCTTCATCGAGACCTCGTACGAGGAGTATCCGCTCTTCCAGAGCGCCCTCAAGCATCATGACGAGTACACGGTGCCGTGCCGCACCATTCGGGCGGACTTGATGCATTGTGACAGCGACACCGAGTATCTGGCGAAGCTGCACTGCGTCCGTCTGGCCTTCCAGTTTCTGTTCAAGGATCCCGCCGTCGGCCAGTGGATCTGCGATTCCGGACGTCAAATACTCACGGACCTGCTCTGCCTCGGCGACAAGGACACCAAGGAGTTTCTGGTGGGCTACGAGGACATGGTCAATTATCTGCACGACTCCACCAACTGGCCGTGCATCCAGCTGGAGCTTGAACAGCGCAATGTCAAGGCAATGACATTCTACGACATCTGCCTGGACTTTATCATACTGGACTCGTTCAAGGATCTGGATGCACCGCCGGCCAGTGTTACAGCGGTGGTTCAGAATAGATGGTTATCCAATGGATTCAAGGAGACGGTAAGTTTTTACTTTAAAACTATAAACTAAATACTTATAAGTCACGGTCGCCATGTTTCCTTATGTTTGTCACGGTCGCCATGTTCCTTTTAATACCATTTATATAACTATTTTCTAGTTTTGAAGCTTACTTTTATGAAATTTCTTAACCAACTTGATGATTAACCTTCATTAGCTTTAAAAAAAAAAAAAAAAAAAGTCTCGGATGTCCGTCTCATATCACGGGCGCCACATTTGTTTACTCCAGTACCTCATGGTACAGTCAAAACAATTTTGGTGCCTATCACCACTTGGTTCTCCCCCCAGTTCTGCTTAAAAATGTGTCTTTATTGTTTATTCCGACTGACTTCTTTATAATTTTCATTCCCTTGCAGGCCCTGACGACAGCCGTGTGGTCGGTACTGAAAGCCAAGAAGCGAATGCTCAAGTTCCCCAATGGCTTCATGTCGCACTTCTACGTAATATCCGAGCAGATATCACCGTTGATGGCATGGGGATTCTTTGGACCGAACGAGAATCTGCGCGATATTTGTCACTATTTTCGGGAGCAATTGCTCGCCTTCCTTGGCGACATATTCAGCTTCCAGAAGAGCCGCTTCACCACAATCGAGGAGTTCTCCCAGGACGTGCTCCAGCACATGCAGACGCGTGTCAATAATATTGGCGTTAAATTTAGCCAATAAGGTCATCCAATTTATAGAAAATATTTTTTTTTTTACTTTAACTTTCCCCCCATATCCTAGACATCCATATTATGTTTTAATGGTTAACCTTACATACTTGCACACTTTTGTCATCGGACTATTAAGACTCGATACTATTTGATTTGGTAGTTTCACTAAGAAATCCTCCACAAGTTGACTAATTCTAATCACACACAAAAAAATATCATCGTCATTTTATGATTAAGCTGCATTTAAGACGCCAAAAAAAAAGCTAAAAACATTTGTAAAATAAAACTGTTTACCGCCCGATCCAAGCTAAAATCCAGCTGCTAGAAATTGAGTGGGCAATGGGTAGTCGACGCATCGAATACCCTTCATACAAAGAATTCAAAACTATGATTTAGTACAAAAATTAAGCCAAGAATTTCTATTAATATTTTTTATTTTGAAGATTTTTTTTTTTTTTTTTTTGCAAAACTTTGAACTTAAAAATTGCCTTGAAAAATTTATTACTTTTTTTATTTTTTAATTTTTTTATTAATTCATGAAATGCTTAAAATATGTACATTCGTCTTTAAAAAAAAAACAAAAACGAAATAAGTTTTTTGAAAAAACTTTCCAACCTTTAATTTTTTTCTTGTAAACTACTTAAAAATAAAATTAGTTTGTAATGTTGCTTTATATTAAAAGCAAAAGAAAAAAAATAAGAAAATCAAATAATAAGTTTGACCAATTGTTCCTTTTTGAATTACAACTAGGCTGTAGATTTTGAATTTCGAATTCAATTAAAAATACATTTAAAATCATGTAAAATATAGTGAGCCGATAATGACAAACCGAATGGAGTTTTGTGTAATGCCCTGGCATCTGATATACCCCATTAGGGAATTATAGGGTATCGGAGGTAACTTAAAGAGGTTCAGCTTTCGCATCAACGACAGTTGCGTTTGGACGCTCATCGAAGCAAGATGGGTAAGGGCCTGGGTTTCAGTTGTGCCATCCTATCACTTGGTGCCTTTGTGAGTACATCCTGGATCCTATAGATCCTTTATATGGAGATCCTATATATCCTGTGTGATACAACAGATAGCCTGCTTTGGAGCCTTGCATCTCCTGAACCAGATCGTACAATTGAGCGATGGGAGTTTGCGTCATTATGAGACCCTTGCCTCGACCAATTCTCGCTGTCAGAAGATTCTGGAGGTGAACAATGTGAATGGAAATCATCTCAGTTGGCTGGAGCTGATCTATATGCGCTGGACCGTGGTGTTTGCTCTGCTGTACTCCTTTTCCGTGGTCCAACTGCTGCGTGCCAAGTACATGAGCACCTTTGAGATCAATATGGCCACCTCCAATACGGTTTGTATAGTTTTTAGATCCAAACTTGGGGTCTCATAGTGATAATTGTGTTGAAAAGTGAATAAGATGGCTTTGAGTGCTTGGAGTTTTAAAAAGTGTCCGCCGCTTGTCCGCCAAGGTCCTTTTTTTTATGCAAATTTGGGCAACGCCCATACGATTTGTTTATTTTTTAAATTTTAATAGAGGCATTTATGGTGATAGTTGTGTTTTAAAGTGAGAAAGATGGCTTTAATTGCATAGAGTTGTGATTAGTACTACCAGAGCCCTTGTCCCACTGTCCGTTTGTCCGCCAAGGTCCTTTTTTTATGGTTTGTATATATTTTTAAACTCAATTAAAGGCATTTCTTGTGATAATTGTGTCTAAAAGTGAGTTCCTAGGTTCGGTATCCATCTAAGATCGTTTAAAAATCGTAGATCTTTCATCAGAACCTTGTCCGTCTGTCCGCTTGTCCGCCAATGTTCTTTTTTTTATGAAAAAACACGCCTAAATTTAAAGCTATCGATCTGAAACTCAAAAAAAATATTTAATTTTGTAATAAATTCCATTAAAAATAGGAATAGATAAAGTAGGATATCATTATCCTATATAGGAACTAAAATATTCATATAACTTATCCAAGATATCGTCCTATGTTTGATATTTTCTAAGGCCTTCATTTTTATTAAGAAACCTTTCCAATCTAGACACTTTTAAAAAGATTAGAAAGCCATAACCCATAGATATTGACCATTAATATATTGACCATCCATATAACTGACCACTAAGAACCTTCATAACTCTAAATATTATCCCAAATATAACCTAAAGCTCCCTTTTGTCCTCCCATTTCTAAATAAAATACCATCTCCCCCCACAGATGATTCTAGTGGGTTTTGTGCTATCGACTGTCCTCCTTTCGGGCACTGTGATGATCCATACGCGTGAACCCTTCGTGGATGCCTGGTGCAATGAGTTCATTTACTTGTACTTGTACTTCATTGCAATGACCACCATAGTGGCGGTGGCCTTCTTCCTCAGCCACTCCTGCCATCTGCATCGCTCCCAGGTGAGGCAGTGGGGTATGCGTATAGAAGCACGTTAATATACCACTTTTCGAAAAGCAAAAGGATATTCAAGGACCTGGTATCCAAATACAAAAATTTAAAAAAAAAATCGAAAAGCAATGATTTCATTTCTTTCTTTTTTCTTTTTATAAAAAAAAAAAGGTCAATAAAATATATGTGTATTAAAAAAGTTTATTATAGATGTATTACTATTAGAGCAAGAAAGATAATAATTTATGAATTTTAAATTATACATCTTAAATACCCAAAGGCTTATAACTTGGCCAGTTCTTGATCAGATTCCAAAATGGGATAACTTTCCAAGCTCCGCTTTTCGAGTTCTAGTCTTCCTAACTAAAAATTGGATCTTTTTTGATCCTTTTTAGTACCTTTAACATCATAAAAAATTGATCACCATTTTATTTTGGATTTTCCGATCTTTAAATGCAGATCAAACTGGATTAAGTCACTGAATAATATTTTTGTTATTCACTTTGTTTCAATATTGGTTGTAAAATGTTCTAGATATTCTCTAAAGGGCGTTTCGAAATTTCGGATTTTAAATTTTTGGCTTTATTTTTGGAAATATATGTATGTCTTAACGCCGTCTTCCAATAGTCATAACTTTGCTAATATTGGTCCGATTGTAACATATCATACCCTCCCGATCTTAGATGAGATAGTACTATTATTCCTCATCAAAATATAGCAAAAAAAATTTGAGCCATTTTTTGCAAATTTTGAATGGGGTAACATCATAAAAGTTACCAAAAAATGGTCACAATTTTTTTTGCTTTAATTTTTTTAGATTGTTATGCAGATTGAAGGAGATTGATTTTTAGATTCATAAATGGTACTCCGTTTCCCAAACGGCGCAAAAATAGCTGAGATATTGGTTAAAATATATTTAAAAATTACTTAATTTTTGGGTTTTTTCTTCCTTTTTCAAAATTTTATTGGATAATTACTTGGATACTTGGTTTTTATTGGATAATTACTATTATTATTACTATTACTATTATTTCTAATCGAAATCTGGGAAATTTAAGCAACCTACCTTAAGTTTTGTAATTTTTTTAAAATTCAAAATCAATAAACTTTTTTAAATTTTCATATTCATTTCATTTTTAAATTGAATATACTTTAAATAAAAGAAACACTTACCCGCAATTTTAAGTCCAGCGATTTAAGACATTTATTTACATTCTTTACATATCTACATCCTTACATCTGTTATGGGCTCTGTTATAATAAGCTAACGGTTCCTCGAGTGGGACGCTCACGTCTCCCACACTCCCAGAAGCGGCTAACGGAGCACCCCATTTGAAATTCCTCCTATTTCAAGCCTTTTATTTATACTAGGAATAGTTTTACTATAAACAGATTCCAGGATTATGTTTCTTGTAGATTTACACTTTTTCCACATCTCACAATACGATTTTAAACTGAAAAACACACGCACTTTGCCGGCATCATATGTTTGTTTACATACGGGAAGCCATTGCTGTTTCTCGGCCTTATTCACAATTACTTTAACATATTAAAGAATATTTGGCAATCAGAACGATATTTAAAACAAAACTTGAATTCAAATCACAGTTTCAAGGCTAAAAGGAAGCGCGAAGGATCACAAATACAAAGAAACAAGGTGTGAGAGAGAGAAGCTAAAGTTCACTTTGCCCGCTTACCAATACAGGTGTTTCCCAACACTTGCCAGTTGGGCGCGTAACTGCAAAAGTTTGAATTTCTGCATATTCCCCTTTTTCAATTAAAAATGCAAGGTATTTTCATATAATTTTGGTTTTTATTCAAACAATTCTTTCATTTTTTGCTTAATTTTTTTTTTGGTTTTTTATTGTTTATTTTTTTTGTCAGTTTTTTTTTGTTACTTTGAGTTTTAACTGCAGTTCAGGGAAGGCAGTTGCAAGTTTAGTTTTCCATATCATTTAAGACTTGCAGTTTTTCATTTGAAACTAGGGACTAAACTTTAAACTAAATACATTAAATGAGTTTGTTTTTGTGTAGCATTGGTAATTATTTTCTCTTCTCTTTTTTTTCGGATCAGGGTTTTCGATTTTCGCCCAAAAATTGTAAAGAGATTTGAAATCTTTAGTTTTTCAGCCCGAAAGTAGGCAATTTTGGATATAACCCTGATCCATATGTAATTGCTTGATATATTTTATATAGAATAGTATGTGAAGATGCGGCAAACAATTGCAAATTCTCAAAACCAAACTTCTCATCACTTTTTTTGTTTTGTTTCTTTATATCTATAATGTATATATCCTTATAGCTAAGGTTTTGTTCCCCAGTTATCTTTTTTTTGGGGGGGAACTATAAATCTTATCTTGTATAAGTTAGCCATTTAGTTGGTAATTGATTTATCATACTATAGTTTCTAATTATTCCGATTCACTTCCTAGACTTATTTTGTATCATTTTCCCTTACAGCCCCGCCCCCCTAACTATATATATATATATATTATTATTTATTTTTGCTGGCTTTTTGTTTGTATGTTGTTGAGGCGGCTGGATAATATGGAGGGTAAGGATGGATTGATTGATTGATTAAGTGAGTGATGGAGTGATTGAGGCTGGGAGGGATTATTGGGGGGATAGCACGTATTGGTAAGGTAATTTCATCTTGCTTTTCGTTCTGAATTGCCGACCTTTTAGGCCAACTTGGCTTACGACTCATGACCCATCATATCGGCATCTTAAATTCCTAATAAATAAATGTTTTTTTTTTGTTTCTGGTTGATTTAATATTTTGTTTCTTGTTTTTTATTCATTCTTCTCAGATCCATTCTATCAGTTATTTTATTATGTTGTTTGTTTTTTGTATATAATTAATTGTTGGTATAATGCAGTCTTTACGGCAAAACAAAAACAGAATTATGCTATTTGATTTCTCAATTTGTTTTTCATAGTTTTAGTTTTTTTTTTTGTTATTTATATCATTTTTCATTGTTCTCCTTTTTTTTTAAATACATAATAATCAAAAATATATCTGTATACTATATTAAATATTTAGTTTTTTGTTTGTTGTTGTTTTTTTTTTGTTTGCTTTTTTAAAGTTCGTGAAACCAAATACACTTATTTAGGCCTTTCTATTTCTGCTTGTTGGTTTTTTTTTATAATTTATTTGTTTTTTTTTAAACAAAAAAAAATGTGTCATCATCGGATCAGAATATTTAATAAATTTTACGCAATCTTTAATTTCTGCTAAGCATTTTTTTTCAGCTCTTTGTTATATAGAATAATTGGTTAATTAATTAATTGTAAGTGTAATTTTTTAATTTTAATTGGTATTTCTTCTCATCTTATTTTTGTTTTTGTCTCGAAGGCAGTTAGATGTGTAAAGAAGAATCTCAATTTAAGATTAGTTTTTTTTTTAAGGTTTGTATGAATTTTTTTTTAATGCTTATAGAGTTCTTTGTCGGTTTCTTGCTTTCGGTTTTTGTTTTTGTTTTTTTTTTTTTAACAACTATTTACATTATAATGATATTTTTTTTACTTTTTGCAACTAATATTAGTTTATAGTTTTTGTTTGTTTTAAATTGCTATTTTTTTTTTTAGCATTTTGGCTTAAAAGTTAGTATTCCGTTTAAATTTGTTTTGTTTCTGATCTCCTATTTAACTTAAGGCTTAGTTCTTAATTGCTAAGTTCATTTTGCAATTGTTTTCAACACTTTAATTATTATTTGTTTTATTTTTATTTTTTATCCACATTCGCATACACAAAAAATACAGATCGGCTCTTTCTCTTTCTCGCTAACTATCCCTATCTCTATCCATCTCGCATTATTTGTTCCCTAAAGGCATTTTTCTTTTACTTTTCTAAATTTTTTCGTTTTTTTTTTTGCAAATTAGAAAAAAAAGAACAAAATATAAACTAAATATTTGAAATTAATTAAAAAAAAAAAAAGTTTGATATTTTATTTTCTGTTTTGATTATGCATAAGTTGAACGATATGAAGGTTTTTTGTTTCTTTTTTCTCTTCTTAGTTTTTATGATTAAAGCACAAAGAAATGTAAATTTTTTTAAGGTGAAAATAAGGGCATTTTATATATTTTAACATTAGTTTTTAGTTGTGTGTGTGTGGGGGGAAGGGGGGGCGGTACCTGTACTGGAAGTTCTATTTCTCACTGATTGTACATTTGTCTATTTTTTTATATTTTTTATATTTTAGTTTTAAGGGAGCACTTAGGAGGCACGCCAAAAAAAAATTAAATCTTTTTTTATGGACACACATAGAGTATTGGTTTTGCTTGAACTTTCAACTGTATTGCTTATGATTTGATTTTAATTTTGTTTTTAAGGTTTTGTTTTTTTTTATTTTGTATACGTATGTGTATGCGCAATGCTTAATTAAGTTTTAACTAAAAACATAGGCCCTTCTTAATTCTTTTCTTTTGTTAACAACACAGGAACAAGTTTGTAAATCTACACTTAAGTTCTCTTTCTCTGGTCATATCCTTTAAAAATGTGTGTTTATTGTTTTTTAAATAAAACGAAATATAAACAAAAAAAAAAAACGCTGTCTAAATATGAATACATATAATTTTAATATATATATAATATATATATAATATATTAGTAGTATAAACTTATTGTATTAAGAATTAAACACTTAGAAATTAATTGGGTCACCGTCTTTCGTCACAAATCTTTTCGCTTATTCTAGTTAATAGTTTTGTTTTTTTTTTCTTATTGGTTTGTTTATTTGTCCGCCTTTATTATTATAATTATATAATAGGCCTTGTATAATGTGTGTGTGTGTGTGATTGTGTTTCTTTTATAAATTAATAATATTAGTTTGTTTCTTGTTATTGGTTTACAAGTGACCAGATATTGGTGTAAATGGGTGTTTTAATGTATAAAGTATAATCGACACAAAAAAATTTTAATCTTATACATATATATAAATACATATACTTAATGTATGAAATATTTAATAGGTAAACGTTACGCAATATATTTCTATCCCTGGCCTCCTCTCTTTAGCTTTCTTGAGAATTTTGGTCATACATGGGGGAAGAACTTGGTCTAAACTCGACTCCAAAACATAATGTGTGTGTGGCAATTTCGCCTCGAAATTTAAATTACAAAAATTAAATTAAAATTAAGGTAAATTGTGTTTGTTAATTATATATATATTTTATAATAATATCCCAACATTATTGGGATATTATGTTCTTGTTATATTATTATTATTCGTTTCAATTACAGTATTTCATTAGGCGGTGGTTTTGGCTCAACCAATAGAGGAAATAAACAACCAAAAAAAAAATATGTATATATGTATATGTGTAAAAAGCGTTTATCCTCAACTCTTGGTCAATACGTAGAGTCCTTCTTATTTGGCTTACGTATTCCTATTCCGTGAAGCGGGTTTTGATGTATGTGTAGGTTGGTTTTATGCATCAAGGTTCTTGTTCCTTCAAAAGATCAGTTCCGTTTTGGTAAACGATTGTTGACATCTCGTTGTTGCTTTGTTTGAGGTGTGGGCGTGGCGTTAGAATATTAGCGGGTGTGTGCTTTCTTAAACGTAAATCTGAAAAAAAAAATTAGAGAAATTCTATTAGTTTTGGTAATAAATATTTTTTATATGTGTTATTTTATTCTTAAGCAGAGATCGAAAACGGAGCTAAGAAAGAGTATGGACTTATAGATACATTAATACACTTGTAGCATAAAATAATAAAAATACATATACATAGTATATGTATAAAATAAATATACTATAATGTAGTATATATATATATACTATACTTTTTCAAGCATTATTTGCATTTGCAAGCATTATACATAAAAATAGTAGAATTTAAAAGTTTGGAAGATATTAAACAAAACAAAAATATATATCCATAAAAGAAATCGAGAAGAAAATGTTGTATTTTAAAAGTAAAAAAAAAAATTATTTTCCTCAAGCTGAGGTCGAACCCGGGCCCAGAAAGTGATGCAACTACATGAATAGTATAGAATTAAAAAATTAAAAATTTTTACCAAAACATTTAACCAGAAGAATTTCTAAAAAATAAATCAAAAAACAAGTTGCATTGTTTTTCCTTAAGAAGGACCGGGCCCAAGATAATGACCAAATGACGTGAAATAGTAGGAAGTTTAAATTTTAGAAATTTAATAGAATAAAAAAAAATAGTTTTGTTAAAAAAACATATAATGTTTCAAGTCAGAGTCTAACCATGGGTAAGAGAAACTCCCAAAGAGGGGGGTTTATTATTAAAATTATGGCCCTAATTATGGGGGGTTAAGGTTTAATAATTAAGCAAAAGTTTACATGAAATTTAATTATTTAATATAATTTTATCCAAAAAAAAATAGTTTTGAATAAAGAATTAAGAGAAGTTTACAGGAAATTCCATCATTTAATATAATGTTACCTAAAAGATTTTTTATAAAAGGTCTAAAAGGAACTCAGGTCTATAAAGAAATACAAAATAAAGAAGTAAAAGAGATATTACTTTAAAAATTTGTTGACAATCTATAAAAGTTAATGGTTTCTACAGAAAAGTATAATTACAATTTATACTATAAATATATATTAAATATTATATCAATATTTAACAAATAAAAGCAATTACTTTAAAGTTTAAACTATTTTTAGCTTGTTATTAAATTACATTTAATCTCTTAAAATTAAGCCTATGCTTAGTCTGTTCATTACTCACCTTAAATATTAAATATTTGGCTCGTGTTGTTATTTGTTGCTGCTTTGCTTGTTTCTTGATTGTTGCATATTGCTTGGGTTGAATTAGTGTTGCTTTGGATAATTGTTGCCTTTCGCAGTGTATCATTTTTTTCAGTGTTTTCCGATTCGTTTTTTAAATTCAACAAATACAAGGAATTGAAAAAAAAAATGTATCGGAACAAGAATAAAAAAAAAAAGAGAATAAACCAACGTAAAAAATTCTCTTTTTTTTTGTGTTTAAGGTTTTTGAAGTCCACCACGCCCCCTACCCATCTCGAAAGGGGCGTGGCTGTGTGTGGTTTTTGGTTTTCTCTCTCTCTTTCTCTTCCGATTCTGCTTCTCTTTCTCCTCTAATCTTGCTTCCGACTGACTACTCGCTTAATTATTTTTTGGCATAGGCAACAGAGATATGGTCTTCGATCCTCATCATCGTCATCATCCTCATCCAATCGTCCCCCGTTAGTAGGGCAGGCCGAACTCATTGGTCTCCTCCTCCTCGATCAGATCATCGATCTCAAAGTCGGTGGGCTCGAAGGCGGGTGAGGACCGCACCTTCGGACACTGGACAACCTGGACAACCTGCTGCTGTTCCAGGTGCTGCTGTTGATGTTGTTGTTGCTGCTGCTGTTGCTGTTGCTGCTGCAAATGGGCATTCCGCGCCCGGGAGCTGCTCTGCTTGAGGACTTGGCTCACTGGAATCTTGCCGCTGGTGCCAGTAGCGTTGCGCGGCTTGGCGTTCGCCAGAGCGGCGGCCTTGAGAGGATTGCGTACAACGGCAGTGCCGGAGGACGATGTCGCCGGCTCGGTAGGGGCTATGTTGTTGTAGCGCGTCCGCTTGTTCTGCAGCTTGCTGGCCCAGCACTCGGTGGCCCGGCGACGGGCATTGGCACAAATATTGTCCCCGGTAGAGGATGACGAGGCTGTCCCCGCCGCCGTTGAGGACGACTTGGCGGATGAGTCACCCTGGAAGGGTATGTGGCGACGCTCGTCCTGCGTCTGGTTGACCACATGGACATAGTTTTCGAACTGTTTCAAGCGCTGGACACTGTTGATCGAGGAGGTGGACAGTGCCGTGGCACTTGTCGACGATTCAGACTTCCCGTGGGCCGGCTGGGTGTTCACAAAGATATTGTTATCACCAGCCACCTTGTTCTCGTTTATGATCAGCTCCTCGAGTTCCGAGGGATCGGCACCAACCAAATTCCGTTGTTTCGAGCGGAGATGTAGCAATTCCTCGGCCGAACGTTGTTTCCGGAACTCGAAAACGAGCGGATAAATATGCTGGATAGCCGCCTCCACATCATTGACACTAGCCGCTATAGAATCATCAGATTAATATTCTGTCTATATTCTGTAGAAGATTCACTTACCTGTCACTGTGATACTGCCGGTGGAGAAGATCTTTAAGGTGGCCTTGGGATCGCGCATTTTGTAGGTAACGCCCGGATGCAATTCCGGCTCATAGCTGGCATTCTCACGATGACGTTCCGAGAAGTTGACAATCTTGATGGCCCACGGCATGCTGCAGGTGCCCAGGACGTTCACAATCCGGAAGTTCTGGAAGCGTGTGGGAAAGCCCAGTTTTCCCAGGCACCGGGCATACCGACGTGCTGCAACTTTGGCCTGAAAAACACGAAGACATTTCAATAAAGTTGGAATCGAATAAGTGGCATTATAGCTCATCCTACCATTGGCTCTGAGGTGGCACCGGTACAGGTGATCCTTCCCGAGGACCAGATCGAGGCTGTCGTATAGGGATGACGCAACTTCATGGTAACCATACCGTTCTCCCGACGATACTCCACATTGGCGCCATTCAGGGCGATGTCACGCAGCTTCAGGTGGCAGCGCACACTGAAGGAGCACACCACATTGTTGATGACAATGTCCAGTTCGGGCTGGGGCTCGTCAGGGCCAGCCGCCTGGCCAGGGGCAGCAGTGTCCGAATTCGAATTGCTAAGTTGGGTGAGTTCCAAAGGCTCGTCCGGTTTCGGTTGCGCCTCTGGGTTCAGCGACTTCTTCTCCAGCTGCAACTCCTGCTGCTGCTGCTGTGAGGATGGATCGGAGGCGGCCGACTTGCGGCTATCCTCGCTCTCCGGCTCCTCGATGATCACAGTACTTAGATCGGCATCACTGTCCAGGAAATCCATTTTGTTGGAAGTCAACAGGGTAGTAGTGTTGAGGCTGCCGTTGGTCGTTTTGATGGGCGTACCAATGCCATTGGCCATTAGGATAGTATCAAGATTGGGGGACTTTTGGATTTTTCCAAATTGCGAAAAGTAACGAACAGCACCTGCCGCCGATCCGGTCGATGATGAGGCCGCCGTGGCAGTGGCTGTAACTGTGGCCGAGCCGGTACGATTGCCGACCATGAATGCCGACGAGGCATTGGTGAGGAAGACGCGCGGTGCGTTGGCCAGCACCGAGGAGGGTACTCCGCTGGCGGTAACCACAGCCGATCCGGCACTGGCCGCTTTCAAGCCACCGTTCATATTGGCTGCCGGTATGCTGACCATATCGTTTTGCATCAGCTCCTTGGACGGTTGCTGCTTCTGCAGCCCAAGTTGCTGCTCCCGGAACTGGCGCTTCTCCTCCTCCTTTTTCTGTTTGTTTCGTTGGATCTTCTGGCGCAGCAACTCGGCCTTGGTGACCTTAATTGGCGGCTTATAGTTGGGATCTAGCTGCTTCACCCGCAGCTCCTCCTCCTCCTTAAGCTTTAGCTGGTACTGCTCCTGCTGCAATCGTAGCTGGCGCTGAATGTCCAATTCCAGCTTCTTCAGACGCACCTTTTCCTTCTCCTCCTCCTCTTTCTGTTTTTGGTGCTCAGCTCTCTTTTTATCGACCTCCTGTTGCCTGATCCACAGTTCTTCCTGCTGCTTGCGGTAGCGCTGCTGAAGCTCCAGTTGCTTGGGGGTTAGATGGCGCAACTGCTGATCGTATTCCAGGGCCGGTGGTGGATTATAGATACCGAAGCCTGTGTAGCCCGACAATCGTGGAATTTGAACGGCGTGTTGGGTTACTTTGCCCGAATCCCCAGTGGGCTCCTCGAGCTGCCGTTTACTGGCTACCCGGCGAAGTGCTGCCTGGCGCTCCTTATATGCCACTATCGCTGCTTCCGTCTCCTTCCTGAGATGACGCTTATTGTCCTCCAACGAAATGGTTCGATTCTTCTGATTCTGGGACTTTACCTCATCGATCGCTTTCCAGAGTGTCGGTAGCTTGTCAAGAACAGGACCTGTGAAGCTGGTGTTATTGAATACAACGTTCACCCAGCCAGTGGAATACACTGGCGCCTTTGGCGGTGGTTGATCGTCGTCGTCGTCGTCACTATCGAAGGTGTCGCTTCTACTGACCGCGTCCCTGCCGTAGTTCACAGTAACTGCCGACGACTTCCGGGGATGTTTGCGACGTATTTCGGCCTCTGGCTTCTGGTTAGGATCTGGAAGTGATCCGCTATTCTCAGTTGGACCCTCTTGCGACTGATTTTGTTCTTCAGATGGCTGATGTTCTGGACCTTGTTCAGGGCGCTCCTGTTCTTCGTTCTGATGTCCTGGACGCTCTTTAGAGACTTGGTCAGCCTCGGTCTCTTTCTGATTATACTTAGGACGCTTCGCAATCACAGAGTCATCCAGAATCTTCCTCTTTTGGGCTGAAGAAGTCTTCTTGCGATTCTCTTTCGGTTGGTCAGCTTTCTTTGGAGAATCTGGTTTATTTGGCTCTTCGGCTTTGGGTAAATCTACGTTTGGTTCCTCATCTACCTCATCCAACTCTCCTTGTTCTTGCGGGATGGCTAGATCGATATTTTCCAATACTTGAGGTACAGATTCGGTTAAATCAAGAAAGTCTACAATGATACCCGAGTCTTGGGTAGATTCGCCGTTTTGTGCTTCTAAATATCTCAAAAGATCCTCATATAAAGGCAAATCTACGTCCTCGACTGATTGAAAAGAAGAATTCGGTGCTGAGTCGGAATAGGATGCATGTTGTTGAGAACTCTCGTCTTCTGGGGAGTAAGGATTACTTGTAGGATAGATAATTATTTCGAAAATCATATGGTACCATACCTTGGGAGTAGCTATCGTTATTTGAGGAGAATGAGGGGCCCGCCTCTGTGGACCAATCGTTATATCCTTCAAAAAGAAGATCAGTAATATATAAGTGATGTTATGGGAGGTAATCTTCGCAAGACCTACCTGCTTCTAGTTGAGCAAGGATCTCCTGACGCGCCTCTTCACACCAGACCTCTTGGTTTCCTGGTTGTGGTTCAAGACTCTCCGCCTCTTCGACTCCGATCAGGTCAGCGAGCACCTCCTGACGCACCTCCTCACACAAGATATCCTGGGTGGATTTTGTTGCCAATGACGAGACACCGCTGCTAGTTGGGTTGGGTTGGATGGATAATGAGCTCAAAGAGCTAACACTGCTAGTGTCTTCCTGTTCAGGCTGCCCCTCGTCTTCGAGCCGTTGAAGATGGATCTCCTGACGCACTATTTCAGACAAGACCGGATCCTCGACCAAATGGCGACGACCGCCGATGGTATTGACGGGTTCTGCTACCAAACTTCCAAAATCCAAGGCATCAAAGGTATCAGTTATCAAGTTAAGTGCTCTGGCAACAACTGGTATGGTATGGTTCTGGTCAGTTGCTCCTGGCTCTGGCTCCTCTACATTACGTTGTCCTTGATGACTGATTAATCCTGAGCCTGATCCGGATGAAAGCTCTTCCTGGTTGGTGACCGGTTGGTTGGTGACTAAATAGGTGTCGAGAATGTCTTCGAAATCGATCGGTGATGGTACTCGATGTCCTGAGACTGATCCTGATGGAGGCTCTTCCTGGTTGGTTACCGGCTGGTTACCAGACTTATCTTGGCGACTAACGGTTTAGCAGGTTTAGCAGGATTAGTCGAATTAAGCTTTCTCTAATTTTCTAATTAATTTGGTTTATTTTTGGGGAATTATCCTTACATATGATTATGTCTTATTATGTAACTAAGCGTGTGTGTGTGTGTATGGGGGTGTTGGTGTATATGTGTTTACGAGAGCACGGGCAGAAGAGTGTGTTTTTGTCGGGTGTACTGTATTATAATAATATACAAATAAATAAAATGGTCTTTAGTTTAGATCAAAACTTACAGGTGCGACATGGCCTACTAATTCTTGACTTATTTTGATCTCTTAAAGTAAACCCTTCTCTTGCCGTCTCTTTTTTCCAATCGTTTTCAATTACCAACTAAAATATGTACTTAATATTAGGGATCGTTATTATTTGTATATAAGGCTTAAAGTGAATTTCGTTAGGTTTTAATGTTTCTTTCTTTTTTTTTTTAATATGTTCTTTCGCTTAGCGTTCTTTTTTTTCTCTCTTGGCTTTGATTTTTTTTCTTTTTTTTTTCTTAATGCCAAAAATACTTTTTTTTTTTTTTTGTTTTAAATTATTGTTAGTATTTGTGGTGTGTGTTGTGTTTTTTGTTGTTTTTTTCTTTTCTAAATCTTAAATGATAAACTATATTACGCTTTATGATTATAATCTAGTCTTCCGTTCTTTCTCCTGGTTTTATTAGCTTGTAGTTGGTTGTTCCTTTGTAGCAGTCTGTAACGGTAAAGGAAAGAAAAAGAAAAGACAGAAATGATTAGAAAATGAGAAACTATTTCCTTAAGGGCTTTAAAATGATTCTTCTAATTTGAAAAATTTGTAAATTTTTGTACTTTTTTTCCTTTTCTTTTAAAAGCTAACTACTTTTCTGGATTAAAACATTTTCTGAATGAATTTTAAATTTCTAAAATTTCTTTACTTCTTTTCCTTTATTTCCTACTACTTTTCTGATTGAAACGTTCTATGAAAACTTGTCGCCTGTCAATATTGAGAAATAAGCCATAACGGTTTATTTACAGCTTACTAGGATTGCCAGCCTTCACATTAGAACATAAAGAGCAGAGCAAATAATTGCATAAAGGAGCGTGCATCGACTAGACTCGGGAGGGGGCGTGTGTTGGTGTTGTCATGCAAAAAGTACCGTAAATCACTTCTGGGTCAAGGACGAATTTACAAAACTGGCACACGCTGCCGATGGCTCTGCTCGGCTCTGCTCTCAATTGAGCACAACGCTAACGTCGACTGCGATGCAGCAGTAGCAGCAGCAGCAGCATCAGTGACGAAAATAACGGAAAGAGCTGTAATCAAAACTATCCATCTCACTCACTCTGCCAAGCAACAGCAAAAAGAGGGGGGGGGGGCTATTTTTGGAAGCAATGGAGTGCAAAAATGTGCATTTGGAAATTGGGAATAATTAGAAGAAATAGAATAAGATAGAAATATACCATCTCTATTAGAAAATATAAGGAATTTCTAACTAAAACACAACACATTCAGTGGGAAAAACAAAATATAAAACATTTCAAAGTTTGAGGCGATTAGCTAATCGCATTTGTTTTGAAAATTGTAATCAGTGAATAATTGAAAATTGAAAACAAAAAAATTTAATTGAAACGTCAGCCCACGGGAATTACAACAAGAAAACAACAACAATATGCGTAATGGTCGCGCGTGCGTTCGCTCACATGACGTCGCCTTTTGACGTCCCCCCCCACACTCTCACTCGCTAGCACTCTCTCTCTATCTATCTATGGCTCTCTTCTATTTTTAACAGCTCAGCAACACAAAAGAGACAATGGCAAAAACAAAAAATAACAACAACTATATGGAGTCAAAAATAGGAAGCAATAAAAATAAATAAAATAAATGCACAATAAATGCAAATGCCAATCATTGCTAGAATTTCAATAAAGAAAACTTAAATAGAGAGATATGCGAAAAATTCAACAAAATAGAAACAAAAATACAAATTTCATTAAATTGTAATTAAATTTCAAAAATAGATTTAGCCTCACAATTAGCAAGAAAAGATCAAAATTGAAATTTATTTTCAAAACGAACCCTAGATATTTGCAAAAACAAAAACAACAAAAAAAAACTGCAGTTCATTAACCCAAAAAGCAAAAAAAAAAAAAAAATAAATAATGAAAATGAAAACGAGAATGAGAACAATGCTTCAATGCAATGTGTGAAAAAGTAGACACGCAATATACAAAAATGAAAAAAAAAAATAATAATAATTATGGAATTGAAAGGGGTGCGGCGGTGAGGTTAAGATAAAGACAAAAGGCATTATAATAATAATAATGAAAACAAAACACGAAAAATATGAAACAAAATTGTACTGCTAATTTCAGGTTCAAGGCTATGAGTGGGACAGAAATTCGCAAATTCCTCAATTCGCCAATAATCAGCCATTTTTGGCGCATTTTTTTTTATTGTATCTTGTATCTTAACCTCATAACAATAAATATCTATAAGATACAAAATGCCAGTAAACTTTGTTGAAATACAAATTTGAGTATTTTTTAAATATAAACCCTATTTATTCATTTTTTTCAAGAAGTATTTATTCTTAAAATTTTTGGGATTTCCATGGATAGTTTAAGTTTTAATAAGAAAACAAATAATTAATAAATTAATTCCTCCCACTAATTCTTAGAAACTGTTAATATTTTGTTTAATTTTAACTTGGAAATTTGTGGAATTTGTATGAAAAATATCCATTGGAAGGGTTCATTTTGTTGAAAATTGTAACTACTACGTGTCGGACAAGAGAAATCATATATTATTCAAGCACACACACGCATTCAAATAAATTTTTATTTCCGTTCCATATTTGATGCGAAGCGCAGCAACAAAACAAAACATGAATAATAAATAAAACACTAAAATATGTATATAGATTACATATAAAATGCATTATTTATGTAGCACATGGCATGGAATAACCAAAAAATCAAAATATTGAGAAAATAAAAATAAGAACGGTAAAAGGAGCTCCCCACGCGCTAAGCTTATACTCTCTCGTACTCTCTCTGGCTCTCTTTTGGAAAGAGAGCAAGAAATGTTAAGTGAGTAGCGCACATTTCTCCATTTAAGTGCAGTGCAACCTATTTAAAGTGGAAATGTTGCATTGCCCATATCATAATCATAATTACCATCCGGCGGATATAACAAGTGCTGTCTTTACACCACCTAACTGCAACCAACAGACCGGGGGAAAAATGTTAGTCACAAAATAAACAAAATACTTTGAAAAAAATTCTTTGTATTTAATTAAAGAATTCTTTTTTTCCTTTTTTTTATTCTTTTTTTTATTTAGTATTTTTTATTTATTTTATTACTAACATTTTTTCCTCGGCTGTAGGTTATTTGTTCATGCCATTGCTCACGTTCGTTTTCATGCCCCAATAGAGAGAGATCGCAAGCCGAGTGAGAGAGTGGAGCTTAAAACAGGCAAGCACCTGTTTAATTCTCTCTCTCTTTCGCCAAAAACAATTGCGGGAGAGCGGGTGAATCACAACTACAGCCAGGCCAAATCGCATTTCACCGCCAACTGCAAGCGACAGCTCATCTATTACAGATACACAGAGGTACTACACACACACATGTATAAGATACAGTTACAGTCCACTGCAACGCGGCGCACATTGTGCAGAGGTCATGCGTAATAACAGTGATGTAAAAACAAAAACTAAAAAACAAAATCATAGGCAGCTAGTTGCAGGGCGATTTTATAATTCAGTGCGCAAGCAAAATTATATTTCCCATTTGAAGTAAACAAAACCAGAGCGAACTTTGGGCTTCAAATAAAAAATACAGTGTTTAAAAAAAAAAAAAAAAAAAAAAAACAAATATTTCAAGGAGAATTCGTCACTAAAATTTTGATTGTAATCTTCATACTTTTAAGATTATGATTGTAATTAATTGTACAAATCTAGCTTTAAGATCAGTTAGAATGCATATTAAAATTCTTAAAATAAACTTTACATTTTTAGAAAATTATTAAAATAAAAAAAACCTAAAAGAATTCATCCTTAAAACTCTAACTATTTTAGATCTTCATTAAAATGAAACTTTTTTTTTGAAACTCTGCACTTTTCAGTTGCAATACTAGTAAGTTAGAACCCAATTGTTTCAACTGCTAGTTACAAAAAAAATGTATAAAGAGGGTGCTGGTGGATTTGTAATTGGCAGTCACGCGTAAAAAAACCAGTTAAGTAGTTAACTTTTAAAGGGGCGAGAGTAGTGTGTTTAGTGCAGGCACAACAAGTGTTTAGTTTGCTTAAATACTCAACTCTTTTTTCAAATGGAAACTACTCCATTTAATGAAAAACCCTTATCTTTTATATATGCTGGTCCCCCACCATCATATTTTTTCAGATTTTCAGAATGAAACTCTCCCCACTATATCGAGTGGGAGGGTGTATCCACCTACAGCCTGCTGTTAAGTTTTAACATCCGCTATTGCAGCAGTGACCCAAATTCAATGTTACAATGACTAAGCCTCTATATGTATAAAATAATAATACCGAAAATAAAAATACGATAAACCAATCGACATAAAATGACCCTGGAATAACCAAAAAAAGTCAGCAGCAGCAGCAATCTATGTACTTTGGCAAGATATCGCACAGACCATATTTATTGATTTAATATACAACATTTTTATGACAACTTGATGTAATGAAGCCGAAAACCCAAGGAGGGGTGGGTGGTAGGAGAGTGGGTTGTTCTGTCTGGCCAGAGAAACATGTGCCACGGGCAGAGGGGGGGACTTACTTGGAAGTAAAATAAAACCAGGACACAGTTGTGGAATGTGTCAGTCAAATGCAGAAATATTACATGGAATTATTCTAAAGAAAGCCAGTATAGTTATCAGTTTAGTATGATCTAACTATTAGCTTTATTTTTGTCATGATCGTATACGTTTTTTATGCATTTCGTGAATCATTTAATTTTTTAAACCAAGCCCCCAGAGGTTAGTCATTGAGTGTAAGAGGG